AGATCAATTAACGCTTTATGTTACAATAACCAAATAAGCTATTAAGTATAGGAAAACAATGTTTATTATTTAAATATACAAATTGTAAAGGTTATAAAAAAACACTTTTCAACAACGAAATTCGATATTTTGTATAGGAATACTATTTTTATTCTATATCTTGAACTTTATATAGCTTTTTTCTAAAAATAAAATAATACTTATGAACTTTATAGAATCTTTATTATTGATTATTAATCACTGCTTAACAAACCTTAAAAAAGCTATTTAGTTTTGAAAACTATATTTCTAATATGTTTAGTTTAGGAAATTGGTGAAATTTTAACATAATATACGACATAGCTTTCTTAAATATTTTATACTAAGCAAACTAAGGAATAGATCCAGTATCTCGAATTCTTTAAAACAACTTAGATAGCATAATTTAATCTGTAATACTTTTCCCTATAAAACCACAGATTAATTTTGATCTTCAAACTATCACAAAACCAATGTGTAAGTGGAGTCTGCTGGGCGTAAAAAGATTTTCAATTATCGATAATACTTATAATTTGAAATATGCTCTTTGAAAGCTTGAATGCTTGGGCCAATTTTAGTTTTTAGCTAGGCAAAGTTTTTCGCTCATTGAAAGATTTTGATTTTATCGTCTTAAACTATCTGAGAGACGAATGAAAGGCGGTGGTCGGTCAGGTCGAGATAGTTTCCCCAGACTCCAACTAAAGTGAGTCCAAAAACTTCAAGTTGTTGGCTGTTGGCTGTTGGTGTTGTGAGCTGACAGCCAAAGCTTGTGTCCTCTCAAAAATGTAACTAATGAGATTTTAAGTTTCTTCTGCTTTTCCCTCTCTTGTCACATTTGTGTGGGTGTTTTGTTGGGGGACCAGAATGTTTGGTGTTTGGCCAGGGTGTTGGCGCTTGTGTTTACTTGTCGCCTGCAGGATGCGGATTTGGATAGGAGCTGGACGGGGACAATTCTGGCTCTGGCCCAGGTGCCGGGCCGTGGCTGCTGTTGATGTTTTAGTTGGATTTTCGGTGGCCATAAGCCCCGAGCCCGCAGCATTGTGACCCCTAAGCCGGGCAGCTCTTTCACACCCGTCACTTTGTATCTGTGTATCTGTATCTGTATCTTTGTTGTTTTCACGCGCCTTGGGATACTCTGCTTGCAGCGACTTGTGCCTGCGACTTGTTACCAAAGTTTGTGGGACTTTTGGCCAAATGAAAATTTAATGTACCGTGTTTCGGGTTGGCCAGCCTATCCAGCCTGGAGCTGGGGGGAGAGGCGTGGCGCGTGTAATTTAATTTACACCAGGCATTCAGCACGCCGCAGTGTCAGTGTCGCATTTTCAAATTAAATACATTGAAAAGTTTTGCAGTACACCAATCTCCTCTCCACCTCCTTCCCTGAAGCCTCCAAAATATACTTACATACACATAGACTCAGTTACCTGTTTGACCTGGTTTCGCTTCCTCCGCACGGTTGACGGCCCTTGGTCCTGGCTGAGTGCCGCCTTTGGCCATTTCTCACTGCCAGTTGGCATTTACATTGCTTGTTGTCGTTTATAATAAGCTTCCTCTGACCCCGAGGGTTGCTCCTGAGTCCTGGAGTCCTAGAATCCTGACTTCCATGGGGAGGGGCGGGAGTTAATTGCATAAAGCTGTGTTGGTCATGGAGTTCCTACCAGGACTCTGAAAACCACTTTAGCTTTGGGTTATTGTTCGAGATGAGTTCCTGGCCCAGTTGAAACTTTTACGAAAGTCGTTAAGTTTCGTTGGAGGGACAAGTGGGATTTCCCCATAGTTATTCACCGGAAAATTCTTGAGTTCAAAACTTCATTCATTCCCTTTTGGATATTATTTTCTGCAATTGATTTAAGCTGTTAAAAATATTAGGTCAGCACCTATAATTTGTATGAGAAAGGGTGGGATTTTCAATCGATTTCAATCATGAATTCAATGGGAAAGTTCAAACTCATACACGTGAGTGTATGAGAACATTGCTACAAAATGACACAAAGAAAACCAACAGATAACCGCAGGCACTTTTACCAGCTTTTCATGGTTTTTATGGCTCTTGAAACTAATTTCATGTTAAATGCAATTGAAAAAGCTTTTTAATTGCATTGGCATCCTTTATATTTTTCAATTGCAGTTGCAGTTTACCATTGCAGCTGCGCCTGTTGCTATTGCTGTTGCTCCATGTGACCATGGCAGCAATTTGTATTTGAATTTGTTGCATTTTTAATTGGAACAGAGTTTCCACAGCTTGCCAACTATTTGCAACACTCTGAGAGAGTGCCACGTTCCCCTGTCTTTACCACTTGATGTTACCCTAATGCCACTGCATCCTTTCCCTTATTGATGCTGATGAATGGTCATTCGTCTCACCCTAAAAAATACTCGAAGCACTCGCCAGCATTTGCACTTTGAAAGAGTGCTTAAATCATATCCTGTTGCAGGATGTGCAGCAACTCAATTAAGTTCTGGGACAGAAACCATTGTAAGTTGGGAATTTAATTTAATAGTTTCCAAGTGTGAAATGCAAGAGTTATGGAAAAAGTTCAAGAAGTTAATGGAAAAAGTGATAATTAAGTTTATGAGAAACTAAAAGAAATGATTTAATAAATATAATAATGTTAAAAGGAGTTCAAAATTAAATATAATCTATACAGATTCAAGAAGATTTTCATATTCTGTTGATTACAAGTAAACTTCCCTAAATACTATAAATTTAATATTAAAAGAAGGGCAACGAACATTTTTGAAATACTTCCCCCTGGAAAATTCTCTGCTAATCAATTTTGCTCAGTTATTTATTAAAATCTCTGACCTAAAATATGAGCTGCTATGCTTAAGCCAACTATTTTTTGCCTTAAGCCCGGCATAGTTTCCTTGGCTGGAGCTAGGAGAAACCAGTTTTTTTAATCTCTCCAATATGTTTTTTTTTTTGGCATTTTTTATGCTTCTCGTTTTAATTATTTCACTTAAGCGCATTTCGAGGAGTTGCCAACACTCGAAAGTTTTCAAAATATCTTCTAGCCTTTGCTTGTTTTGTTTCGATTATTTTTGCTTTGGGGCCGAAACTTGCAGCAGCAACTATTTCGAACTTTCTATGGAGTGGCCAGAACCAGGGTGTGTGTAGTGTGTGTGTGTGAGCCAGAATTAAATGCTGTGTAAGCTTGGGGAATTTACTAAAATTACGTACATACCTTGGACGGAAGATACAACTTCCGTTTGTAATAATGAGATTCGCATTTAACCCGATATGATGCGATAGAAGTGCAGATGGTAGAGAGAGGAGCAGAGAGCAAATACAATAGTAAAACTAAAGTAGAGTGCCAATAAAGCGAACACAGTGGGGGCCATAAGTACGCGTATAAATTACATTTGAAATAGTAAGCGAAAATGCGATTGTTTCGCATTGTTTCGCTTTATTCAGCCACCAGTTCTAGATCCACATCCGTTTCCGCAGTGCGCGCTTGTCGCATGGAAATCCCCTAAATACAATAAATTTCACATTTCATTTAATTCCATTTCATTTACAATGCGAAACCGAATCCGCAACAAGCAAACAAAGGAGCTTCAATTCAGTGGGTGCCCCACGATAAAGAAGCCGAACGACCACCAGAAGCCAACGTTCCTCGGGGGGGTGGGAAAAGCGAGAAAAATAAAGGAAAAATCCAGAAGAAGAAAAAGATGGGGAAAGTAGTTGGCGGTGGTGGTCCTAGGTCGTGGGTCGCGGATCTTGGACAATAAAGGGAAAATGTATATATATATACATATATACATGACGGTGTGTATAATAAATAAATGTAACAATTGAAGCGAATAAATGAAATCAGGACTCAGGAGGAGCAGCAAGGAAAACGCACTGCGAGTGTCAGGTGCATACAAATAAACACACACACACTCAAAGGGGAAAACCTGGTGAATGGAAAATCAAATTAAGTACAGCTGTTGCATTGCATAATAATCTTGAAATTCTCAATAATATGATATAGTTCTGTCTTAATATGAAGTAATTATAGAAAGCCTTATTTGTACAAAGATGTTTTACAGAAAATAAACCTTCCTAAGTGGATTTTCTCCCAGAAAAAAAACACACACACACACACATTGCAATTAATGAAAACACTGTTGACTGATGGTGAAATTGGAATTAGAAAGCTAACTTTTGTTGTTTTCTTGGCTCAACATGTTTCTGGGAGCAGCAGCTGTCTGCCTGCACTCGGTGCGATAAAGTTTTTAGCTTTCCTTTCTGCCATCTAGCTTTCCCCCATTTTCATCTCTACAGTTTCCCAATGCACTGGGTTTATTTCGAATACTTTTTTTTTGCCCCTCTCCGGACGTGTCTTTAAAGTTTTTATGTTTGCCAGCGGAACTGTAAAGAACTTTAATCAGTAAAATGTAGCAATTCTTTAAAGTTTATTTAGGTGACACACTCTATTTAATGGTATTTTGATCAACTGAAGTGGAGTATTTAAAAATAGTTCTTATGTAAATGGATTTTCTATAACATTCTATAATTTTCAGCTGTTTTATAAGTGAATTATCAATGTCAGCCAACCATAAATAAATTGCAGTTCATATAATAATAAATTAATATTGTAATATTAGTATTTCTGTGTATTTTCCATCACTTTTGATCTTTTCCCGGACTATTGAGCTGTTAGTAATCGTTTTGTTATATTTGCAACACTTTTGTGTCCTTTTTGCGAGTTGCGCAGCCTTTTTGAGCGTTTAACAACACTGTTTGCTGCACAACAAAGCTTCAAGTGGAATACAAGAACTTCTATTACTCCGCCTGATCTCTTTTTCATTTGATACTTGATTTAAAGAAAGGGTTGTTACTCTATGCAATGTTTACATATTGCTAATAATTTTAATAGAGGTATCTATTATTCCTCTTCATGATGTATAATTTCTTTGATTTATAAACAATTTTTAAAACTATTTGAACTTAAGATGAAATATTTAACAAATATATATATATCTTTTCTTTACAGTGATACTTCGATATCAACGCGAGTGGATATGCTCACGCCTGCTATTGAAGTCTACAAGCCGCCCCTCTGACACAAGGACGACACTGTGGAGAGCAATTTAGGGAATCCATCGACGAGTAGCGACTTCTAGCAGAACCTGATAACCAGTCCTGCGGAACTAGCTAAGGATAATCTATTTGTTCTTCCAACATAGTGTCAACCCAATCGAAATTCGAATGGTGATAGCTAAGATAGTGGACCGGAAGTCGTAGCCAAAGGACTCGAGACACTATCAGAGGCTAGATATGTAGTAAGGAGCTGAGCAGGACAGATGTGAATCGGATGAACGAGACACAAAACGAACACAAACATACACACACAGATATAAATTAATAATTGATCCAACTGAATAATTCCTAAGATTGATTAAATTTAGTTACTTTTTAGCGTAAATGATTTTTAAACCGAGAGGAAACCAACGCAGGTGGTAATGAAATATAAATGAAATCTAGTTCTAAGCTAATGGAAATGGCATATTATGTATGTTTGTATCTCTGGCCGCGTATACAATATACATGTGTATATGTGTGTCTGTGCGAATTATATATATATAATATGGGAAATTTGGCAATGTGTACATTTAGTTAAAACAAAGAAATCATTACGGATATAAAACAAAAACTAAAAACAGAAAATGCAATGAATAATTTTTGTACTGCTGAAAAAAAAGAAAGAGAAAACAATGGGAAACCAGAGAAACATTAATGTTAAGTGTACAATTTTGCATTAGGTAATGAATAAGTTTGTAATGCATTAGTAATTAAATACAACCAAATGTTCAGCTAATCACGACGAAAGGCGAAAGCAACCGAAAACTACAAATGCAAAGTGTCATAGTTACCATAAAGAGCAGTAAAGAAAACTAAAAAATAACAAGAATAGGAAAATGCAATTGGAAATTCAATTCAAATGGAAATTCGGCCAGCGGCAAAACATTTTACGCTTCGGTTAATCGCTCCACACAGAAGTAGACGACACGCCACGCCTCATTTTATATAGAAAAACCGCCCACATCACATACGATTCGCCATCAAAATGCTTTTGGGTTTGAGTTGTAGAGAAAACTACGAGGAGAAGGAGGTGGAGTAGGAGCTTCGTCTTAGACGAAGTCGGTATGCCCTTCACAAAGTGCCCCAAGATGAGAAGATTAGTCACATATTATTTGAAATTTTTGTCTGCTTAAGTTACAGTTAGCTTTTCTTTTTTTCTTGATTTTTTAAGGTGTAGAAAATGTTAAAAAATATTTAAAAATGTTAATTCAATAACAAACGTTTTGTGACTGTGATCATTTGAATGATATTTAGAGAAATGCGATATTTGAGTATTGTAACAAATTATGAAAAGCAATTGAACTTCTCAGTCTTGATTCAATCATCAATCAATCACTCAATCAACCAGCAGAAGCAGCACCCGTAGTGTAGTTAGATCACAATAATCATAACACCTTCTTAGTGATTGTTATTATTTATACCCGAGGCTGATCACACACACACACTCACACCACACACACCTTCGTGCTTGACAATATTTGATTTCTAAAAAAAAACAATTGAATGTGGCAATGTGTCCTTCCAATTGAAATATTTTAAATCATTCCATCACCACCACTAGGCACAAGTCACAGGATATGCTGCGCCCAATTTTGTAACTAAACCGCTTATTCTGTTCCACATTGAGATACAGAGGCTTTTTGGAGTCGAGCAGGACGAGGACGATGATGAGGACGAAGTTAGGGGATATTGAATGTTAACATTTATTTGTATAAGCTGCAGAACATTGTTGGAATTAGAGGAACCTGCATAGTTTTTTGATATTCATGTAGATACATGTAAATGCCACTCACTAAACTTAAGTACAGAGGGATATAGCTACCGATGGCATCAAGGATAATTGCATTATATTTGTAATATCAAAACTGTTCATAGTTAAGGCACGGCAAGCAAAACCAGAAAACCGAAAATGATAACTAACAAACCGAACACAGATATAATACAAGAGTGTACATAAGTTGACTAGAGATCGATATAAAAATATAAATAGAAATTGAAATGAAGAAGCTACAACAAAGTGCATATAATTTTGATAGTTAAGATAATTTTAATACATTTTTTAAGATACAGCAGAGAGGAGAGCAACCCAAGTACTACAATAAGCGGATCAAATAGGAAAATTGTGAGGAGATGCCGTGGAAATTACTCCATTTTTACAAAAACCTCGCCCCCCACAGGCTCGTTAATTGGTTTTGTTGTTATAACCATAAAACCGTCAATAATGCAATAAACATTCGCGTAATTCTTACTATTATTGTTATTATTATCATTGTTGTTATATAAAGGAAAACATTTGAATTTGAGAATTGCACAATGTTTTTTTATACACCACGCAAATTGGCTTTGTCAGTTCAAAGAAGGACGAAACTCGTTTTACAAATTCGATCAACTTGAGAGCATGTCCCGCATTTAACAAGGACACACCACACACGCATTGAACAAATGGACATTAATTTATACATATATTATGATGAGAGAAATAATGGAAAATAATAGAACTAGAACGCATATTGAATAATAAATGAGACATACATATTATTGAAGGAAATTAAAAAGAACATAACAAAACAAATGCACTCCATTGGCCTTTTTTTTTTGTTTGTATGGAAAGTATTTGGGGGAAAACCGCTGGACCTGGTAAGTAAACCTCATCGCAGCTGGGATAGGCAGTCAAATGGCCACTACATATAAACCTTTGCCATTTTCCATCCGGAATATTCGATGAAGTAAATTACACAAATCCCCAGCATTTTTACCCAAACCACCAGAAGTTATCGCCAGCCATCGTCCGTCATTCCAGGCCGTTGGCTTTCCCCCAAAATGAAGAGTGATTTCAGTTTCACAGGGGAACTGGGTACCATCTCGAGGTGCGATGTGGGTGGCTCGGTGGGTGGGATTCCTGGTTCCATCCAGTGGGTGGCTCGGTGGCTCGGTGGGTGGGCAGCACCCACCCCTTGTGTATCGACGCAGTCGCGAGCACTCCACCGCCGACAACAAAATGAAATGAAGTGAAATGAAATCAAAGGCATCCAGCGTTGATGGAGGCACCAGAAGCCAACGCATTGAGGCACACACATGGCACAGTCGCGGTACACAGGGGACAGGGATGGGGGACAAAGAATGATAAGTACACTCAAAGAAAGTTTAGGTAATTAACTTTTTACAAAAGTTCCTAATACAGAACTCGACTATACTCACAATAAGTACTATACACTAATTACTATAATCATAACCTTGTTTATGATTTAAGGAATATAATCAAAAACAATTACCTTAAACGAATTGCTAAAATTCTGTAAATTATAGATATGAGATGAAAATTAATTCGATTGTCAAGTTGTTCCAAATAAACAAAATCCTATTTTTTAAACCACACAACCCTCCAACAAGTTTACCACCATGATACAATTACATATAATTATATCAGTATATATATTATATATAAGTATAATTGTGTATAATTGTATCATGGTTACCACCATCTTGCAGCTAGACCCCGTAAGGAATTATAGTGCAGATGCAACCATTTTGTGCTTTGTTTTAGGGTTGTCTGAAAATATCGATATATCGAGACTGTTGGTCATTATAAAGATTAATATTTAAAGAAAAAGTCAAATAGAAAAGCTTAAACTCGACTTTAACTACCATATAGGAAATATTATTAAAAGAGGTTATTAAAAGGTTTTTAAAAATGCAAATCGATAGCAAGAAGCAATCAATTTTCATAACTTATTTCGGATATTTCTTGGATAATGCGATAGTTTAAAATTGAATACAATATTTTTTAATATCTAAAAGTTTTAAATATCAAACAATACCATATTTATGATACAGTATTCTTTTGGCATATGATAAAAGTTTTTTTCTCATTCTCTCCCTCAATAGTCAACATTAAATAATGTATGGAAAATTTAATTCACAAGGATTTCCCTAAATAAATCATGTTCCCCTTATCCTTTACCTATTTTTTGATTCCTGGAAACATTTAAATTCAAGAAGGTATTTTCCATCTGAAATATGACAACTGAAACTCAGCCAAGGATATCGCATAACCTATTTCTCTGCCTGTAGCTTTTCTTTTGTTAGATGGGGGAGGTCGTCCGTCCGCACATCCTTGCCACCAGATGATGTTTACACTTGAGCTGCAGCATTGGCAAACACAATCTACATGCCACAGTCCCCCCTGTCGCTATTCCGCCGATTTCCTTCGGTTTTTGTGCGCTGGCTGCCTTCAATCCAAGTTGTGTTTGTCCTGGCAAAAGCCAAAAACTGAGTTAGACTGACTTTGTGGTGGCCCTCTGTGCGGGAATATACCACGTGAGTGGATAAGTGTGGTTAGTCCTGAAAAAAAATCGAGGGAAGGAGAAAACGATGTCATAACCGCAAGCTCCAGTTGATCCTGCATCGATTAGTCGGGAAGTGGGTCCTCTCCCACCGGATGTTCGTCCACACAATCCTGCCGCAAAGTTGCGAGCACAAATCGCAACAAGGACGAAGGACCTCGGGCCACGCAGCCCTCTCAACAGGTTAGAAGTGGCCCAGTGATGTAATGTTCTTGTTTAGTTCCATATATCTGAAGATTTTGGAGTACCTTAGATTCCCTTGTACTAAATATCTTCACTTAGTATTTAATATCTTGTACTTGAAAGGAACATCAAATCATGAGTAATACTTATATTGTAAAAAGCCGCTTTAAACTTTTGGTAACTAAGAGTCCTTTGGTTTCCCTGAAAGTATATATGTACCTGTTCTCATCACTGCCGATTTTCCACCGATTGATGAGTTGATGAAGCTGTGAGTGGGGTACTGAGGGTGGTGTCCAAATGAAACGCTCCACTTGGAGCAGCAATTGAGAGAACAACGAGCTTAACAAGCTGCCAGTGCGCCCTGGGCGCTTTTTGTTTCTGCCTGTGTCTGTGCTGGCGAGGATTGAGGATTGAGGTAGGAGAGATGAGGATTGAGGACTGAGGATTGAGGACCCAGGATATAGCTGTGTGGAGGTAGTCGGCACTTCAATCGAACACATTAATGTGTCACTTTTGTCGGCTCCCGAAACAAGTTTCGTTGCGTCAGGAATGCCATAAATCAACACCCCGGCCATCGCCATGGAGAGCTATCGATTAGCCGTTCTAACCTTCGGCTTGGATTGGGCTTGGGCTTGGGATTGGGATTGGGTTTGGGCCATGAATGGGAAGCGTGCCGGTGCAGCGGTGACTGCGGCCGCCCAGCCTGGACAGGTGCTCCTCACCTCACCTCACCTCACCGGGCCTTGAGCCTCAAAATTTATGAACTTGACTTTCGGTTAGCCTCCTTCTCCTGCTCCTCCTCCTCCCACCTCCTGCCTCTCGTCATCGGTTCCGGCCAGACACGAACGAGTATGAAAAGGGCTTGCATGACTGCAGGAAATTACCATAATTTCAATTTAAGAAATTAAACGAATTCCGCCATACTGGGCTGAAAAGAGAGCATCGTTGAAAGACGAAGTTGCTAAGGATTTTTAAGCTTCAGACTTTGGGCTTATGAGGATTAAATCATAGGTATATAGTTTGCACCTCATCTTTGTTGGTTCTTGTTTGTAAAATAAATGCCTTCATATATTACTATAATTCCGAAAAGTATTACAAAATCTCTTAGAATGAACATTAAAAAATGTAATTTTAATACAATTTAATACAATCCTTATACAACTTAATTGCGATAGTATCGATTAAGCCTCAGAGTTGTCTTTGACCAAATTAGTGACAACTCTATAAAGGTTAAGGAAACCTTTTACTTGGCGACCCTGATAACTTTTTCACCCATCACTAGCCGGAGCACATTTTTTAATTGCTGCTCTTCCGGAAAATAATTAGCACAATGAATCGACTCAAGCGTAATCCCCTCCTGCAAGTGGCCAAGTGCGAGATGTGTCCCAATCAAGTGACCAACTTCGTGACCGGACTGTGTGGCCGCTGCTCCTCCATTTGGGCCAACAAGCGGAACCTGAGTCGCGCGACGCTTAGTCCATATATGGTGATGGCTGCCGCTGTTACCCTGGCCCAGAGTATACCGGATCCTCACTCGATGCATCCAACCTTCAGGAAAGTCATCGAGAAGGTCAAGATTCGGCGCAGCAAGAAGGTGGACCTCTTCCAGAAGCTGCGCAGCCAGTTCCTGGACAGCGTTCTCATCGAGCAGTTCCACGTGCAGGCGCCACGCCCCGTTGTGGAGGATGACTACTGGAATGTGCCGGAAATCGTCGACAGGGACTACATAATGTTCCAGAACCAAGTGGATCTCCTTCAAGGGATCAATATCGCTTCGCCTGCCGACTCTGACCTTAACAACAACATAGTGCCTGAAAAATAGGAACCCCGGAGTAAATGGATTTTACAACTTCATCAAGAGACTTTAGACTTATACAAACAATGTTTGCTTAATTTATTACCAACATTTTAATATGTATCGAATATAAATTGTGATAGATAACAAAGATTATACATTGTTTAAAACAATAAATAATAATTATTACTTGGCTGATAATGGCTCTCTATTTACTCATTGACTATAAATACAGGCACTCTCAATCACTCTCTGCATTTCTCTAGGCATGCCTCTTTCCCTTTCCCTCTCACTTTCTCTGTTATGCTCTTTACCCGGAGGCTGTACATGCATGCACTCCCTGCCTTTCTCTAGAGATGTCACACTCTCTCCCGCTCTCTCTCCCTTTCTGTTCTCTTCGCTGGGGCACTATAAATACGGGTGCTGCAGTCGCTCTGGCCTCAGTCTGTTTGCGGCCCCCTCCCCGGTGTTAACATCTATGTTTAGTGATAGTGATAGTGATCACATGGCCAATGGAATACATCTGGATACTCAGGGTGAAGCTCAATTCGATGATTCCTGAAAAGACTTAGTTGATGTCACCAAGAATGTAACACTGGAAGGAATTAAACAACAACGGAAATGGATAGCCACGTGTCCTCTACTACGGTAAGTCTTAACCATGACAATTATAGTATGTATATAGATAGAATGTATATAAATATCTACAACTAGCTGTGCTAGCTATGCATTGATTTTAAAATTAATTTACTTATTGCCGGGTTCCATGGCATTACTTAATTCTCAAAGTTAGCTTCTTTTCTCGTTCAAATTATCAGGTTTGGCCCTCATAAAGAATTCGACTTAAAAGTTTCTTAGTTAAAATCAAACCTGCAACCTGCAATAAACAATAATAAAACACTTGACCATTATATTCAGAAAATTCGTATATTGTTGAATTTCTTTAAATATACAATTTCGAACCAAACATTAGCAATGCAACCCGATCATTATCTAGCCAATCACCAGCTCGGCCGTTTTCCAATTGCTGGCCAGGGAATCTTCGAAAGGATTAAGTCCGGTGTCCTGTATTTGGTGTCCTGTAATTGGCACTTTTGTCCGATATCATAAATTACCCAAAAAGCAGGCTGAAACATTTCTACACAGCCGAAGTGAAAACCAATTGAACAAATTTGATGGCCAGGTCATCATTACAGTGGCCAGGATAGCAAAAGCTGGCCATCGGACATTGGCCATCAGAAATCAAGCTCTGGACTGTCTCCTGGGGCTCATGGACATTTTGCTAATGAAAATGTTTATTCAAATTTACGTCAATGGATGTGTTTACACGAATGACCATCAATCTACATAAATAAGCGCAAGTACTAAGCCCGGGCAATGAGTGTGTGTGCGAGTGCGTGTGGCGACCAGATTGTATTGTTCTTTGCCGAGCGAGAGGCCATTGTTCAACAATTTGTTTAATGAGAAAACTAATAAATCAAATGCGCCATCAATTACAATCAAATTTATTCTGGAACACCGCCGGCAAATGGAACCACTTGGGCGCGTGGATCGATTTCTTTGCAGATTGGATTCGATTTAGATGGGAAAGTGAAGAGTTGAGATTTAAATAAAACATGTTCAAAGCTAATACATATATTAAATAATTTTTATATACAAAAAGATAGATATATGTATGACTGCTTTGTTTTTATAGGAAAAAATATAGTTAAATGATTGGGAGAAAGCGTATTAGGAATACTGAATATAATTATGTAAAAGCGGTAAATTATGGAACCTAAAATATGAAATAAATTAAATTAATTTCAACTCAATTATTATTTTCCAATGGGAAATCCTTTTTTTTATACCCTTGCAGGGTATTATAATTTCAGTCAAAAGTTTGCAACGCAGTGAAGGAGGCACTTCCGACCATATAAAGTATATATATTCTTGATCAGGATCAACAGCCGAGTCGATCTAGCCATGTCCGTCTGTCCGTCTGTCCGTCTGTCCTTCTGTCCGTCTGTCCGTTTCTACGCAAACTAGTCTCTCAGTTTTGAAGCTATCTGAATGAAACTTTGTAGTTAGCCTTCTATATACTCTCACTCGTATATATGTCGGAACGGGCCGGATCGGACGACTATATCATATAGCTGCCATAGAAATGATCGGAAAATTTTTACAAAAAAAATTATAACATTTTCAGTTTTCAACAGAATTTGATCAAATTTTAGATATAGTTGTTTCATATTATTCTACAATTTTTTGTAAAATTTTATGAAAATCGGACTACTATATCTTTTAGCTCCCATAGGAACGATCCAGAAAATAATACAATTACAAAATATAACATTTTCAGTTTTCAACAGATTTTAATCAAATTTGAGGTATAGCCATTTTATATCAGTCTTTTGTGTCAAATTTTATGAAAATCGGACGACTATATCATATATGTAGGTGCCATACAAACGATCGTTAGATGTGGAGCAAAAAATTTGTGACTGTAAAACTGCAAATATTATATGTATAGGTGAATGAAATGAAAGCAGGTATTACTTCTTTGTTTTTTAACACAAATATGTATAATTTATATTGTATGGATTCCTAGTCATAGAAGTTCTATTTGCAAGGGTATATAAACTTCGGCGAGCCGAAGTTTGCTTCCTTTGTCTTTTAAATCTGTAAAATGTTTTCTTAATATGTATTTATATATTTTGTTTATTTTCAGCTTGTGGTATATTCAAGAGCCCCGTCTGCTTTGCGTCTGGCCCAAAGGATGTTGATCCTGTGCCGAACAGCGGTCAGTGGAGAAGAGGGCCTCTGCTTGCTAGGAAATGAAGGGGTTTCCTTCTCGCCTGGATGCTAAGTGGCGGGATGAGAGGCCAGACGAAGGACATTAGTCAAGTGCAACAGCTCTCAAATAAACATAAATTGAGCAGGCTGCGCCAACGGAGAACGGGGAATGGAAACTGGAGCAGGGAGCAGGGAGCAGGGAGCTGGGAAACTGGCAGGACTTTGGACTTGGGACACAGTTGCTGCACTCGCCGCCTGGTGTCGTAATTAAAGGCATTCGCGCAATAACGAAGAGAAATGCCCGCTGCCAACGAACAGAAAGGATGCGCTCCTAATTTATTTGTTTTTCTCACTTGACTTTTATTTACACGTGCATTGGCATGTGAGTGGCATGGAGGAGAAAGGAGACCGGAGGAAGCTGGGAGATTGGGTAAAGCTATGGCAACCAACATCGTGCCGCCGTTTGTTACCTTTTGTTTGTGAAAGTTCTCCGTGCGCCTTTTCGGGGCCAGGGCAAAGTGCCAAATTGGCCTAATGGCGTTAATGCGAATACGAGTCGAGACTAAACCAGCGACAAAACCAGAGCCAGAGACCCACATCAAAGGTCGTTTGCACAGCTTTACACATTGGTTTCGGTTTAAGTTTCAGTTTCGGATGCAGATGCAGATGCAAACACCGGATCAAGATGTACGGAGACTGGGTGCAGTTGCCAAGCCAGCCCAGAGCCAGTTTAATGGAACACACACCCACTGCATCCCACTGCCCGTCCTTTCCCCACTCACAATGCAAATCAAAGCACTTAAAAAGTTGAGCAATTTGGCAGGGAATGCTAATGGAAGTCGAGTGCATTCCTGGATTGCTTTTCGGCTTTGCTTCATTTAAGTCTTTAGCCTTCGTTCATGTTATATACTGAACCCCGATATGAAAATATATAGCAAGGGTGGATGGGTTATGTCCACTTGGTTGGTCTCATAATAGGTTTTTATTCACACAAAATACAGATTTTTAATATTAATTAATAAATATCCCTGCAAATCCTTTGCATTTTGTCAAAGTCAATACATTCACATGGCAACATGGCATTTGTGTGAGCTACATATGAACTTATTCTGGCAAAATATAGCTAGAGAAAGCTAATATACCTGTAATGTGGCATTCAAAATTGGTATTAATTCAAATAGAGTTGCCATGGAAAGATAGAACTCTTTCAGTTACATATAGAGTTGTTATTAATGTACAAGTTAAATTAAATGTAAAACTTTGTTATTTCATCTACTGAATTCAATTCTATATTCAAAATCATCAAATATATTTATTTTAAATTCCTAACAAATACATTTTTATATCACTTCTTATAATTTGATTGGTAAAAGAGGCAACAACTCTGAATAAAACAAGTATACGTTCATACTTAAAAAAATACCAGAGCAATAAAAAGCGTATCCTTTTTTTGTGATCTATTAGGTCTCTCATTACATGTCACACTTTTGTGCCACCTGTCAAAAAGAAAAAAGAATTTTAATATACGTAAAATCTCTCTTTCGCAATGGCGCCGTTTAATAAATGTTCATGTTGCCAAGTGAGGACCAGGAAAGTAATCAGGGATCGAGCAACCAAGAAGAACATTTATGTTTGCCCGGTAAGAGAACATTTCATAAATGAAACTTGTCCCATCTTCTTAGTCCCTGTAATTCCGTAGGCATGTTTTAAGTCCAAGAAATACCTAGCAAACAGTAATAAAAAGAAGGTTCAACATGAGGAGGAGATAGCTTTTGAGAATGTTGACGAGAAGAACTCGCAGGACGATGTGCCGGAAAATCAAGAAAACGAGGTTATAAACGAACTTGAGAAACCCCTGGAAAAGAAGGGAAAGCTAACTGAATCCCAAAAGAAGAAGGAGAACAAGACCCCGAAGAACGCGCAAGAGACTTCGCTGAACGATTTGATTGAAGAAGTGCCACAAACTTCCACATCCGCAAATTCCAATGGGCCACCCAAAATCACACCTCCAATGATGGAAATCGTGGTTATGAACAACCGCAAATATATTGCCGTCAGTGAAACAGCAGATGCATGCAACGAATAAGTGAACACTGATTAACCTTGTTGCCACGCATGCGCATTTGCATAATCGCCGAGCTGAGAGACTGGTGGCAACTAAACACAAATACACTTCGCATACATACATATATTAACTGTATAAAACTTGTAACATCGATATTATCATGCTTTCTGTATTTTACTTTTGATCTTTGGGACTTATGATAAGCCGTATACATGTTTTTATTTAATTAAAACATTTGTTTATAGAAATGTGTTTTTCTTTACAATGTTACCAGCTAAGCTTATAAGCTTAATGCTTTCTTGGGCAACTGCATTTTCGTTGCCAAATCTGGGCAGATTTGAAGTTCTCTCTGTTGACGCTAAAATTCCCAATAAGTTCTGCCTACAAGCCAGGGGTATTAACGTTGAATGTTCAATTTATGCATCGTCATTTAGTTCTTGCACAATTTTGAGCACCTTTAAACAACTGTAATTTAGTTGGGAACGTGGGCGTATTAAGTTCTAAATTTGTGTGGCTGTTGTTGCCACTTTTGTTACACAGGATGTGCGTGATGCGGCGGTATTTGTTTACTTCCCATTTCCGTTTCCGCCGCGCTCCGCTGAAAGGCATTGCAACTGCACTTTCGCCACCAATTTTTGGTGGCCACTGCGTAACCCAATGCGACTCCAACTCCTCCGATTTCATGTGCGTGATTTTCCAACATTTCCCTAGAGCAGCCCTCCCATAAAACTTTTAATGGAATTTCCATAATCATGTTTTAAAGTTGCCAAGGATCCTGAAAAGTTTGGTTTTATTAGAATCGATTAAAAGGCAGAGTATACTTTGGCCGCTTAGACAATATCCAAATCAATGAGTGTCACATTAATTGGCATTCATTTGAATTTAGGTTAGTGTGCTGTCGTTGGATATGTACATATTTATATACTTTTTAATCGGACTTGACTTGGAACTGAATTTATTCAAATGGAAATAAAAACCTCTGGGTTAAGTTGCAAAATACATAATGGTTTGTATTCTTTCTGTTGCATTCTTTCTTTGTTGCATAGTGAAACCAAAGAAATCAGAGAGACCTATCGCCAATCTTGGAAGGAACTTGAATTTACATTCTCTATCTATAATCCCCTAATAATGATGAGGCATACATATGTGTAAATATTATGAAAATTTAGTGGGAAATTCGGGGAATGAAAAATGCCTTGTCGAAAGCTTAGACTTCCTTGGACGTCATGGAATGTACACAGAATAATTAACTCCTCGTCAATCCCTCAATTACCATTTTAAATAATGATCCAAGCCAACTTAGAAAAATTTGATTAGTCGACGTGGCACCGACACCCAGACCAGACCGCATACGAATCAACCATGTTGACGACGATATTGGCCAAAAGACCTTTAACCCGTCCTATATTTGTGATATAAACCATGATGAAAAGAAATATTAATTTTCCTGTTTCAAATACAAAAGTAAAAGCTAAAGGTTATAATTTGTAATAATTACTTTGAAAGCTTCTAAAACCTTACGTAGTTTTCGTTAAAGTTTAATTTAAACACCGCGAAACCGTTTCGTTTCGCTACAAAAAACTACAAAACGCACTTTGCTTTCGTAAGAACTTTTAATTAAATGCGTAAAACAGCTTACGCAATTAGTTTGGCATTAATAAGTTACCTAATTGTCATTTGAATCGAAAGCTAACAAGTCCAACGTTCCGCGATACGAATTAGTTACCAAAGCGCTGACGCCGGGATCGCACAGATAATCGCCATGTTTTCCCAGATATGGGACTTTATGAGGACACCCTCGGAGGATGTGAAACTGCCGCTCTTGGGCAGCCACTGGCCTATCCTGACCATTATAGGCACATACTTGTTACTTGTGAAAGTGATTGGCCCGAAGTTTATGGAGAATCGAGAGCCATTCGATCTTCGCGCTGTGATCAAAGTTTACAACAAAATGCAAATCGTGTACAATCTCCTCATGTTCGTATTTGTAAGTGATTAATTTTTGTGCTCATGAATGATCGTGAACAAGAATATATTAATTTTATGTAACAATCCACAGACCATCCACTTTATGTTTGGCCCAGGAAACTTTGATTTACGGTGCATCCGGAACTTGCCCATGGATCATGAGTACAAGAACTGGGAGCGCATCCTGTGCTACTCATACTTTGTGAATAAATTCATAGACATGCTGGAGACGTTCTTCTTCATCCTGCGAAAGAAGGATCGCCAGATATCCTTCCTGCACGTCTTCCACCACGTCTACATGATGTACATACCCTTTTTTTATATACACTATATAGGCTATGGGGGCCACGGCCTCTTCGTTGTCTTCTGGAATATGCTCGTGCACAGCATTATGTACATATACTATTACCAGTCATCCCTCAATCGGAATTCAAAGGCTGTTCTTTGGTGGAAGAAGTACATGACCACCATCCAGTTGATCCAGTTCGTTATCGTCCTGTTGCACAGTATCTATACCCTCTTTCAGCCCGACTGTGAAATCGCCAAACTCTCATCGGTTTTGTGCGCAATTTTTGCCGTTGTATTCCTTATATTATTTATTAACTTTTACATTAGCACTTATATTCTTCCAAAACAGAAGAAGAGATTAGAATAGAGGCATGGCAAGTACAAAAAAATTCGTAGATAATGAATACGAATAAATTATGAATAAATAAAGTTCAGATCTTATTATGTTATGATTTCCGAATAATAACCATTGCGTTAAACTTTCCAGATCATCTCAAGCTTTGAACAAAAAAGACCCAGACAACGAGTAAAATTAAATATTATTTCTCACAAGAGATTTAATCCATAAGCCATAACCCCTTTAGTCAATTTGACCTTTTCAAATCTTAAAAAATGTGTTAAGGGCTCATAACATTGCCTTAACCATAGCTATTTTTTGATTGTTCAGGGGTTTCTCGACATGTACTTAATGCATAAACATTTACTTCGCTTGCATAATACATAAACTAATTTAAATGCAGTCGATACTTTGTTCAAATGCCTTTAATGTCAAACAGCTTGAACCCGAAATGCATTGGGGCAATCGGGACATGGACTTCGCACTATGGGCCTGGAAGTTCATAGTTTGGCCAAAATTCTGTAACTTCTAAAATAAATTTCATTCTCAAAACATTGAATTTTATGTGTTCAAAAATTAGTAATAGAAAATAATATTTTTTTAGGAAGATAATCCCTACCAAAGTTGAAAAATATTTCCTTTTTTTTGTTTTTCATTAAAAAAATATACAACAATTCGATTAGAATCTCACTTTACAAAAATAAGTATTTAGAAAAAAATATATTTGTTAAATTAAATGCAGTGGTTTTTTAGTTTTAAGCCCTTAAAGTTCAAATTTCCGGTCTCAATTATATGAACGGCTTTCAAGCAATCTACCGCAATTTTTGTTTTTTACTTCCAAAATGGTCTCTATTAAAAACAAAACAAAAACAAAGAAAAAGTAGTTTTTAAACCAATAATTAGTTTAAGTTTTCAACAAAAAAATAATTTTTATAGATGCTTGTATAATGTGGCACTAAAAGTATGCCACAAATTTTTTAAATATATTATTTCTTGCCTGCCTTTAGACAGTATAATAAAGACTTTTTTTAATAATTTAAGTTTTTAAATTTGATTTTGGTATAAAAAACCTCAGATTGCGCATTTGGGACAACTTATACGTAAAAGCGAAATAATCAACGTTATTTTTAAAATGTTTTTCAATTTGATCGGAGGTGGTACGTCGAGGTACCCTAAGTTTGAAACCACAACTTGTAAAAAATGGGGAAAAAACTGTGTTCTTTTCAAATTTGTTTGTAAAGTAATATATGTAATATATAAAAAACTTTTTTTTTCTAATTTTGGGTTCTACTAGTTAGATTAGAAGCATATCAAAGTGACTGTATCTGGCCGCATAGGGGCAGGAAATTTTTATTTTTGCCAATAAAATGACGCAAATATCCACTTTGATCAGCTGCCATTTCGTAACCATTGAATAGAAAGTAATATAATTTTGAGGAAAGATAGCTTAATCTATCCTTTTTATTATGCAACTGTTTTTTTTTTCATTTTCTTAAAACAATTTTTGACTCTTTTGGCCAAAATCCGGGCCGCGTGGCCCATAGTGCACCGATCCTGTGGGTTAGCACGTGATTAGCATGCTCCATCCATAGGCCTGGGACCGAGCACATGGTAGAGGCACATTGCTAACCTCTTTTAATTAGAATATAAGACCCGAGCTAGGCCAGTCGAACGATTTATGATGCCAAAAGGGCCGCCCAGCCTGCATTTGCATGGAAATCGCATGCAGCGAATTGGAGTCCAAGTGCTTGTGTAGCCAGAACGCGTGCTGAGTAATTGCCGTTTTAAATGACATTAAATGTGCATTGTGCACATTGTTCCCTTGCAGTCGCACTGCACTATATCCCTTCGACTTTTCCCTTAAGCAGTTTGCATGAAAAGCCCTATAGTCTTAAAAATAACTATTCAAAAATTAACAGCTACTGTGTTATTTTTAACATTTTATATTTAGAAATGTCGTATCCTTGAGCTTGTGGTCTGGTAGCCAAAAAGAGGATATAAGTCATTCAGAGGATGTTCTCCTAACACAACAATTCAATTATATTTCCTTTCAACACAGTATCTGGAGGATATTGAATATTAAATATTTGAATACATATACGATTAAACTATAGTAAAAGTTGGAAAGTCACTTAGAGGTGCTCGCCCTTTGAAGCCAACACTGAACGATGACTAATTGTTCTTTTATTTAAGAAATTTTAATCCTGTTTACATTTTGATTTACCTTTGTATGGGGTACAAGAATGTTCGTAGAATATTTTGTTTAATATGTAATTTAAAATGGACTTTAAGTTGGACTTGGGACAATTTTAGGTCTATTATTCATAAATTATTTACTTTGAAAATCCTGCGAATGGAGCTTGGAGAGGAATGTAGAAAACATTCCCCGACAAACACTTTACGATTGAGTGAAAGAAAGAACTAACTATAAATTGTAATTGTAAACCACTCATCTATAAGGTATATTAGCTCAACTGCAGTCGACGAGGTCAAGCGATCGGTGCAGGGACACCGATCCTGCGGGTCGTACATGATTCCCACGCTCCTTTCACAGGACTATGGGCTAGGCCATTCCGGGGATTTATGGCACCAGAAGGGCTACCCAGTTGGAATTTACATAGGAATCGCATGCGGTGAATCAGAGTCGAGGTGTCAGCTGAATAATTGCGGCCATGCAGTGACATTAAAGCGAAGCCACAGTCAAGTGCAGCGCCTGTTCAAAACCGGAGTTGGGTGCTTAGGTGCCTTCTGGCTGGGAGTGAGTCTGGGTTTGGTCTGGGTGTGGTCTGGGTGTGGTCTGGGTCCCCGGTACACGGGTTCGTGGCTGTTCCCATTTGGCTCAGCTGGCCGGGCCTGAGAGCGTGCTGAGTAATTGCCGCTTTAAATGACATTAAACGTGCATTGTGCAGTTCCCTTGGAGTCACCACAAGACCCCCTTTGGTTTTCGATTTTTGGTTGCTATTTTTGTAATAAAAATAACTAGGCTATATTTATAGAGATATAATAATATATATAATAAAACCATTCAACATTTTTTATGTTGTCTGTAATATTTTAATTTTAGATTACAATTAGTTATTTAATTTTTTAATTTGGTTTTAGGCTTTTCAACGAATATATTTTATGCCATAAAAAACGGAAAAAGTGCCAGATTCAAGGCATTATTTTCAGTCAATAAAAATTTTTAGTTGTGTTAGATCATAGAAAACTGTGCAAAGCTCATTATATTGACAAAACTATACAATTCTTGATGATTCTTCACAACGTACTTTAAAAGTGTGTTGCATGAATAATAAATGATGCGTAATTACTTTTTACATACTTATTTACAAAAATCTTGTAAAGGAACAGAAAGGTTCTTAAGCAATTTAATAAATTCTTTTGGAGCAGGATTATAGATTCCTTCAGAGTAACAGATTGGGTTAGAGATTCGAGATGTCAGATTTTATAAAGATAATTACAGAGTCAGGGAAGTGGGCTACACACATAGTTTTAATAGTTAATTTATATGTAGACAAAGTTAATTGAAATGTTGAATTGAGTATTGAAAAATTAATAATTATTAATTATTTTTATTGGGTTTAATAGATACAGTCTAGACTCTAGACCTTCTTCCGGGTTTTCACTACGTACGTCCGGTAGTAAAATTTACCAAACATAACAGCAAAGGTTGCGGACAAAGAACCGGCTACATAAGCCACAGGACGGGGCGCCTGGCAGTCAGGCTGTGACAGGATTAGGATGCAATACATCATCATACCGGCGAACTGGATCAGCTGAGCGATGGTGATGTACTTCTTCCACCAGAGACTCGCCTGCACCGCCGGGCTGATGGACGACAGGAAGTAGTAGATGTACATAATCGTGTGCACTATCACGTTCATTAGCATCATCAGAGAAACGGAGCCACCGGGGCCGTAAAGGGTTCCGTAGATGTATACGTAGAGGACCATGGCAATGTGATGGAAGAGATGCAGGAAGGACACCTGCCGATCCTTTTTGCGCAGCACAAAGATCACTGTCTCGAGCAGATCCACGAACTTGTTGATGATATAAGCATTACTCAAGAAACGCTCCGCACCCTTGAGCCAATTATCTTGTGGCAATGTGATGGGGCAAGTCAGATCGTAAGGCTTCAGCACAAAGAGGATGTATGAAGTCTGCGAAAATCATTCGTATGATGTACTCCCTCCAAAACAACTCAATTATATATTCCTATACTCACGCTTATGGCTACACTGCCATTGTACAGTATCTGGAAGATATTGTATGCCTTAATGAAGCCACGCAAATCGAAGGGCTTCCGATCTGCCATTAGCCACGGACCCACCTTCAGCACGAACAGCAGATAGCTGGCCAGGATGGCCACTGTGGGCCAAGGACTGGATGTGAAAGCTACCTCGGAGTCTACAGGTGTCAGCATGGTCGTTCCCACAATCCCAAATGGCTTTGGTTCAATTCGTGAACATGATTATTAGGAAAATAAATAGTCCACTAAAACGTGTCTTAATTAAATTGTAAATTAAAATACATAATTTATAAAGTACAGTAGCTAACCTGTACAACAAAACATTGTATGTACATTGTAGGTTCTATTGTATAACCATCGGCACAGGTGCTTTTCGCACTTTAAAGTTTATACTACACACACTAGTCGGCACACAAATTTTAACAATAAAGAATTTATATATATCTAATATAATGTTTCTTCTTCGGATCTTTAAAATATATACAAAAAAATAACAAAATATTATGATTTCAAGTAGTGGCATAAGTATTTTGAAAAATATTTACCAGTAAGGATAAAAACTTTAAAGTAAAAAATAAAATAATAATTAGCAAATTAGTAAAGTAGGTCATTTGGCTTGAATAACTTTTTAAATGCGTCTCCGCATTGAAACCACCAAACTGTAAAGGATCTCTAGGGAATGAACCCCATTAAATTTTTTTATTGCAATTTAAAATAGACCGACGATCTTAATAATATTTAAGTCTGGATTTTGGGAAGTCCTGTTCGAGACGGTTACGCTAACATTCTTTACAGGATGTTGTTAACAATACAGATGTTGCAGAATAAACGACTCACCAATTAGCCTTTTATTCCGAATATAGGGAAGGACCTCCAAATATTGTCCTTGCTTTTTTGAAACGATTATTGGTTCACTATTGACAAATGGTCTGTGTTCTTTGCCCTTGTAGTAATATGTAATAAAAGCATACAAATTCTTTATTATGTGAAGAATTTAACATAAAGGGGTTTGCATCTTACCATAAAAAACCTTTCTAGAACTTGATTTTTAAGTTTATTTGTTCTTGAAATATAATATTTGACAGATCCTTAGATCCTGTCTTGAAGTCCTATTCCTTGATGTCAAGTTCTTCATCGCATCATTGTGTTTTTTGAACTTATTAAACTAAAAATGAATATTTCAATATTTTAATGTGTCACACCTCATTTTTAATCTCTTGTTCTTTAATTCTCGCACTGAATTTTGCTACCACTAAAGGCCTGATAACCAAAAACTTTTCAAATTTTTATTTTTTTATTTTTTAATAAAATTCGTTGTCTGTCGTTTTGAGGAAAGGTACGATCAATATATCAATAGATCAAGGTTTTGTCAAAATAATTACGACGACTAGTGTAATAATATATATAGTCCAGGGCATGATATATAGGGAAAATAGCGACCCAAAAGCTTTTGATGAAGTTTTCGGTTCCAGACTCGACTAAAATTCTAAGGTGTGCATCAGGCCAGCGATATGAGAGTAAAATGTCAATTCATATATACCCGATATTTAACGTCAATACATATGCCATAAGATGTTAATATCTTTGATTTATCTCTTTTAGAGTTAAACATGAAAATGTTTTGTAAAGATTTGTATACTCAATGAAGGCGCTTTTCTTGATCAGCATTTATAGCCGAGTCGATCTTGCCCTTCTGTCCGCCCGTATATCCGATTGTACGCTATTTAGTCTTTTAGTTTTGAATTTATTAAAAAAAAAAAGATTACTTTTCCAGTTGTACCAGTTAAAAGTGATCGAGATGTACACTCTTTTCAGTCTGGGACGGTCTGGCTATGAATCTTTCTATGATGATACCGGAAGAGCAACCCAAACAGACTTTCCAAGTAGGATATTAGAATCAAAGTGTCAGGTGAATAATTACGGCACTACAATGTAATTAAGGGGAAATTAACAGTCAAGTGCAGCACTTGGTCGTTTGTAGGTTATGTTGTTGTTCTGCGGAAATAGCAAGGGTTTTATTTTTGTCGCATCATATTTACAATTTTGAAAATTGTCTTAGGGTGACAGCAAAATGCATAGTAAATTTTAATACGTGTTTTATGATAGATTATATATAGCATATAGTAGCATACGTGAATGTACTATTTAGGTACTATTAGACAGACACTAGTGCGGTTTGAACATTAAACGACAATTAATTTAATTCAGCCTTGGGAACGCGACACAACGACACGTGTGCTTCGAAAAACAAAAATGATTATAATATATATATTTATATATCCCTGTTGGGAGGATAAATATAAAGATTGTCCTCAGAAATTTCGTTTAAATATAACCCGTAGAAAAATTCATATAAAAAATATTATTCGGAAATTGTTTATCAATATCAATAATAATAATTAAATCATGCTTCAGATCCTTAAAATCTATTCCATATTGATTTATTAAGACTTTCTTTATATTGTAAGTATGCAACACATATACCAACTATTTATTTGCATTGCATATTTATAAATTGCAACTAAGTCCCATCGCTTGGCTCTACCCCTTCAATGGCTATGCAAAACTTTTCCATGACCTACACCTAGGTTCTAAGCTTGGGGTAACTTATTAAAACACAGCTGGCTAGCGTTAAGTAGGATCCATTTAATACGCTACAAAGTAGCATAACAAACAAGAGTTTCAATTGTTTCAATTAGCACAAAATGTTGATGCACTGCCTTGCCTACTGCACCTTCGCCTGGGATTTCCTCCTGCCGGGAAGTACGTAGGCTTTGACGTAAAAGTTACCGAAAAGCATAATAAAGGCTACTCCCAGTAGCATGCTCATGTAGATCACCGTTCGCGAAGCATCGCAGTTGGGTTGCCTCAAGGTATTGATCAAGTATAAAATCGCGAGGAAGAACTGGACCAACTGGACAATGGTGAGGTACTTCTTCCACCAGAGGCTTGCCTGCACCTTGGCACTGACAGAGGACAGATAGTAGTAGGTGTACATGATAATGTGCACCGCCACGTTGAGTAGGCAAACCGGAAATAGAAAGCCGCCATAGCCGCTAAATGTAATATACACATATCCGAAAACACACATGATGGTGTGATGGAAGACATGCAGGAAGGATACCTGCCGATACTTCTTCCGCATCACGAAGATCAGGGTCTCAGTCAAATCCATATACTTGTTGAAGTAATACGAATACGCCAGAAGACGTTCCCAGTTTTTGTGTTCGTGATCCAGTGGCAGTCTTTGGATGCAGTTCAGGTCGTATGCTTTCAAAACAAACAGGAAGTACAGAGCCTGTTAAAAATATAGTTTTAATTTAAAAATGTGATTCAGGACTAACCAGAGTTTGCAGATTAACTTAATTAATAATAATAACTTGTCAGTCGCCTTTAATCGTTGTTATTCTTTCAGGACTTTGATATCCTATCCTATTCTTTTCCCTAAGCAATTATACTTACAGCCATTAGAGCGACACTGTTGTACACAATCTGAACAATATTGTACACTTTGATCACTCCTCGGAGATCGAATGGCTTTCGATTCTCCATGATCATTCTTCCTGCCTTGAGGACGAATACCAAGTAGGTTCCTAGGACCATCATCGGAGGCCAGGGACTACCCATTAGTGGAAACTGGACAGGATCGCCCGATACGGTCAGGGTTATGTTTCCAATTTCATCCATGGTGCTAGGCCCCTCCGCTCGCTTTGATGTTTAATTTTCGACTAAGCTCGACTAAGTTCGGACTTTTAATACGGACGAGAACTCTTCGATTGAATTACAAATTCAAGTGGCTGACGCCGCTGAAAATGCCTACCATTTACATAAAATGTTTAAATGAGAATTTAATTATGTGTAAAATGGCGTAGGTCTGGACAGACATAGCCGAGGAAATTAAATACCTTTGACGACCTTGTCTTTCGGAATTGTTTTAAGCACATGTGTTGTATGTACTTCGCGCCTGTTGAAACTCCAATTAAACAACTCTCGACAGCGAGGACTGTGGAATAAATCTTGCAAACGGATATATCTGGCAGCCGGAATATTCGATTTTCGTTTGCCTTCCTTTGCTGTCGTGTGTTCGTTCCCCTGACTTTTGTTTTTATATTCTTGCTCGCTTTTGATACGTGCCATGCAGCAAAAACCATACACAAAATATACAAAAAAAAGGCCATTTGTCGATGCGAAATTGCAAGAAATTTTACTTATAAGCCAAGTCATTTTCCCCACTAACTATCCGTGGGCCATGGAATTACTCCTTATTAAGGGTTGTGGCAACGGTAAAAGTAATGACGGTGTCTGTTGGGACCCAAAGTGCTGCGGGCTGCGGTGCTAAGATGTCGGCCATTGCAAATTGAGTCATTTTTCATTCGGCGCTGGATTACATCGAAGGCCAGGCCAAGCGAGGGCGAGGGCGAGTGCAGTGAGGCCTCAATGTGTCACAATTCCATGGCCATAATTAGGTCAAAGAATTTGTGTCCTTTATGTGCGACACTTGGCCACTGAATAAGAAGGATTGTGCCGTTTTTTTTTCCTCTCTCGCAGCTCCTTGTTTTTTATTGGATTATATGGGGACAGGTGCATTAACATTATCCAGCCAAAAACAAACAAAAAGGAAAAAACAGGCAAAGGACATATAACCAAACAATTTATAAAGCCCAGCTAACCTTTTCTGTTGTCTTTCTAGCCAAGGTTGTGCACTAAAAACAATCAGGAGATATGCTTGGTATGCATTTCTTTATTTTAATCTTTCAATTAATTTTTAATTCTTTTTAAAACTTTGTGACTATCATATGAGTATGCAAAGTTACTTAGGTTTGTGTAAAAGTATGTTTAATCATAGGTTATCCAAGAAATCGAATGGTTTTATTATAGTTTAATGGAATAAACTTAATAGCAAGGGTACTATAATACACAACATGCTTTTGTAACAAAGCCAAGGTTTATAAATTATATTATTATCTATATTAAGAAACTTAAAACTATTTAACCTTATATCTTAAAGAACATATTAAAAATAAATCAATCATTCATTAACCCATTTTTCCCAGTGCGGCCATGGACATGTGTGTGACTTTGTAAAGTTTTCATGCCTGCCAAATTTTGTTAGCCAAATTGCGAGGTATAAAAATTGCGTCTCATTATGGTAAAGTTAATATTTCATGGGCAATTTACCGAGATTGAAACCGACACACTTCAAAAACTGCGAACATAAACACTCGCACACCCGCAAGCACACACGCATAAGCTGCTATATAATTACGGTTGCCGATTTCCATTGGCACAGGACCTTCCATTCCATTCCACTCCATTCCATCCCGTTCTGCTCTGTTCTGTTCGTCCTTTCTTCATACAATTTTAAACTCAATTAAAAGTTGTGCGCATTAGACATACTTGTGGCCAAAAGAGCGAGACACGGCCTCCACCGCCCCTGTTTGCCACCTCCGAAATGTGATTAAGTCGGGGCAGGACGAAAAGAGGGCCAAAATGGGGGCACATCCAAATGACAGTCGCATTAGTTGTCATTAAAAATGTGAGTGATACCATCTAAATGACTCGACACATACTGCCACGAGCGGAACATAGAGGCGGACTGCAGCTCTGCACTCCTGGAACGACGACAGGTGAGTCCAATTGGAGTCAAAAGCCCATTGACACACATTGATACGCTCCTTAGCTCTTTGGCAGCACAAAAAGGATGAAGTAAGCCAAGGAAGCAGGTGCTTTTTGCCATTTTCTATTGAATTCTCAATGTGAAAGTGCATTTGTAGAGTGCATTTTCACTTGAATAGTTTTGTAATTAAGAAATCTCCTCTTGTTTCATTCATTTTATGTCAAGTTTATTTTGATTTTGGTCTACTAAAAACTTATATTTTCCTGGGACCATTTTTATTAAGGTGTAATAAACATCTTGTTATGAATTTAATTAGTTTAAGTATTATTTAGCTGTATTATTATTTTAGCTGTGCATCCGTCCACATACATTTTAAATAATAAAGTCTAAAAGAGCTAATCCAATTGAATTTGAAAGATCTCGGAAGCCTTGACTGCATCGTACATTCTGATTCCAGTTCAGTTTTATACGAACTGGTAATAAATTATTAGTAAATATATTTAGAAAATATTAAACTTCTAAATAATTTATAACTGGTAAAAGTTGGACTTCTATCAAGACAAGAAATTAGGATTTCTTGTTAAGGATATACCAAACGTAGTACATTTTCTTTAAAATAAATAAAGTATCCCGAATAAAACATCATTATAACAAATATTTAAAGGTAATTAATAAATACGCCTAATGTAACATTTTAATTTTTTTCGTTAATATTTATTAATTCATTTTTTCAACAGTTTAAATCTGCAACAATTTTAAAGCAATCAGAAAGTCGCCGAAGAAGAGCTATAAAAAAACAAAGACATTAGATTGTGAAATATTTAACGAAACATGTGTTTAAATTCTCGGGACAATTTATAATTTAATTTGCATCGTTTCGTTGACCGACAAACATGGGCGGCAGACCATTTACTCAGCTCTCCTTGCAAAATGTGGACATGAATAATGAAAGCAAATCGGAAAGAGGCAAAACAGCAAAAAGTTAAATGCCTCTAATGACAGAAAATGAACAAAATGACGAAAAATGGCGCAAAACAAAGGAGACAAATAATAACATGCCAAAATGGCCGCCTCGAACCGGTCTGCCAGCCGCCCCCTAGAAGCTACCGCACATCCTTGAATCCTTGAGCGGGGAGAGCACGCACAGGCGAAGATAGGAGAGGGCAGTGAATTACCAACAGCGGGCGAATCAAGAAAAGCATGTGCGCGGCATAATTACGAAGCAATTAGACGAAATTATTATTGAGGTCAGTGGCGAGCGACGGTCGCGGGGAGTATCGCCAGAGCAGGCCCCTGAGAACATATGGCCATAGCCCCCATTCACTCCCCTCTCGCTATCTCCCTTCCTGCTTCCTCGGGGGTGCCGTGCCAAAGGGATGCGTATGCCATTATCATTTCACGCCGGAGCGAGGACGAAGGCGCAGCGTAATGCCCACTAAATAGCAAGCACAAAGCGCAAACCAAAACAATACTCGAAGAAAATGGGGAAAATAAATTTAAGGACAACTATGAGAGGACTCACCGAAGCTTCAGGGGGGTCTATAAAGAGTTTACTAACTTCCCTAGAACTAATTGCATTTTCTTAATTACACTGATTACAAATTTACTTGTTTTGAGATCAATTCTTTATATACATATATTTATATTACAATTAAACATGAAGAAATCATTTTTCACGCCTACTTCAAAAGGGTTCACAAACTATTGCATAGTTTTAGGCTACCTGTAAAAGGCACAGAAAACGATTCAAACGATTAAACTGTAATTTATTGATTTTAATTTAATTTTTGTACTATAAATTCATCATTTTTTCCCTCTGTACATTTTTTACTACAGCCAAAAGGATTTTCCCACCTTTTCTCAAGCTGGATTCCCCAAAAATCTGTCATCAACAACCATGCTGGCCGTGGGTTACTTGTTTGGACAGCTGCCACTGGGAAATGGAATTCAGCTAGCCATGAAATGGCGTGAAGAGTTTCAATTAGTAAAATAAAAAGAAGGTAAGAGCTCGGCGCGTGGCTTTGCACTTGATTCAAAAGTTTATTACGGAAACGCCGCCGAACAAATCTAGTGCGATGCTCGGTGCTTCTCCACTGTCGATGCTCAGGTGGATTGCGTGTTCGAAGTTCAATGCTGGCCATTGAATAAAGCAGTCAAAACATGTCGCAAAATGACAATGACAAACAGGTGAACAACGTTACAACGCTTTTCCCCAGCGTTGCGCCATAGGTAAAAAAAAAACGGAAACAGGGGGCGTGGATCGACCTTAATTGTAGCTTGGCAGAGGAAAAAGACCTTGCATGCATGTTGACGGCTTGGCAGGCGCTCTCAAGCAGTTTAGTTTGTTGCATACAGCAAGTTCGTAGGTCACTGTCATGTGTTTTCCATGTTTTCTAAGAGCAAAACGATGTTCAATAACCAAATAAAGAAACCATTAAACTATTGAAAACATTCAAATGTCACGTCTCTGAAATTAATAAATTAACCCTTTTGTGCAATTTGCTTTCATTATTCATATATATATTATGTGAAATTCAAATTTAAATTAATCGATATTCTTGCCCGCCAAGTAGAGTTGCCGTATTTTTCCCTTAATCGAAATATTGAATATTGCCATATCTTCAAAGTTTTTAAAATTTGAAGTATATTTTGGCAAAACAAAGCAGTTAACTGCGTTTGCTTTGCATTTTCGTCAGTTTTCAGAATGTAATTTGCAAAAGTTCTGTTAAACCTGCGGAAGAAGGCCCAAAATTAAATCTGGTACCGTAACAAATGGTATTAAATTTAACACCAGAAATATACTGTAAAGCGAAAGACAACTGGAATAGTTGGTCACACTTTTTTAACTTAGTGGCAATATCTCTTCAGATCGGATTAACAATATTTTCGACACGGAATATTTTTTAATATATTGTGATTAACTAATTTAAGTGCAATGTATTTTCGTTAAGGCTTGCTTATTCGCATCGTTAAAAGTGTTTAGTCGCCGGGAAAATAGAAAAAGAAAGCAGTCGCTGCTACGAAGCAAAGGGGGAGACAAGAGTAACAATGAGCAAGCGAGACAGTAGACTGAGTGTGTAGTACTGTGTAACTCCTCTAACCAAATAAAACAAAACAAAGGAGAGACAAAGGATAGAAACCCCGAAAAAGTCGCACACACACGCACACACTTGCAATTGGAAGCAGCAGCAGTATCACATCGGACGGATCAACTAAAACAAATGGAGTTTAATTAATTATAATCGAAGGATAAAGGCCTCCCCTGGCCACAGTGAAGTGCAATTTTCAGTCAAATAGTGAAGGGAACGCAAAGACGTCGCCAAATCGTGGTCCCAGCGTGTGTGTGTGTGTGTGGTAGTGTAGTGGCCGTGTGTATGCCAGTGTGAGTGCGTATGCATATGGGGTTGGAAAACCGTGAAAACTCGACGACGTCTCAAACGCACAACACTTTGGCTGACTAAGTCTCGCGGAGATCGCAGGTAAAGACAATGCCGAGTGCCTCGTTCACCTCGTCGCGCACCTACGTGCGCCGCTCCCGTCGGAAAGGAGCCAACCGCATCGCCATGCCCAACCGGCCCACGGGCAACATCATGGATCCCATGCTGCAGCAAAACGTTGCTGCGGCCGGAGCCCAGGCCAGCACCTCCGGCGCCACCAGCAGTAGCAGCAATAACAACGGCGGCGGGAACACCAACAGCAGTAACGTCTCCGCCACCAACACAGCCGGTGCAGCAGCAGCAGCGGCAGCCGCTGGAGTTGCGGCAGGCGGAGCAGCTGCCGCGTCCGCCTCCACTTCGGCAGAGTACTTCGATAGCGGTCAAGGGGCCAGCGGTTCCAGTGGCGCCAGTGCGAGCGCTGGCTTCTCTGGCAGCTTCTACAACGCCCTGCAGATGATGGACACCACCGAAAGCAGCTCAGGAGCCGGCACCAGCGGGGCAGCAGCTGGCTCCACACCACCAGCGCTAGCAGCGGGTGGAGCCTCCACCTCGAAGTCGAGCTGCGCTGCAGCCGGTTCCAGTGGCGCCTCGACATCCGCAGCAGCTACAGCAGCTGCCTCTTCCGCCTCCAGTAGTCATCAGAGCCCGTACGACTTGCGCCGCAAGATCTCCGCCAGCAGCCACGAGCAGTGGCCCACAGCTTCCTCTTCCGCCGTCGCCACAGCGGCCACAGCCGCTGCTATTCTTGTCGGACCGTCGAGCAGCTCACCGCCGCTAGTTAACCCCGGAGCCTCGCCCTCCAGCTCATCGTCGTCCTCCTCCTCTAGTTCGTCATCCTCCTCGTCCGCCTCGTCGTCCAGCGCCTCGTCCAATGTCCAGGCACCATCAACCAGTGCCACCTTTCCGGTAAACAATGCCCCCACCACGGGTGCCACGCTGGCGCAGCCACCCAATGTGCACAGTTCGGTGCCGCAGCAGCATTGCGGTGCTCTACCTGTGGGGGCGGCCATCGAGGACAACAACTATATGCTGCCCGCGAGGAAGCGCTCTCGTCGCCTCTACACGCAGGGCGGTGACATGGGACCAGCTTCAGGTGCGACTGGTGAAGCGTCCGGGGCAGGAACATCTGCTGCCGGTGGAGTTGGCTGTGCACCCACCGCAGCGCAGTATTTGCAGTACGAACTGCCCGATGAGGTGCTGCTGGCCATCTTCTCGTATCTGATGGAGCAGGATCTCTGCCGTTTGGCGCTCGTTTGCAAGCGTTTCAACACCATCGCCAATGATACGGAGCTGTGGAAGCGCCTCTACCAGTCAGTCTTCGAGTACGACCTCCCGCTATTTAACCCGGAGCTGTGCAAGTTCGTCTTCGAGAAACCTGAGGAGTCAGAGTACGCCAATCCGTGGAAGGAGAGCTTTCATCAGCTCTACCGCGGCGTTCATGTTCGACCCGGTTACCAGGAGCGACGCTGTCCAGGCCGAAGCATTGTATTCTTCAACACCATCCAGGCGGCATTGGATTACCCAGAGGAACGCGCAGCAGCCGGGGTCTTTGGATCTGGTAGCGCTGGTGCAGGCAACGTTGTCTCCGCCGGGCTGTCAAACACTAGTGCCGCTGCTGGCGGAGCCGGTGCAGGCGGGGCCAGTGTCAATGCTCTGGTTAACATCTATGAAGAGCAGGTGGCCCCTACCGAGCATCCCGGTCCGCTGATATTCCTCCATGCTGGCCACTACAAGGGCGAATATCTGTTCATTGATTCGGATGTGGCCCTCGTGGGAGCTGCTCCTGGCAACGTTGCTGAATCAGTAATCCTGGAGCGGGAGGCGGGATCCACAGTGATGTTTGTGGAGGGCGCCAAGTACGCCTATGTTGGCTATCTCACACTCAAGTTTTCCCCGGAAGTAACATCGACAGTGTCACATCACAAGCATTACTGCCTGGACATTGGTGAGAACTGCTCGCCCACCGTGGATAACTGCATCATTCGCTCCACCTCGGTAGTTGGTGCTGCCGTCTGTGTGGGCGGAGTCAATGCCAATCCCGTGATCCGTAACTGCGATATCAGTGACTGTGAAAATGTTGGCCTCTACGTCACTGACTATGCCCAGGGTACCTACGAGCACAACGAGATCAGCCGGAATGCGTTGGCGGGCATTTGGGTGAAGAACTTTGCCAGTCCAATTATGCGGGAGAACCACATACATCACGGACGGGATGTGGGCATATTTACCTTCGAAAATGGAATGGTAAGATGAAATGAAATGCTAATTCATTATCTCTACTAGGATTTTGAAAACCTCAAACTCCATCTAAGCATCTATACATGTATAGGCACATATAGCCTGAGGTATAGCCTCAGATTATATGGGATATAGCTGGATGAACTCATAGAGCTTCTTTCAGCTCCTAAAGATCTTTCTGTATGAAGCTAACCTATCTGTATGCTTTGTTGACTGGTTCCGAGCCTGACATTTGGTGTCCAAACCATGAATTAAGTTATAATTAACCTCCATTTTTCCAAGTCTTTTAACTTGCTTTCTAGTATTTTTAGTTAATCACTTTCGATTTTATTTTATGGATAAGTTAAGCTAAGCTCTTTAGTTACTTTATATAAAAGTTAATACTTTTCTGGAACTCTTTTCTAGGGCTATTTTGAGAAGAACGACATCCACAACAATCGCATCGCTGGCTTTGAGGTGAAGGCCGGAGCCAATCCCACCGTGGTCAAGTGTGAGATCCATCATGGCCAGACGGGCGGCATCTATGTTCACGAAAATGGTTTGGGCCAGTTCATCGAAAACCGCATTCACTCGAATAACTTTGCAGGTAAGGCAATGGTCCTGTAAAATCGAAATATTAGTTACTAATCCGCATCCCTTATCTTTAAGGTGTCTGGATAACCTCCAACAGCAATCCCACCATCCGCAAAAACGAGATCTACAATGGTCACCAAGGTGGCGTGTATATCTTCGGCGAGGGTCGCGGTCTGATCGAGCACAACAACATTTACGGCAATGCTCTGGCCGGCATTCAGATTCGCACCAACAGCGACCCAATTGTGAGGCACAACAAAATACACCATGGCCAGCACGGTGGTATTTATGTGCACGAAAAGGGCCAGGGTTTGATCGAGGAGAACGAGGTGTATTCCAACACGCTGGCCGGCGTGTGGATTACCACTGGGAGCACCCCCGTTCTGCGAAGGAATCGTATCCATTCGGGCAAGCAGGTTGGCGTCTACTTCTACGACAACGGTCATGGTAAACTGGAGGACAACGACATTTTTAACCACCTGTACTCGGGCGTGCAGATTCGGACGGGCAGCAATCCGGTAATAAGGGGCAATAAGATCTGGGGCGGACAAAATGGTGGAGTTCTCGTCTACAACGGCGGTCTGGGGCTGCTGGAACAGAATGAGATCTTCGACAATGCCATGGCCGGCGTGTGGATTAAAACGGATTCGAATCCGACACTCAAGCGGAACAAGATCTACGATGGTCGGGATGGAGGAATCTGCATCTTTAACGGCGGCAAGGGGATTCTAGAGGAGAATGACATTTTCCGTAATACGCAGGCCGGTGTGCTTATCTCAACGCAGTCGCATCCGATCCTGCGACGCAATCGGATCTACGACGGCCAAGCGGCGGGTGTGGAAATCACCAATAATGCAACGGCAACCCTCGAGCACAATCAGATATTCAAGAACAAGTTCGGCGGTCTTTGCCTGGCCAGCGGCGTTCAGCCCATTACGCGCGGCAATAACATATTCAACAACGAGGACGAGGTGGAGAAGGCCGTCTCCAGCGGGCAGTGCCTCTACAAGATTAGCAGCTACACCTCCTTCCCCATGCACGACTTCTACCGCTGCCAGACCTGCAATACAACCGACCGCAATGCCATATGCGTCAACTGCATCAAGAATTGTCATGCCGGCCATGACGTGGAGTTCATACGACACGATCGGTGAGTAGAAGACATAAAATAACCAAAATTGTATCGTATATATTATAGAACTAGTTATAATCAGGTACACATACTGTATCTCAAGAAAGAGTGTCAAATATAGTATAAAGTACAAAAATATATCGAATTATAAGAACTAACTTTCCTCCACAGCTTCTTTTGCGACTGTGGTGCTGGCACCCTGTCCAACCAGTGTCAACTGCAGGGCGAACCCACGCAGGATACGGACACGCTCTATGACTCGGCAGCCCCGATGGAATCACACACGCTGATGGTCAACTAAACTGGTCAATATCAGCGACTAGATCACGGTTCTTTTCTTAGCTATATCTTAAGTGTCGTTAAGGCCAAGCTCTCAACTCTCTCTCGCACATCTCACGTGTAGCTGTAAATATTCGAGAAACAAACACAAAAGCAACAAAAAAACCCAAGCAAATAATAATACAATTAATTGTATGTAAATAATAACAAATTATTCTTGCGTTCAAAATTTAACTCAATGTGCAATTTAGTTTAACACAATCACTCAAACACGCAAAGTTTCTCACTTTTTAAACTGAGCATGGAAGGGAAAACTTGTGCTATTGCTTTTTTTCCCATTTATGTCACAACGAATGAATAACTGAAGAGGAGAGGAAAAATACTTTTATTAAACAAATGCATTTGTTTGTACGACTAAATGTTGTAAATGAAAGATGAGATGGAGGAGCAAATGTGGTATCCTCTCGAGCCCAGTGAAGAACAATTTTGTAATGTAGACTAGTAGAGATTTTAAAATTACATCAATTAACATAAACTACGATTTAAGCCAATAGATATTAAAGTTACACATACACACACACCCACACTCAGACTCAGGCGAGCGTGTCGGCCCCTGGACTAACAAGAAAACAATTCGAAGAAAGCAATTCTAAGTATTAACAACAAACTAGATTAGCGGCAGCCAACTAACCTATAAATATACAAGTTTATTAAACCCAACATAAACATACATTTACGGCACACTACTATATTGTGGCATAGCGACGTTAGTCCGTCGACATAGACTTGCCCAGTACATAGGAAAATCGAGATTCTCTTTTTTTTGCGGCTTTATGACGTTTCAAAATGATAGTAATGAAAAAAGACAAACTCGCGCTGGACTATGTCACTTGTAATTGGCTAGTTTATGTCGGTGGACTTAAGTCGCCAATTCCCCTATATTGTATGCATTGAAGCGAGTCTAAGCGAATTCTACTGAAACAGCACACGGACAAGATACAAGATACAAAATCAAAAAGCCTTTACCAAGCGTAAAATACCAAGCAATATTTCATGTCTAAATGTTGTAGAACAAATTTGTAGCTCAAACGTAACAGAGAGAAATAATAGTAACGAGACAAACTAACAAAACAAAACAAAACGAATCGAAAGCCATGTGTCATTTTAGTTATGTAAGCTGAGAGATCAACAGAGTTTTAGTATTTCGGAGTATTCGAATTATGCAAATCATTTACATACATATACATATATTTTAAGTCTGTAGCCACTACACTTAAGCAAACGCAAAGCCCATAACTATGCATAGATGACATTACTCGATAACTGCGCGTGTGTTAATTAAGTACATACATATTTTGTTTGTTAATTGCCTAACCTTTATATATTTTTTATTTTATTTATACTTGTTTGCCTGTTTTTCGTCGTAGCCCTTTACTCGCTGTACGAATCAGATAACCATAAACATAAATACTGCATACTACTATATACTACGTAATATAAAATATACAACGCTGAGAGAGTGTATTGATTTACTAACCAGAATTTTGTTTTTTGACCAGGCACACAAACTCATACCTATATGCATATATATAGGACTATACTATGTAGAGATTGATTTTAATGTGTTACCTATTCAAGCTAATAACGTCGTCGTCGCCCTTTACTTGGACAAACCACTAAATATACATAATTATATATATATATATACACAAGGTATAAGCTAATAATATTTGAAATTTGAAAGAAAAGAGACCATTTTTATTGGGATAGTCCTGAGTTTCGCTTTTAATTTATGCAAATAGTTTTTACATCTGACAGGTGCAAGGGTCATCAACATTCCTCTCCTTCTCCTTGAAGCGCATCAGGGTTATGATGTGCTCATGATTGGCCGCCTTGGCGTAGTCGAGAGGCGACATGCCCATTTCATCCTTGACGTACGGATTCTTATAGTGCGGCAGCAGGTAATCCACCACCTCATGGCTGCCCAACTGGCAGGCGTAGTGCAGGGCAGTGCGTCCCGTCCGATCCGCGAGAGTCAAATCAGCCCCCGCCAACCGGAAGGACTCTAAGCGCCCAACCTTACAGCGCTCCGTAAGAGCACGTAGCATCTCCGCCTGCACCAGCGGCTGATCATTTAACTTGGCCCCACGCTGGAGCAAGGCCTGAATTACCTTATGGTTGTCCGTATCGATGGCCTCATGCAGCGGCGTCCGATTGAAGCGATCGTGCACATTGATCGGACAACCCGCCGAGATCAGGAAGCACACGCAATTGAGCTTGCCTAAAAAGCAGGCAAGATGCAAGGCGCTGCGCCCGTCGCAATTGGTGTCGCACAGATTGGCTCCATACTGTTTGAGGTCGCATAGCTTCTTCACATCGCCCTGACAGACGGCGGCGGCTACCAACGCGGGATAAAAGGTGGCACACATCTGCTTCTGCTCTACACCCGTGGACATGTGCAACGTTCGCGCAACGCCCTCGACTAGGTCGATGTCATTAATCTTGGCCACCTTGTTGGTGGTCATCTCGCCGCGCAGGCTCAGCAGTAACACCTTCTTCTTGTTGGCCAGATCCCACTGGGGCTTGGACAGCACATAGGCTAGCTTGGTTAATGCGGCCTCCTCGGTCATGTCATAGCCGGGTATTATACCCACCTCTCGGAATGCTTGGCCCGTCTCAGTATTGGTCGCCACCATGCCTTCGGTACACTGCGTAATATTAAGGATAAGTACTCCCCGGAGGACTGCCTCTCTCAACTGGTCCAGTAGCTCATCTCGTTGTACAGGAAAGTTGCCTTCACCGAAGGTCTCCAGCACTACTCCCTTCATGGGTTCGCTAAGAAAGGCTTTCATCACATTTACACTTATACCCGGGTAAACTCGCAGCAGGCCGACTTCCTTTTCCAGTTCGGAGTGCACAGTAAACTTGCCGACGCTGCACGGCCGGAAAATCAGGCGACTGTCGATCTCAACTTTGACGCCCGTCCGGCCAAGCGGTGGAAAATTGGGTGAGTCAAGGGCGTTGAAGGAGTCTGCGTTGAGCTTTGTGGAGCGACAGCCACGAAGAATCTTGTTGCCGAAGAAGACTATCACCTCGGGGACGCTGTAGTTGCCTGCCAACAACATAGCATTAAGGAAGTTATCCCGACCATCAGAGCGCGCCTCGAATATCGGCATTTGACCTCCGGTAACCACAACGGGTTTACTTAAGTTCTCCAGCATAAAAGCCAGGGCCGAAGCTGTGTACGCCAGGGTATCTGTGCCCTGCAGTATCACAAATCCGTCGTATGCTTTGTAGGTTTTCTAAGGACGGAAGCCATTTCAATAATATAATATATTATCTCCTTTTGATTATCATTTTGATTGCTTAATAGCTAAGAAAGCTCTATCGTAAACTTACGCCAATTTCCCTGGCAATCATCTGCCACTCAGTCATCCCCATGCAGCTGGAGTCTATTAGTGGAGAGAACTCCTTTAGGTGGTACATAATGCGATATGGCGCATCTTTTACAGCCGGAAGCACCAGGAAACGATCCCCGCATTCCAGCTTGGCAATGTACTCCTTGTCGTTGCAGATGGGACAATCTTGGAAGCGACGTGCGAGCGCATTGGGCACGTTAACTAGCTCTGCTTGGACAGTGAACATTTAGTACTGGAATAAGGGTAATCTATTTATTTTCTACCCACCTCCTTGATCATTGCGCAACATGCCAATTGTCCCGCCCACGTAGATCACATGGACACGGGCTTCCCTCTTGCACTCGCACATCGCTGGTATCTTTTTGAAATTTACAACAAATTTGGAATTTTGGAACCTAATAAATATTAGGCTTGGATCAGACAGACACGACAGCGAAAGTGACAGAACGATCAGTGAGTGCTTTTGAAAAGTTTTTCATCTGCCATTACTGTACGAGGAAGTTTTGAATGTTGCCGCTAAACGAAAATACCGTTGATGTCAGCCGTAGTGTGACCAAATACGCCGTAGATGTGGTAAAAGTTAGAGATGGACAATAACGGACAATCGAGCCGATAGGTAAAAAAAAAATTACAATTTATTTCCACTTAAATAGTCATTATATATATATTTTTTTTCTCAATACATTACAAATAAAATAGATTGAAGGAGGTCATAAACCCAGCAATCATTGCGGTTCATAAATTTGAAAATAAATTAATCGCATACGCCGTGTGCTCGTGAGCAGTTCCGTGGAAATCACCCATCTCTAGTTTCAACAGCGCAGTGCAACAAATAATAAATAAATAAATACCATAGCACAAAGCATTAAACGAATAAATTGCACCCCGCAGCGTCAGGGACTGAAATCTCGAGTTATCATCGCCGTTGGCTGCTTGGCTGCTCGGCTGCCAGTGCGTCCGCCGTATCAGTCGCTGGCTGAAGCGCTGGAAGCACGGAAGCCACACAAATAGAAACGCATTAAGAGCGCCGTAGACCTCCGTCCGCTGCTGCGGACGCTGGCGACCGAGCGGGGCCACAACTACGGACTGAGATGTCCTATTTCATGCACGCGGCCAGCAGCGACCTGGTCAACCTCAATGTGGGTGGTCAGCGGTAAGACAAAGAACGAAATTACGTCGTGCATTGCAGATGATGACGTTGATGACGCATGCAATCTCCATCTCGCTTTCCGTAGCTTCTCCACGTCGCGGCAAACGCTTACGTGGATACCGGACACCTTCTTCACCGCCCTGCTCAGCGGTCGCATCTCGAGCCTGAGGGACGAGCACAACGCCATCTTTATAGACCGCGATCCGACCCTCTTCTCCATAATCCTCAACTACCTAAGGACCAAGGATATCGACATTAAGAACTGTGAAATCCGGGCCCTACGCCACGAGGCCGAGTACTATGGTATCACGCCGTTGACCAAGCGCCTGGCACTCTGCGAGGACCTCAATCACTCGTCCTGCGGTGATGTCCTCTTCTACGGCTTTCTGGCGGCCCCGTCGATGCCCTCAAACGAGGCTGTACCCGCTGCGGCCGCCGACGAGCCGCTGGCCTCCACATCGGCCAGTGCAGTGGGCGGCCGCCCTGGGTCCATGGTGCGGGTTCCGGAGCCTTCTTCGCGCTCCTCGCACTCGCGGAACTCATCGTGGGATCTGCGCCTGGGTCGCACAGGCAGCAGCGGCAATGGCTCCAACCCGCCAGCCCCCATGCTGCACTCGCGGAATCCTTCCATGGATTTCATGCGTCACTCTCGCAACTCCTCGGCAGATCTTAACAAAGCCTTCAGGAACGAGGTGGGCATGGTATTCAGTCCCACACAGAGCTCGCATTGGGTGGATCCCATGCGGGTGCAGATTATCAAGGCCCATCAGAACTGGATAGCTGTGGCCTATGCCCACTTCGTGACCTGCTACCGCGTGAAGGACTCCAACGGGTGGCAGCAAGTATTCACATCGCCGCACATCGATGCCACCATTGAGAGGATTGCCATCAACTCGAAGGTTAACACATCCACGGCGGAACCGGTGCCCAGCAAGATGGTGGCCATCTCATACGGCAGTCAGATCAGGCTGTGGAGCATCCAGGACGGCGGTCAAAAGACCGACATCGGCACATTCAACCTTAACGTGCGGGTGGAGTATCTGTTCTTTATCGGCAGCCAGTTGGTGGCCCTGTCTTCGTCCGGCAAGATCGGAGTGTGGCATGCAATGACCCAGCACTGGCAGATACAGGATCTGGTGCCGGTGCTCTCTTTCGACTCGGCGGGCTCCTTCCTGCTGCTGGGCTGCAACAACGGATCCATCTACTACATAGACATGCAGAAGTTTCCGCTGCGGATGAAGGACAACGATTTGCTGGTCACCGAGCTCTACAAGGACATTACCCTGGACCCCATCACGGCTATTTCTGTGTACCTCACCCCCAAGACTTCCAGCATCAGTGGCAATTGGATCGAGATTGCCTACGGCACAAAGTCCGGCGCAGTGCGCATTATTGTTCAGCATCCAGAGACGGCTGGCCATGGGCCTCATCTATTCGAGACCTTCTTCGTCCACCAGAGCCCCGTGACCAAAGTAATGCTGTCGGAGAAGTACCTTGTGTCTGTGTGCAACGAATATCACCATGTCCGCACCTGGAGCCTGACCCGTTTCCGTGGAATGCTATCCACCCAGCCAGGTTCCACACCGGAGGCCTCGTTTAAGATCGTTTCGCTGGAGGCCACCGACACCAGCTATAGCTATGCGGCTGGCAATGATTTCGGACCCTACGGCGACTACGACGACATGATATTCGTGCAAAAGGTGGTACCCGAGACGGATCAGCTATACGTGCGACTGGCGTCCAACGGGGATCGGGTGTGCGTTATCCGGTCCGTAGATAGCTCCACCATCTCAGCTTTCTGTGTGCACGAGTGCGAAGTATCGTCACGCATGGGATCCCGGTTCATACTCACTGGTCACTGCAACGGCGCCATCCAGATGTGGGATCTGACCACAGCTTTAGCGCTGCTCTCCAAGGACGAGCCGCAGCAGAAAACTAATGGCGGACCCGACACCAATGAGCTTCTCCGCCTACTTGACCAGTGTGAAATCAGCAATTCATCATGCTCAACACCGTGTATGTCACCGTGTCTATCAGTTATGGGCAACGGCTCTGGAATGGCCTCCTCCATAGCTCGGATGAAGGCCAGCAATATAGCGTTGCTCAACCGGGAGCAACCGGTCATCGCCGCCCAGATAGCTCCGGCTGCTGTCCAAATGCAGCTCCCGCCGGCGCCAGCGCAGCAGCAGCCGCTGCAGATGGCAGCTCCGATGCCACCGGCTGGAATCCCAATAGCTGATGACAACAATGAATGAGACGTGGAAGCGGCTGCTTGGTCAGCGCTTGTCGGGCGCGTTTCATCGTTCACATTTCACAGGTGTAGCCTGATCTTCGACTACCAGTTTATATTCCTGCAGTTCGTGGTGTGCGCCCTCCTCTACGTGTGGGTATCGCGCCTCACCCGCGGACTGCCAGCAGGCCAGCAGGCATTTACCCAATCCAAATAATCTCCCAATTATGTGCTCGATGTGGTTGCAAGTGCAATGTATGTATCCATGTATGTATATCATCCCCTCTTTGTGTTGTTGTGGAACGAAAGAACCATTGGATCCTACAGTTGGTCATTTCTAAAGCAAACTCCCTTTGTTCTATGTAGTTAAAGTTATGGAAAATTAGTTAAAACAATAATGTATGTAAACCAGAGTATAAGACTTTTGCAAGCGATCTAAAATTAGAAAAACTCTAACGAGGCTGCTGCAACGGTGACAAAATCGATTAATTAATGGATTAGTTTTCGTGTTCTCGCCGAACAAAGAAAATGTTTGTCCAAAAATAAGTTCTTTGTTCTTCCTTCTCCAGTCAGCAAGCATTTCAAAGATTATTTCTTGTGATTTAGTATTGATTGATTGGAAGAGATATCTCTGCACTTGATTTGTACTCGAATTTGTCCCGATGAAGCAAGCTTCTCGCAACAATATATTGATCCGCCGGCATAGCGACATAAGTCCGCCGACATAAACTCTTCTATATAAACTCCAATGGAGATTATTTAAAAGTTACCATTCGCTTAATCTCTTGAAAGCTGCACATAGTAGCCGTTGTCGAGTTTTTGTCGTCAGACTTAAGCCGCCTTGTTGCAATCCGTAAACCATTATACATATGTATGCAATATGCAATATAAATAAACCTAATTATATATATCAGATATCAAGGGAATGTTGTTGTGAGTCATCAATAATTTATTGAACATTTTATCTTAGTTGCTTGCTTGATAGTTGAATACTTGGAAGTGAGTGTTCCATTAACATTTATCAATTACAAATACTTGGCGTGTGTTTGTGTATATATGTTATACCGGACATGTATCAATAAAGTAAAAAAGCAGCAAAAACGCCAAAACATATAAAAATATATATATAATATACATCTATATGTATAATAGGTATGTATGTCCTCCTCTTCCTGACCGCCGCTCCAGCCCTTAACCAGTATTGTGCTTATTTTAATTTAAACAAACGGAGCGTTAATTTACCTACAAAAAATAGGACGCACTGGGATACTGAGATTGAGTAATCATCATCATAGTCGAGCAGATACTTGGAGCGATTACCCACTTTCGCTCGCTCGGAAGCAATTGTCGTCGGTCATACAAATAGTTTGTACACAAAGTCAACCTAAAGCTACGCTATATATCTATATTCTAAAGGGCAAACCGATATGAAGCTGTGCACCACATGGGGTATGAGTGATGAGGGGGGAGGATAGTGTATTCCCCGATCTGCCCGTGGGGTCGGTGACCCTTTAGCAGTCGCTGAGCGAACGCAGTTCGTAACTACGATATAATATGGGAGAACGTGGGGTAGGGGTCTGTGCATCGCATGGATGATATGTGCATGAGGGTTTGCTAAGCAAAAATGAAGGGAGATCCAGCTCACTGGCCACTGTCCAATGCCCTCCTATGGACACGGGCTATACGTGGAAGTAGTCGTCAACCACCAACTGCTCGCTGGGCGTAGATGTTGCCCCACTTAGCGGACTGCTCGCCTGCGTGTCCGACTCCTGATCCGCTTGCAGCGGCTCGTAACCAGGCTCCAACCCACTCGGGCTCGTGCTGGTCGTTGTCGTCGCTGATGTGGCCGCTGTGGTCAGATAGCATACAGATTCGTAGTTGGGATCCGTTTCGCTGCCCGTACCCGTGAGCGATTCATACTGCGAGGTCAGAGGCGTGCTGGTGGCCACCGTGGAAGAGTTTAGCGAAACGGAATTGGACGTGGAGCTGGGCGATGTGAGGGTGAGGCGACTGGTTCCGCTGCCAGGCGTTTCGGCAGCCGTTGCATTCTCCGCTATACGAGCATAGTGATCAGTCTCGGCAGCGGCCTTCGTTTCCAGGATGCTGGCATAATTGTGATTGGCATCCGCTCCAGGAATGGTGCTATAGCCAGAGGCATCAGCGGAGGTCGGTGGGCGTTTCTTCTCCAGCACCTTGGCGTAACCATCGTCCGAATGGGCGCGACTCTTAAGCACCTCGTAGTTGGGATCGTAGTCTGAGGACTTTTTTGCCTCATCCTCGCCAGCGGGTACTGGATGCAGTTGGAGCTGCTCGTAGCCCGGATCGTTGTTGGTATTGGACGGCAGCGGTGGCGGCAGCTGTGGCTGTGACTGTGGCTGGTTAGAAATAGTCTCGTAGTGCTTTGTGCTGTTGCTGATGGCAATTGCTGTCGCTATCACGGGCTGGGCAATCGCTGAAAGGGTGAAGGAAATACAAGTTCGTTACTTTATAAGCTTGACAACAGCAACGTTCACTTGGTTTGCTAAGAAGAGTTGATGGTTGAGTGTCCTGAAGGCAATACTAACCACGGCTACTTCCAAACAAAAACTTGCGAAATTTTCGCTCTCTTAGTTGAAGAAATATGGAAATTTCTCATTTTGGCATTGCAACTAAATGAGTTTTGGGAAGGCATGGCGGAGGAGAGACACAAGGAGAGACAGATAGATAGATAGACAGGCAGATTAGGCATTAGGCAGGGATCATCGACTAATCCGGGGTAGGAACCGTAAGGAGATCAAGCACTAAACCCACCCATCCTACCCCGTCATAGTCATCACAAAGGGACGATTAAATAATAAAGTGGAATGTATGGAACTGTGAACGTACCTCCTCCTCCTGCTCCTTCTAGCTGTCTCTCCTTTTGCAACATGTTGGCCGCATAACAATCCGATTTGCGATTCTCGTGTAATGCCGCCTGGCCATCAGCAGGTATCGTCTCATAACCATGATCCTTGGCCGAGTAGCTATTGCTTCTCCCACGACTCTTCTGAGCATCTACCAGTAGAGCTGCAGCGCTATCCAGGGGACTGACCCCCAAGGCATCCTGCTGTTGCTTCCGGGTCAGTATGGGCGAGTTATTTTGCGAGGATGGGGAATTGCGCGAGAATTTGTGCTTTTTCATTACCTACATGGAGAAATTTAAATGTATCAATTATAGCTTCATTCTTGGGTGTGTTTTTGACTTACCTTAGCGTACATGCCCTCGATATTTTTGTTGCCCTCACCTTCCTTAGAGGGACTGAGACTCTTGCTGTGCTTGCGCTGGGGGGACGCCTCTCCTACCTCCGCCTCGTGTCCATGTCCATCACCACCTCCGCCCGCCTCAATCACCGATATAACCGAGTTCCTGCCGGAAGCTAGGTTGCTAATGCTACCGGCGTGAAGATGGTGTGACTGACCCACACTAGACTTGGGTGTCGGCGGCAGCGGCGAGTTAGCCTGACGCTTTTCCGGCTTCGGTGAGCCTAGATTGCAGACGGATGTGCTGTTGTTCGACGAGGACGAAGCCTGGCGGGAGTGCATCTGCGCCCGCAAACTGTCTACTGGAGGTGGAATGGGCATATTATGATCTGTGCCGCTGCTACTGCTAACCGGTCTGTGCAATCCGCTACTGATGCCGCTACTTCCACCGACCGTGACAACGGACGGACTGGCGATCGGAAGGCTGCTGCTATTATTGATCTCGACGGCCACTAAAATGGGATTGACCTGCATGGGCTGGATTTGTGCGTAGGTTTCCGAGCCGCTCGTGTAAATATCGGCCGCGGTGTTCGCTCCATGACGATTATTGGGATCCTCGATGGCGGCATACGTTTCATCTGGAAAGTGAGGGGCATTTCAATGTAATAAGCAATTGAGCAATGAGCAAGCAGTGACTCACCAGAATCATCGGAAACGGTGGCATAGTGAGAGTCGTTCACATCGCGTGACAACGCTGGGTTCCTGTTTGTGGGCTTGCCCGGTGGCTGTTGTGCCAGAATGTTGGCCAGTGGCTCCCTCACACTGATGCTCGTGTATCCCTCTGCGCAATAATAAATATGATTAGGAGATATGATATCATCTAGAAGGCCAGAAACTCACTTGAAGAGTCTTGCGAGTCGCCGCTAAAGTGCTGGTTGGCAATCGGTGGCGTCATGTAGGGTAGATCCTGACTGGCGGAAATCATTCCTGCTATCGCGGAAGCAGCGGGTATCTCAGCCTGTACCGAAGCCGAATCATTGTGCTCCCTCGACCCTTCGCTATGCTGTGAGCTGCGGTGCATGGGATCGATGCCATCGCTGGAAGACCCTGCCACTACTGCCGCCGCTGCAGCTGCTGCAGTGGAACCGTGATTGGCCGCATGAGAGGTGGACGGAGCATTCAGCTGGGCATATGGGTGCTCTGTGCCCCGCAGCTTGGCGTAGTCGTGCGGCAGACCTTTGACCCGCGAGTACGGAGAACTGACATCGTCCGCTTGGCTGATGGAACTGTGCTGCGACACGCTGGTTTGCTTCTTCAGGCTCGGCTGGGCTGTAAGCAGAAGTGGCGGATGTTTAATGACAATATATGTACATATAATTGATATTTCACTCACGACTCTGATTTCTGGCATTGCGGGTATCTAGTAGCTGCTTGTCTGCAACGGTTTCGTATAGTTCGGACCCATTATCATTGCTCTCGGCCACTGGAATGTCCGGCAAACTACGATGAGCAGCAGTGCTCGACCTGGAATTAGGGATTTGGTTACTCCCCTTGCCCACCGAAATTTCAGGCAATGTCACTCACCGCTTTTCCGAGTCCGCATTTGAAACTGTGGAGGCATTCAGCTCCGCCTGGGACTCACTGGTATTAACCAGGTTGGTGACCACTATTACCTCGTCGGGATTTTTCAGCTTGACCATGCCCTCGAGGCCCATCAAGTCATTTCTGCGTGAATGGGGAGAGAGTACATAGTTTGTCATTAATGGCACGGGCGCGTCCAACTGGAACTGGGGCGGCATTGCGGCGGTAAGAGAGCCACTTTCACTCCGCTGACCTGCACAGCGCCTTCTTCGCACCAGTGACCCTAAGCGATGGGCTGCCAGGATGCAGGACTACTTACTTGGGAATGCGTTTCTTGCAGCAGAGACAAGCACCTAACATCACGATGAAAGTGAGCGTCAGACCGAGAGTCGCCAGGAGGTACGTGTACGAGTTTTGGGCCTCCAGGCGCAGCTCGGACGTCGTCGCTTCCACCATGCCCATGTCGCTGTGTGTACATATGCACTATGTACCCATTTAGAGCCTACACTGCCCACTACACATATGTATTTGTTCTTTTCGCTGGGCTAAGCTATTATTATTTTTTTTTTTATTTTATTTTTTTTTTTTGGTAGCTGCCCTCCAAATAGAGATGGGACTTGGATATGAAACTTATCGATAGTTCGATGTTTTGGATTCGATGTCCCATCTAAAATATCGAGTGGTTATGGCTTAACCCTTGTGTACACTTTACAAATGGATAATTAAGAATTAATTAAATGTAATTTGTTCAAATGATTAGAAAAACTAACCGGAATTACATGAAAAATGTATATATACAATAAAAATAGGGCTTTAACTACATTTACATTATTAGAGTTATAGTTTTGCATTGACGATATTACATATTCCTCTTCATTGACTAATCGTTTGTATGACTACATGTTTTAATGATTCGATTTGCATAAAATTAAAACAGAAATTCTAAAATAATAAAAAAATGTATATTACTCAGAGAAAATTAAATTAATTTGAAAACAGCGAAGCTATAAATATTTTTATATTAATTACTTATTAAAGTTCTTATGACAGCTATATGGTATAGGAAGAAATTTAAAATAAAGTTAAAAACTACATGTTAAATAATAAAAAAAGGCCATGTCTCAAATTGGATGACAATGTCTTTAAAAAGCAGCGGTTAGAACTTTTGTTTTAAAAATGATCGTTCCTATGGTAGCTATATGATATAGTATTCCGATCTAGCTTGTTCCGCTTTATATACGAGTGATAATAGAAATAGGTAATAAAATTACAAAGTTAGACAGCTTAAAAACTGAGTTAGAGACTATATATTTATATATCTGTTTGCAGCTCTCATTCTAACGGCTTTAATTGGACCGCTAAAAAAAAACCAAGAGCTTCCATCTAAACTTCATGAGATTTTATTTCATACAATTGATATTTGGTATCAAAAACTATAACTATGCTAAAAGCAGCAGCTTTAAAGGTTTTTGTGCCTTACACAAAACAGTTGCACTTAATTCTAATTGATCGCTTGGCACGTTTTGTGAATGCTGTAAGAGTTTAGAGTTCTGTGTGCTTGAAGATTGTTCTCTCAATGTTCTCCTGCAGCTTCTCAACCTTGCGAGTTTGCTTCTTAAGCTGATCCTCCATATCCTCGAAGCGGTTGCTTTTATCCTTGTGCTTCTCTTCCTACAGAATGAAAATAACACTTTTAATATATATATTTTTACGCTCTCCGTTCGCGATTACCTTGTACTTCTCCTTATGCAAAGCATGCTCGGCATGCAGATGACGCAGCTTTAGTAGGCGACTCTCAAAATGGAACAACTCAGTCTTGATGGACGCCAGCTCCTTTTCGGTGAAGTTACTAGCCTGCGCCACTCGCCACAGACCCTGAACCTTCGGTTCAATGAAGTCCTGACTATGGGGTCCGGAGGACACAAGGCGCTCCAACCGATCGTAGTGATCCTTGATGCCCACATGATGGCCGCGCAATGTGTTTAAGTCGTTTTCAAATTTCTTGACATTTTGTGAATGCGTCTTGATCTCATTTTCATTGGCATCGTTCGAAATCATATTGTAGGTGTCCAGGTCCTCGGTGTTGATGGCATCTTAATTGTAAAAGCAAAGTAATAAAACAAGCTTCTTCTTGTATTTCCCCCAAACTCACTCTCATGCTTGTCGGTGTCCACGGTGCCAATGTTTTCCAGCAGGCTGTAGTACACATCAACCTTATCCTGGTGGTGATCGAACTCCTGCTTTAAGGATTTCAACTCCTCAGAAGTAAAGCCCGAAATCTCTGCCTTCTCCCACAGCCGATTAAGTTTCTTGTCCTTGAACAAGCTCTTGTTTTTATGTCGCTCTTCGGGATCATGGAATTTCTGTAATAACATTCAAACCCTTAAGCGTCTGTTGATCTAACGCTGAATGAGAGTACCTTAAAGGGCTTAATCTTTTCTGCATCTTGCGTCTCATCAAAGTGCTCTAGGAGATCGTAGCTGCTCATGATGCCAATCAACTTTCGGCGTAGCTCGTCTTCCTTCAGGCCATCCTTGTCTTTGTGCTGCGAATTTAGCTGCTTCCATGCAATCTCCTCCTTGTCGTGGATTTTCAGCTCCATATACAGCGACTTCAGCTTGGGCTCCGTCAAACGCTGGAATTCATGTTAATATGTATTCAGAGATTCCCGGCAACTGCCCGCACTTACGTTCTGCGCCTTTGACCACACAAGATTCAGCTTGGCCATTCGAAACGGTCGCTGTATGCTCTTGAAATCGGGATCGTACTTCTCTTGTCGTACTTGCTCGAAATGCTGCGGGTCGTTGGCTTCTCGGCTGTACTTCTTGCTCTGCTTCTTGTCGGCACCAACGCCCTGCGAAGCTACCAGCAGGGCAAGGGCAACCAATGCCAGTAGCGGTCCTGACTTAATCATTTTCCCGTGATCTTCAACAGGATCAAAAGCACATGCAAATTTTCGGTGCTGACCTGGCTAAACAGTTATTCACAAAAAGCCGCGCTGCCAACCTCATAGGAAGGTATATTTCGGCCAGTGTGCCCAGCTAGGGATCACAGAATCGACGACTTATCTTTAGTTTTCTAGATTCGGGCACACTGAGCACCCACCGCTGCATTGCCGCGCCATTCCATTAGCTCCTCTTAATATTATTTATATTTAGCTTGCAATTGTTTACTGAAAGGAGCCGAGACAATGAGGACAGAGGCAGCGGTCACTTGTTTTCTGGTGATAATTAACAGTGTGTGCTGCCAGAGCGGCGGCGGCACCGGCGAAGAGAACTGGGTGGACCCTCATCCAGCCTGGTCTGACTTTGCAATGGACTTGGATTGCAAGTGTCCAGCTGTGGAGCGGTCTCCGGCTGCCGTAGAGGATGCACTTGCCCTTACCTACTTCAGAAAGTTCGCGAATCTGCTGTTCCAACGGAAGCGTTTGCAGGTGAGATCGGCCCTCGCCGAATAACCAAGTTTGGCGACATGACGTCATGGATGCTAACATGTACATATTTGTGTAAATAGTTCGATAAAGAGAAAAATGTCTACAAGCGATCCCTGCTGTTCTCAGTGCTGCCGTCGCAGTTGGAAGAACTGGAAATCGTGCGCGATGCCCGGGATCTGGACGTGGTGCTGACCAAAATTCTGGAGAGTGCGCAGGCGGCACCATTGTTTGAAGGCAAATTTGGTTGTTCCTATGCGCACAAGGGGAACGGGGTGTTCGCCTTAATTACGGATATTTTCAAGGACTTTGTGGCACTGGCGAAAATTTCCGAGGTACCTGTTGCGCCTTCTATGGAAACTTGACACTTTAGATAACGGACTGCCTTTCATGTTATTCCCAGGTGCAGTTTCTGCTTTTTGTCGCGTTTTCTATTACACTCGGATACATTGTGCGCAGGCGCTACCGTTATGGGATTATTACAATTTTCCTTGGAGGTGTTTTTCTGTTCGGATATCTGCACACCTATTTGGAATGCAACAGAGTAGGTTACTTCAGGCTGTAATCAAACCACTCTTTTCAACCGTATTATTTATTTACAGAAACTAGAAGTTGACGCCATGCTTGAGGTTATTGATACTAACCAGGAAACAGGGAGCTATGCGGAAATGTCTTGGTTTTCTCGATTGAAAAACTATGTAAGCAGAGCATCCCCAGGTGATAAACAAAAGGAGATGATTAGGTGGGTAGGCAATCTTAAGATCGCAAGTATCCTCTTTATACAATTTGTTTTTGTTTGTTTTTTGTTTCTTTTAGAAAATCTTCAAAGCTCAATCTTCCATACTGCCGGCCAGACGAAGTGTTCCTTATGTATGCAAATGACTTGTTCCTTAAGCAGTTGGAAGTCTTGTTGGAAAGAGTATCGCATACCATGACAAAACTTACTAGTAAGTCTCAAGATGCAGGGCAACCTTCCAAACATTTTAATAAGCCAACTGGGTTTGTCACAAATTATGCTTTCGGAAAGTAGCGTTGGATATAAAGTGCTTTTTAATAATGGTCTAAAAGTGCAATACTTTAGAAAGTGTACAGTGACTCCAGCATAACGAATTGCCTAGGGAAATTACTATTGGCACTCTATAAAATTGTCCGTATAAGGGGTTCTCCTTAAATGGTTACAAAGGGTCGGTAGACATCGTCAAAAGATACAAAACTTATCTAAGTCCCTTTTTTGTTTAACAACTTAAGGAAAATTTAACCTTAGTAGTGAATTAGCATTTTAATATCGAACTATTTTGTATCCGGCAGATGGATTGTCATTCCCCTATAACCTGATTGCTCCGCTGTTCTTGGTTGCCTTGGTTGGATACATTATAAAGCTAACGTTTAAGTATGTGATTAGCCCCAAAGCTTGGGCCTCACTTGTCCACAGCCGAACTGAGGCCCCAGTCGCCCAGCCGATCGGTGCTAATGAGCCCAATCGGGACTGTATATCTGGCGAAAACCTGAAAATGCTACTTAATGTAATGAACGTCACAAATGTTCAGCGAGAAACACAGCAGCAGGCCCTACCCTCCGTTTCTGGCGTCCAGGAGCTCTTAGAGCCACCGCAAACTTCTCCAAAGCCATCGCCGAAGAAAGAAGAAACGCTGGATACGAGTGATGGCAGCAACAAGAGTAGGCGCAGCAAGCAGGACATGTGTAGCGTTTATGAGGAAGAAGGTTTTACGCTGGTCGATGATCACGAGGATGATGTCGATAATATCGATACGTTGTAACAGAACGTTTTTAAACGTAATTTGTATTTTTTTTTCCCTAGTGTTATGTTCGTGATTTTTATCCCATTAAGTAGATTAAATCAAATTCCCATCCAGTAATTAACATTTTACATCGATTTGATTTGTCATAGTTAAATTTTTATTTAAATTATTTTGCGTGTTCTCATTTGCACGATAAGTGTTATTAAGTTAAATCTTCAACAATAAGATCATTTAAGTAGGCCACCGAACTTTTATATTATGCTGCCGGGCCCTTCAAAAAATCGGATATACTCTATGTAATTTGTTGATCCTTTTTTATATTTACAACGTGGCGCTCAGGCTATTATCGATTATCGTCAATATATATAAATATTATAGCAGTGGGCGCTCTGTGGGAGTTGCATATTAATTGAGTGTAAGCGATAATTAAATATTCGGTTTTTCGAATCTTGTAAAATCTAGTTCAATATGTTTACAACTAATAATATATATTTAATATACATGTGTATACATCTATGTATATAGATCTATATGGTGGTGTGTATATATATTTTTGTAAGAAAAAAATTAGAAAAGAACCTCGGTGTAAATATATTTATTCGTTGTATTTTAAATCATGCACCTAAAATGTATTATGCTTTAATTACAATTCATTCGTTATTATTATTATTATAATAATTGTTATGCAACTAAGGTATCGCACTTGTTAGTGGAATGTATTGTGTATGCAATATGTCATCCAATACATATTCTGAATAGCCAAAAACCCAGCTTGCTGTCTCCTAGAACTAAAGCTAAAACTAGAAAAACACGAAGCAGAACCCAAAGCACTGGCTAGGCTGGCTACGACGGCCACCTACTACAAGTTTTAACTGAGGCTGGCGGCTGGCACATCTGTGTGTAGTAGAATAGTCCATGTCTATGGCAAACCAAGAGAATTTATCTAAATTGATTTCACAAATCTTATACGCAAATTGGTCCGCTATCATAATCTTGATTAATAATTTCTCTACTCGAATTCAACAATTTCCCTTTATTAGTTCTAGTGTGTAATTTGTCACTTCCTCTTGATTCCTGTTAGCTGATCTGTTCCGTTCTGTTCCAGCCAAGAGTGTCCATCTGTGTCCTGATTCGGCGTTTCTATCAGATGAGCAACATCATAATTAATGTAATTACGCGTTTAGCAGCGATTAAAGCATATCATTCACTTAGTCTGATTGGTAAAATTTAAAAAACTAATCCTCTTAATATCAAACAACAGCAAACTATGCGAAACAATTCGTTCAACTCCTACGCCTACGCCTAGGCCTACGCACAAGCCAACCAACTATTAAAATAACGAATACCACAATTGGGAACGGTTCTTGTTATACATACGTAAGATACTTATGTGTGTGTTTTAAAAACAGGCAACTTATATACTTCTACATGCTACTGCAAAAATGCACCAAATGCTCTTCAAATATCCTTCGATGTACGTGTGTTCCTTGGCTCACTTGATGAATGGAATTGTACTTGAACTCGATTCGGTTCTTTATATATTTTTTGTTGCCACTAAAATGATTTCCTCTCTCTGTCTCTCTCTCTCTGTGTGTTTCGTCAATGAATTTCAGCAAAATAGGTGTAAAATTGTACATACACATTTAATATAATACAAATACATACACTGCCATCGTCTTGAAGGAGTTTTATGTTCTGCGGATCTTCGATGTGGGCATGGCTATGAGTATTTTATACATTAGCTTACATATGTGGCGATCGGGGGCTCATCTATAGTTTCGTCTGTATTATTCTGGTTAGGTGGTAAATAGTTAAACAGCAATGATAGTCGGGGGAGGCATCGGCATCAGTGCGTGCTCAGTTGCCCCACAAGAAGTCTTCCGTTGATGGATCCAATGTAAATATTGTATTCGTATCGTAGTCGATACAGATTCTATGTCTTTAAGTAGGTACTTTGGCTTTCGTTAGAGATATATTTATAGTAGTGTATAGCTTTTCATTTGATACCTGGTTATGAATGGTTGGTGGATCATGCAAGTATGTAAACATTTGATATGTATGCCGTTACGTTTCAGATGCGATTATGTGTAAACTTAGGGTTAGTTAGCTTTGTGGTGTGTCCCATATATTAAAGTATGTATCGTATTCTTGTATCTTGTGTACTCTGTGCGACTAGAAGGATCTGATCTGCTCGAATAGAACCTACATATATATGCAAAATATACTCGTAATCGTAATTGCAATCGTGGTGTGACTTACATCAGTTCTTAAATACATGTCTTGTGTGGCTGTAACTCTAGATGTGGGCACTGGGTATGGGTATATGTGGTGTATGGTGCGTGGTGCGTGGTGTGTGGCGCATGGCGCTTGTGGGTGGAAACAGCTCCCCTTTACGCTGCTGCCCCAAGGCGAGTATTTGTCTGTCACCGTCTCCCTTCAATTAAACTCGACGCAATGCGACCCGGGCCGCATGCCATCCGATGCTTACATAACGCGACACTTCTCCTTGGCCCCTCCGCTGGCACTGGCACTGGCATCTCCATTCTCCGGAATGGAGCCGTTCGTATCCTTGGACTTTTTCTCCTTCTTTTGTTTCTTCTGCTTCTTGGTATCCAACTGAAGGGAAACGGTGCGGGTCTTCTCCATGTTGAGCAGCTCCTGGAACAGCTCGGTTACATTGTGATTCGTCTTGGCAGACGTCTCCATGAAGGATATGCTCCAAGTGGTGGCCTGTGCCTGACCCTCGATCTGGGAGACCTGTGAAATGAGGGAAATTTTATATGAGAGAGCTAAGTCCAGGGTCCAACGGCTTATTCTGGCTTAGTATTTATATACGTATATCCTATCTTTAACTATATTTAATATTTAATACCAACGAAAGATGTTGGCCCAGATTTTCTTGTGGCTCTAATAAATATTTTCAAGGCATATGACAATTTTATCCTCTTATCCTGAGCCCTTAGTTACTTTCTAGTTTTACCACTAAAATACTGCTATCTGTTATTGCCACCACAATAATGATTGATAGTTTTAGTTGGCTGCTAACCTCACGCAATTCGGCGGTCTCATCACACTTGTTGCCCACCAACATGACGGGTATGTTCGGTATGTCCGCTCCCTGTGGAAAACAAAAGATTAGAGATTCGGGTTTGGATAGTGTTACAGGGAAGCTCGCCCACCTTTAACTCCTTGATGAGCGCCCAGATGGGTCGTAGCTCCTCCAGACTCTGCTTGGAGCATACCGAGTATACCATTATGAAGGCATGACCTTTTGAGATGGACAACCGCTGCATTGCCGGGAACTGATGCGATCCGGTGGTGTCCGTGATCTGCAGCGTGCAGATGTTCTTATTGCAGCTGATGACCTATAGAAAGTGAAATTAGTTGAGAGGTATTTTACACCTGTGGATAGCAGCGACACTGACCTGCCTGTAGGTGTCCTCGATGGTCGGTATATAGCTCTCGCGAAAGGTACCCTTGATGAAACGTAACACTAGGGAGCTCTTGCCCACGCCTCCGGCGCCAAAGACCACCACCCGGTAGTCGTTGCTCTGCTCCGGCGCAGCGCGCGTCACCTGGTTCTTCTGCTCCGTCATCCCGATCCCGGAACGTCGGAACTGGCGGGTTTTTGGATTCTAAGTGGAAACAGCTAGTAGAGATAGAGAGAGAAACACAGCTGGAGCTGGAGCTTGTTGGCTTGCTGTCGGGCGCTGGTGGAATGTTCTACTTGGGCGCCATGCTTTCGTTTATCTGCAACGATTAAGAGCAAAATCAGTTTTTGGCCACAACGCCCACGCACGCACAGGCATTCCAAGTGGGTGTTGGAGTGGGTACGGAAATGTGGGGGTGGCACGGCTTCAGGGTCCCCACAAAAAAAAAAGAAAAAACCAAAACAACCCAAAACAAAAAAGGGGAAACAATGCGTGTGTCGCTAATTTTAGCCATGTGCCGCCAAGGAAGGGTATTGATTTTTACATGGCTGCCAAATAGATCGGCATCGCCATCTCCTCATCATCCCAACTATCTCATTGCTGCCACTGCGATTATGATTGCGTTTGGCCGTGCGGTATAAATAGTCGATGCTTTGAAGGCGACCCCGACACCGTCCCAAAGGGGTTTCCTGCCCACACACACACACACACACCCACACAGAGAGACACACGAGGCGTAACTGCTCACTTCCGCTTGATTGTCCTGGTGGCACCTTTTCCGCATACCAACTCCTCCCCCCCCCGTAGGATTCTTCCCCCTCGTTTTGTTTTCACACTTTTTGTTTTTCCTCCTCGCACATACACACACACACACGCTCCCGCTCACCCACTGGCACACCTCACGCACTTTGCTGTTGATTTTTCCTTGCTTTATTTTGGCTTGGATTTATCGATTTTATCTGCGCTGCACTTCCCACTCGCACAAACACACACACATAAGCAGAGAACGAGAAAAGCATTTAGTTTAATTCCATGCTATATTGAATTTACTGCAGGATCAGAGGTGCTTTTTCTTTTTACCGTATTTACTTGCATTTCGTTGCACTGGAATTCGTTGCAGGACAGGATCTATTGCCCGATGTGACTGAGCTCTCTGCTGCAGGCCGTCCTATCCTCTGCTTCCGATAACGGGGACCCGGACCCGGACCCCGCCCACCCACCGCCCCCACACACACAACGGTATATCAGCGCCTGCGCCAGCCCCAAAAGTGACATAAAGCTTGTGCCCCAACCATGTTTCCAAGACAGAAACCGCGCGGCGAAAGCTTTTGCACACGGCTCCAAAAAAAGGGGGAAAAGCGCCGGCCGGCGTGTGCAAAAGAATTGAACATAGCAAGAAAATTGATATTTGCCGGCCGTGTGGAAAAGCAAAGCCGCGTTTCCAAACTGTATAAAACCGGGAGCATCCGCCCGAATATGCATCAGTTGTGGTCAGCAGCAAAGTGAATCATCATCTAAAAAAAAAGTTAAAGGCCTACTAAGCCCAAAGTCTACTAATTGTGAAGTGATCAAGTTCCAGAAAAACCAAAAAATCCAAGATGCCTTGCCCATGCGGAAGCGGTAAGTTTCAAAATGGCGACGGATCACAAGGATTTTCAAGTTCAGCTCGGAAATCATCAAAGTTTTCAATCGATGTTTCTTGAGTTATGCAAAATCCTTGATATATAGATCCTAAAGGCTAATTTCTTTCATATAACTTCATGCTGATGGTTAATTTTTTTCTGTTTTTACAGGATGCAAATGCACCCAGACCAACAAGGGATCCTGCAACTGCGGCACTGACTGCAAGTGTGGTGGAGCCAAGAAGTCCGCCTGCTCCTGCTCCAAGTGAGCTGGAGAAGATCTGGAGAAGAATGGCTCAGACTCACATCTCCGAACTGATTTCCCTTTTTTTTACTTACTCAGTCAGCTAAATTGTATTAACAAACATGTTTTCTCATTTTCCCTCCACACAATGTTCAATTAAATACAATTGAAACCTAAGCTGCCTCTTTTTTTGTTGCGCAATCACTTCGGTTCTGGGTCTGTTGGGGTCTCTGGGTTAGATTCTGGTTTATTAGATGCTCATAAATATATATACATATGTACATACGTGCCGTGGAAAACGGATGGTCAAGTGCTTTCCACATGTGTGCAAACGCGTTTTTATGATTAAATTCAGTGGGGCAAATATGGTAATCTGAGACGTTCTTCTATTGTCAGCGTGTGTTGGAGCTAAAGACGCAGACTGGGGATCAGATTTCAAAGCACAGCGGTTTGAACTTCTGACTTGTAGATACGAAATACAGCTGGAGATAAGCAAATATAGCTTTTTTTCTTGACTGAAAGGTGTTATGGAGCCTGCGGCCAGCATTTATAACGTCTTAAAATAATTTAAAACATTCTTTTATGTATATATGTCATTCTCATAAAAGAAATGAATGGTTCAACTTTGTGTCTGCCCAGTGGTCCACATCAACTTGAATCTATAAGAAAGTGCAAAAACCTTACACCTGAACTCAAAGTCGTCACCGGAATAAGTCAAGAACAAGAACCCGGGCGGATGTTTGCTGAGAAGCGCGACTTGTATGACCTATGGGGTAGGGTTACCCGCAACCTCAGACCCACGACCTCCGAGTGAAAGACCCCGACATTATGAGTTTTAAGTAAGTTCGCATTTATTTTTGTTAGCCTACGAATGCAGCTTAGATCTAATACTAGGCTAGGTGAACATACTTATGGAAGATTAGGGGACTCATTGGAGGGTAAGCCTAGTGCGCAGTGTTTATACATATATGAAACGAATGAGTGTGTGCATGTCTTCTTTTTGGTTATCAGCGTGGCCAAACAATTACGGGCGGGAGATATCACGGCAATTTCGAAACGTACAAGGTAGAAAATAGTGGGAAATGGGAGTGCTCGGCCTACTTGATAACGATGTTCTGGGCCAGCCGCTTAACGAAGTCTACGTTCAGAAAGTTGGCCATCAAGGTTAGCACAGACTTCTTGGGTGGACGGCAGTGCCTCAGGCCAGCCTCCTGGCAGCACACATTCGGGAAGCAATCCAACGTGGAGGTGCACGCTTTTGGGTGCAAGTCAAATATGGGCGGAGGAGGAGCAGTGCACTCCAGGTACTCGGAGACTGGCAAAAGAGGAGGGTTTTCAAATAAGATTTAAAAATTTTATTTATTAACTTTAAACTTACGATAGTCAAAGGAGCGCTTCACTGGCACAGGTGCCGTTTCCAGTTCCGGCTGCGAGGTACGACAGTAACGCCTCCGACCATCCGGACAGCAGACCCGGGGCCAGCAGTCCATGTCCGTGTTGCACTCTTGGACATCCCACCAGAGCTCCGCCAGCGGTCTGCTGGGGCACTTGCGAGGTATCAAACCCAGAATGGCTGTACAAAATTATATATACATCAAATGGTGAACTAAATCCCTGGTGACTAGCTCTACTCACGTGCATGTGGAGTTTCCTCCAGGGGCTTAGGAACACCCGACACACAGCTACTTGCTCCGAAGATATCGCAGCACAGCTCATCGCGCTGCCAGACGGAACAATCTCGATCTGTCTTGCAGATCTTGGGGAAGAGCTGGAAGCGCACCTCGTTCTCCCGCGGACAGTTGTACTTCAAACGGAGCTCAGCGGCCGCCCGCTTGCCCTTCTCCTTGTCCGCATCGTTGTCATCCGCACTCGGAAAATTCAAGGTGGGCAACGCAATTCGAAAGGGTCCATCCGTGGAGGGTTTCAGTGTGGTTGTTGTGGTCGTAGTTGAGGACCTAGGGCTCGTTCTACCTATTGTGGTGGAGCTCAGTCCGCCACCTGGGGGTTTCCTGGTGGTCTTGAGCTGTTTGCGCTGGCTAGCCTTTTCCTCCTTGGGACTGAACTTCTTGGGCGGATGGGGCTGCTTGGTCGGCGGACGCACTGCCACCAGACTCTGCTGGCCAAAGCTCCAGAAGTTGGGGTTGAAGAAATTAAAGCCGTTGGCCAGGCTGGGACGCGGAGCTGAGGGAATGTGGAAAGTGGGTTAGCTGTGTGCTCAGTGGCCATTAGTGTTTCTGCTCCAAATAGCAGACATTACACGTCAAGTAAAGCGCAGTTCCCGCCGCTCATAAAGAGCGTTTGTTTCATTATTCAGCAGGCAGAAAGCTGGCATGAATGGTGGATTAACCAGTTGCCCCATGCTTTCCACCCACTCCACGAGACCGTGTTCCCATCGCAATTACGTGCATCGCTGTGGCAATAACAGCTCGGACCCCGGTGAATCACCCACCGAGATCTCCTCAACTGACAGAGAGCATTACCCTCGTCCATTAGCGACACTTCCTCAGAAGATGGTGCTTTAAATTTCCGAGCCATAAAACGGGCTAATGGCGAGTCAAGTTCAGGGTGCCTACAATTTGGCCTGCCCACCCTATGCCAGGGTAGATTATGATTACATGGATTCTAAGCAGCCGGTGTAAACGATCGTGATCATGCAAACTACCAAAGGCCTAGGCCCCAATAATTCACGGCCTTGGGTTCGACACTCTGGCTCGGATTTAGCCAAGGTCTCTTGCCGCTGCAGCAGTCAAAACCGGCGATTCGAAAGCTTCGCTGCTCCAGTTATCGACGCTCCACACCTAACCTATGCACCTTTGAATGTGGACTTTGGCGAACTCCAAACTCCAGACTGCAAACGGGTATATCAGGTTTTCGACACTTTGAATACTCAATTGCGGTCAGAGTAATGGATTTGCAAATCCAAGGCGAATCTATTTATCTATTTTACTTTGCTGCATAAAATATATATATTTTTTGGTTATCTAAGATGTCTAGCAAAAGTCATAACTTCTTAAAAATCTCAATTTATTAATCTCTTTATAAAGAAGCTTTGACATAATAAAAAAAGATCGAAATGTAACAAACAAATTTAACTTAATTCGAGCCAATAATTTTATACCCTTACAGGCTTTGCAGTATGCAGATTTAATAGTGCAATAAAAACGAGCATAGAACAGCTTTCCGAATTAAAATTAATGCAATTTCGGCTTAATTATGATGTCCGAAAAACTTTGATTTTTCAACAAAATGGTCTGTTTTTATACCTTTTTGCCGGGTATAATTTAAGTCAGAAGCTTGTAACGATGTGAAGGAACCATTTCCGAACCTACAAACCATATATATTCTTGATCAGCATCAAGCGCTGAGTCGATCTAGCCATGTCCGGTCAAAAAATAAATTTTTGAAATTTTTTCGAAAATTGAAAATTTTATAAGGGGTTACATCATTAAAATTGTCAAAATTTGACAAAAAATTGAAGTTGTTAAATTTGAAAACTGAGTATGCAGATTTTTTAACCTATTGCAAATTAGCATAGAACAGCTTTCCGAATTAATATTAATGATTTTTTGGATTAGTTTTGCGTTTTTTAAGACTATGATTTTTTGACAAAATTGTCTGTTTTTATAGCTTTTTGCCAGGTTTGTAATTTTAGTCAAAAACTAACAATTGCATCAATAAACGCAGCATGCAGATTTAATAGTGCAATAAAAACGAGCATAGAACAGCTTTCCGAATTAAAATTAATGCAATTTCGGCTTAATTATGATGTCCGAAAAACGTAGATTTTTCAACAAAATGGTCTGTTTTTATACCTTTTTGCCGGGTATAATTTAAGTCAGAAGCTTGTAACGATGTGAAGGAATCAATTCCGAACCTACAAACCATATATATTTTTGATCAGCATCAAGCGATGAGTCGATCTAGCCATGTCCGGTCGAAAAATAAATTTTTGAAATTTTTTCGAAAATTGAAAATTTTATAAGGGGTTACATAATTAAAATTGTCAAAATTTGACAAAATATTGCATTTTTAAAATTAGAACACTGAGTATGCAGATTTGTTAACCTATTACAAATTAGCATAGAACAGCTTTCCGAATTAAAATTCATGTTTTTTTTGCTTAGTTTTTAAGTTTTGAAAATTCGAAAATAGTTAATAGAAAAATATCGGTTCAAAGAATTCAAATATTTTAAGCTTAGTTTTGATAGATTTCCCTCGATCCTATAATTAAATTGCAAACTAAGTTAGTTTCCTTTCTGGTTTAAGTTAAATTACAGCGGGGTATTTTAAAAATGTGGTATACTCGTGATCTTTAGTCAAATTAAAACTAACAAGTATAATAAGTAATAGTCTTAAACAATGGGGTAGCCCTATCTTCGGCGCTTTGATTCCACTTGTTTTATCACTTTTCGCACTCAAGACAACTTCTTCGTCAGTATTGTCGTTGTTTTTACATTCGCAATATCAATCTTTATGGCCGAAACCGAAGCTAGGTCAGTGCCAGAGCCAGCATCTTCGACCAGTTTGCCTGACATTCGAACGTTCACCAAGCCAAAAGCTAGTATCACATGGACAAAGTCTAGCTTAACCAGGCTGGGATCTAATAGCTCTAAGGATCTCTAAATTATAATTGCATTGTATTAGGAAAGTTTTCACTCTATTACTTTTTATCAGATGTATTCACATGGATTTGAGTTTGTATCTCATTTCTGGTAATTATCTTTAACTGTCAACTCACTTGTTGTTGTGGTTGTTGTTGTTGTCGTGGTTGTTGTACTTGTAGAAGTGGATGTTGTTGTTGTGGAGGAGGCGACGGGCCTGCGCCGGCGCACGATCTGGGTGCGCCTGCGCTGGTTGGATGCACTTTGCTGGTGCCGCCTGGCCTGATCCGATCCCACTGTCGCCTGCAGCTCTCGTGCAGCTTCATTGGCTGGCAGTGGAGCTGGGAGCGGGAGCTTGTATTGTGCAACCCCGCGGCCAGCAGATGCCTTCGCTGCTGTTGCACAACCGATGGATACGGCAGCTAGAAGCTGCAGCCACAGCAGTCTCATAGTGTCTGGATCTCTTTTTGGGGGTCACTGGTCCGATGACCTCACTTTTGGGAGCGACTGCAATCGGTGGCACCTGCAGACAGCTAATCAGTCATCATGGGTAACAGCAAACACGGTGGTAATATATGCTATTGGATTGGTGTTGGATTTAAAGCTGGGCAAGCGCGACCACGTTGTTTAAACACCAAGCGACCGAATCAGACTCCCAAGCTAAATTGGCGAATGTGCAAAACCGAATTTTCGGCAGCGGAGTCGCCAGCTGAGATGGAGCGAATCGGTAGCAAGCTAAGAGAGCTAAGCGGGGGCTGACCCGCTCTTTAGCGGCGCAGTGGGGCAGGCCCCAAACTGGTTTTGGCTCTCGGCCTAATGGGCTTTTAGCTGGCTTCCACTGCACTCGCTGCGCTGATCGGATCGAAGCGGTGGTGTTGTTGGTAGCTCGGGCAGCATTGATGTGGACGCCACTAACCCACTGTCGTAGAAATGAGGAAATGCAGGCCATCGCGCGCAGGAGATTGCTTCCGGCTTTCCAAAGGACCCCATCAATTAAGAATACACAATGTCTTGACAAGTTCGCGTGGGATTGATACCACGTAACTAAACTGGCCGATAGGCTTAGTGCCTAGATTAAATATTTTACTATAAATCATTTGTTAGGGTACCTTTCTTCCATTATATTTTTGTTGAATTTTGATTTAAGAAAGATGCTGTTTTTGGTAGTACAAGTACTGCTTGACCACTAAAACCACTAAGTAAGTCAATCTTGTGTTAAACGCATTGGCAGCCCACACCCAGATTCCAAGCTATTAGCCAATCCGCCCATTAATGTTTATTATCTATTCAAATTGAATACCGGCTTTGCATTAAAGAACCTGTTAGTAAACAAGGTATATTGGATTTGGAATCTCTGAATGCTGAATATTAAGCAAAGATAGCATAACCATAGCTATTTGAAATATAGAGTTTTTAACTATTGGATTAAACAGATATATGCAAAACCTTGAGCTTACTTGTAACATAAACGCAACAGCTGCAATTTGACGCCCGCCAAATGGCGAACCATTAAGATCTGCATCTGAGTTAGTTTAAGGATGATCCGCTCTTTAGCTTATGAAACCGGTTGTTTTTGTTTAGCTTGCCGCTTAGTGCGAATTTAGATGACACTGACAGATCACACTCGAGTTCGTATGTACACATGTACAGGGAAATGCACACTTTTCCGGCAGTAATCGCACCACAACACAAATTACAACACTCATTCGACTACATGGTTTCTTGTTATGGATTTAATTAGATGGAGATTTAAACAAACTGGTATTTTAACAAAGATCCTTCGTGGAAGGCGGCAACTGTTAGAATCCTGCGTGCTCTGGCGTTGTCTTGCGGGCCCTTCTGGTTTCTTGCTTAAGAGATTACTTTGGAATCGATGCCAGATGTTGTGGTGCACACGTTTTAGCTTTGTCGTCGCTTAAATCTCCAAATGATTATATGGTTGCTGTTGCTGCTGCTGCTGTTGCCGGCATATTAATATACGAAGTCCCCATCATCTGAGACGACTGTGTGTATTAATATGCCGAGTTTGTTTTTCGACACGCTCTAGGCGCGTCTAAAGGCGAAGAGGACGTTTAGTCCAGCTGCAAAAAGAAATTCGATTAGTCATCGGGTCATCATTCACTTTAATCCGTTGAAGAACTCACCTTCTTGAAGCCAATGTCGTTGGCGTACTCCCTGAAGCACTGACGGCAGATGTTCAGGCCGTACTTGCGGATCAGACCGTGGCGGTTAGAGCAGGCACGGCTGGAAAGTAGAAACGGGTAGAGCATTAGATCGGTTTTACACAAAAATCCGGCACCTTAAGCTTGGCATAACAAAAATTCACAGCAAAGCACTGTCGCCGCACTCGGCTGCTCCGCTGCCATGGGCGAGCGTCGCACCGCCTCGGACGGCTTTTACTTTGGCCACCCTCAATTATGGAAACTGTTCAAGATGTTTAAAAACGTATTTCCGTACTCAACCGGGGGCAAAAGAACATAAGAACATTCAGCAAACAAGTGCAAACATTACAAAAAGGCAGGCGCCATGCGTGCAGGGGTCTGTGCGTGATTAACCTCACTTTCTACAGGCATGCGAAAGAGAGCAAAATACGGGTATACGGGACAAGCATTTAAACAAATTGTACACCAAAGGGTGTGCCAACCTACGGGCCACAAGAATCTTACCAGCATCGGGAGCCTTGGCCGTATTTGCGGGGATGCGAGTACCAGAGAGTAGCGAAACCCATGTTGGCGTTTTCACGAGAAATTCGAAAAGAAAGAGGATCTAGGGGTGGGAGTCGGTCGATAGTTTGCTATTCGCCCCTTATGAACCAACTATCGATACGGGACAGTTAGCGTCGATGAGTTAGCGTCGAAATGGAACGGTGGGAAAATGGAACATGGGGAGTTTTTTTTTAATATTTTAAATCAAGCTACTTTTTCAAAAACTGTAATAAGCCCTAGTCCAATGTTCAAAAGTTATTTAGTACAAACTTTCTACCAGGGCAAAACGCTCTCTGTAAAAACAAAAAATTATTTTTGAAATTTTTCGAAGCCACCAATTTTGTGCGCAGTGTTGAAAAGTGTTTTTGAAAGATTAACGCTTTGTTTTTTTTACTTGTACAGCGTCGGTTTTTCAGCTGCTGTTTTAGTTGTGTTTTTATCGTTTACCATTTAATTTCCCATTTTCCCCTTCCGCGTGGCCTACTGGGCATCGTAATAATATAGTTATAGCCATGGACGATTCGCGCCGGTCGATCGCGGGAAAGGAAAGTATTCAAAAAGGGGTTTTACTTGGAACATAATTGTTCTGATTGTGATAATGCCAGTTGCAGTATGTGCATAGAGTTTTAACACTTGCATCTCCCTGCAGATAGACTCTCGCCGTTCATCGATCATGACCAGCGATGAAAGCACTATGTATTTATCCTTTGACTCTGACGAAAAGTGGCAATCGGCAATGGTTACACAGAGCAGCCAGTTGCTGGACATGCACGCAAACAGCAAGATGGAGGCAGGAGATGACAAGGATCTCAGGCGCGCTGTCCTGAAGGATCTACATCAGCTGTCGATCAGCCAGGATCCGGACCTGAACTCGCCCCTGCGTCCTTTTGACAAGAGTGTTCTAAACAGACACAATGCGTTAAGCTCTACGCCCTCCAAGGATACTGTTCCGGCGGTGGAAATGCCGCCGCAGTCCCTTCCGCTCGACCTAACCAGCGTGGATAACAAAGAGAACTCGCACCCAGATGGCGGCGACAACTCCACGCTGTCCAATTCGGACTTGACCGCCAACACAGTCAAAGCAAACACCCTAAAGACTGAGGATGCCACCATTGACGAGGTAGCTGAGCAGGAGGTGGCCAAACCCAGTGTGAGCACAGTTTATCCGCTGAGTGATAACGTCGTGCTGGAGAACATCACCGAGGGTGAGAAAGTCCCCATTTTCTGTGAAGCCTCGTTTTTCATTCGCTTCTTTTTAACAGTTTCCAACGAAGAGGTGTCTGTGATGGCTTCCCCTCCTGTACCGAAAGATATTCCTTCCAAGGAGGAGGTCAACGAAGTCTCCGAACTCATTGCAAAAATTCTGAAGATGACCAGCGACACTATGGAGCCATCTACCGTGTCCACATCGAAAGTTGAGGCAGGCAAGAGACAGTCCATGACCTCTTTATATTCGGCGCCTTTGCCACGCCCCCGGCGCTCGTACCTGCCCACACGCATGTCTGTGGTGGTAAAGACCACACTGAACAGTCCGGCACGCAAGCGGCGCACAAGCTGCCTTCCCGTCTCTCGCAAATCGGTGGCTGCACCGGTGCCTTCCCGTAAGCTGGACGTTGCAACCAACACAAGTGGCCAGAAGATCGCGGCTACGCTGCCCAAACCGCCGGCTAAAATCTCACCCGTTATGTTCAACTGTAAGACTTGCAAAGCCACGTTCCGCGTGAAGAGCCTACTGACTGTGCATGAGCGCATGCACAATTTGGCTGAAAACAGCCCCAAGGCCGTGAAACGCTTGGCAAGCGCCACTGCAACTAGTGCCAGCGGTTCGCAAAATCGCTGCAAGTACTGTGACAAGAACTTCGCCCTGGAGCGCGCTCTACACATCCACCTGATGGAGAAATGTGACAAGATACCGCCGGGGGAAAAGCGCAAGCTTCAGTACACAGAGCTCAACCATGTGAAGAAGGCCCAGCTGCCGAAGATAGCTGTTGTCAGTGCACCAGCAAATCCACCAAAGCCCCAACTACGCATGAGCACCATTCCGACCAAGGGTAATTTTACCATCAAGAATCCTGCAAGCAATTCGGCTAAGAGAAACGCCCAAGTAACCCTACACATGAATTTTAACTCAAAGTAACAATTGTAAATATTAAATATTTACGTTGAATATAGAAATATAGATTCTCTTAGCCGATAATATGCCAAATGTGTATTATAACACAAATGTACTCATATTTGCAGCTTTTTCGAATGGAGACAAACTGATGCCACCGCCGTCCGTGAGGAAGGTATCCAAGAATGTTGCCCATCTCGGGGTCTATCGCACTCCCACGAAATCCGTTCCCTGTCACCTATGCAAGCAGTCATTCAAGAGTATCCTCGAGTTTACCACCCACAGCCTAAAGGTGCATGGAAAGGGACCGGTCCAGAAGATCGCCATCACCGGGGAAGATGACGCACCGAGTGCCATGGATTAAATCAAACGTTTCGAGTGTAGCCTTAGTCTAGGTCTAAGTTAAGTGTACTTTAATCTCTTCCCCCAGTTTGAATACACGTTAACATAATCACTTGGTCTTCTTCTCGGGCGGAGGCTTCATGTCCACTCCTTCGGTTTTGATGTCCAGAGGTCCAGTGGCGTTGTTCAGTTCAGCGGCTGCATTGATATCTTCTCCCGCTATCGCCGACTGCTGAATGTTCTGCAACATGGGCGGAATTGGTGGCGGAAATTTGCGCAACAGTTCGGCAAGCAGCATGTCCACACGCTGTTTCTGAAACAGGGTGCCACTGTTTTCCTCCTTTGCCGCATTGGCGTCCTTCTTGTCCGCCTTGGATTTCTCAGACACTGAAATAAATAAGCTTTTGCAATCAAAAATCCATGGAAGGTAGCTCACAACAGGTCTACTTACAAACTTTGTTGGTGGAAAAGTCCCAGGTGTAACCCTTATTGGGATGGTAGCGGGCATAGCTGCTGGCTTCCTCGAAAGCGGACTGCAGATTCACAACGGTATTGAGCTGCAAAGATAAGCCATTAAGCCAAGATGAAAGTAATTTAAAGCGAGAATACTTACTATACGAGCATTGATGACGTTTGCCAGATCAGGGGCCTTGTAGACAGTGCCGCCGATGATGTAGTAGTCAGCAATGGGTGTCGCCTCCGAGGGATTGTGTCGATGCTGTTTGCGGATAACATACAGAATGGGCTCGGCCACATGCAGCAAGATGTACTCCAGGCCGATCATGTTGCTGAAAGCGTTACAAATAAATGTATTTTCTGGATACACAGCTCCAAATTCAGGGATACGTACTGTAGGTGCTCCGCTCCCAAACGCTGCATCCGAATGGTCTCGTTGTTGCATATGTGATCGTAAAAGGGATTGGATTTGCGACAGAAGTAGTCCATGACGCTCTGCGGACTGAGGGTGGCCATCATCTGGGTGTCGTGCCAGGAGAGGCGCAGGTGGTCGTTGGTCATCTGTCGGCTAGCCATACTGGCGATGCGATGCACGTGTCCGGCGTCCGGTGCCCGATCTGGGAAGTACTGGTTGTTAAGTTCTGTGGCCGGCGACGCGACTTTTGGCAATGGCAGCGACAGCGGCAGCGGCTGTTTTCTAGGTCAATGACGACGAGACCGCTTCTTTCCGATTCCTATTCCTATTCCTAGCGATCGGTTTGTTTACAATCTATTTTCGGCTGCCAATTTGGACGATTGATTTTTTAATTTATTTGTTGTGCAATAAATAATTTTGCAACGCGCTGTCGTACGTCGCTCCTCTCCTTACTTATCTCTCACGGCTCTGATCCTGTAAGTTAATCCTTTGCTCTGTTGCCACGTTTATTAAATGTGATTGCACGTTCGTTGTGTTTTTTTCTGCCCTATAAAACAAACAAATAAGTTTTTGTTGATATTTTTTCGTTCAATGAGTAGAGTGGCCTTAGAACGGGTTCGAATTTAGGCTGCCACCAATCATAATCGGTCAGGAAAAATCAAGTAAGCATAGCTGGTCGCACTGTCACCCGGAACGGAGCAGTGTGACCGGTAAGAGTTTCGCCAAAAACCCATTTCCCGCCGTTACCGCCCGAAATAAGAAGCACGCAAACACTTTTGGTCGCACTGTCACATATTTTGCAGGAAGTGGACAGTCCCAACGAAAAAGAAGAAGCAGGAGCTGCGAAAAAGTTTAAAAATAAACTAATTCCGTTTGAAATCAAACTGATATTCAATTTTCCGGCGCGCAATCACCGAAGCAGCCGCTCACCGCCCAGTCAAGACATAGCTGCCGAACGATCGCACACGAACACAAACAAACGGATTTGATCAAAGTTTGCGCTCTCACGGATCTTGGGTCGTTGCCGTCGCCATCAATATTGGGAATATCAGTTCGTTTTGTACCCTTCGTCGTGGCGCACGGGAAGCAGACGCTGAGCAGCGCACGGCTCCTGCAATGGTAACACAAACAGCTCATCCGTAACCATAATCAGTCAGAAAATCAATATGTAGCACCCTCTGCCCCCATGTACTCGTGCCTGTCCAGCTCTAGTGCATTTGTACATAGACAACGCGACTTCTCCTCCTATTGCTGCCCCATATTAGGCCTTCAATCGAATCACCCGCACAATACTTATATGTGCGTACGCTTTTGTAGGCGGCCAGTCAAGGTCGCATGATTCTCGGCCAGGCGCGCACATACATACACCCGAAAACGTTCTTTTTTTACGCCGCCTCACCTTGATTTTCAACAATATTCCGTCTGTTTGTGTATGTGTTTGCCAGTGTGTGTGCTGTTTCCATGGATGCACCAAATCTTTGTTTATTCCACCTGATGTGGAGGCATCTTGAAACCAATGTAATCTTTTTGTAACTGTCCCGTGTAAATAGACTCCGATGTGTGTCCAGTGTTTAGTGTGCGCCTTGTTGATCTTCGAACGGAAACGACTCTATTCTATTCTCTTCTAGATTATTGCACACATTAGCACGTTAAGCGGACTCCGGATCCGTTGCAGATCCGTATCACAGTCAGTTTCAGCGAAATGCGCTACATAAAACCGGAACCGTATTACGAAGTAAACCGAAACAGCGCCAAATCTCTTCCAGCTCCACACCGATGTTTATGGAATAAATTGACTAATACGTATCTATATTGCAGGGCCTTCCACCGTTCAATGTCACCGGCAGCCCGTTTAATGTGGTGCCCATCCACAACTACCCGGAGCTGATGAAGGACACCTGCGCCTTGATCAACGCAGAATGGCCGCGATCGGAAACGGCGCGCATGCGCTCACTGGAGGCCTCCTGCGACACACTGCCTTGTAGCCTGGTGCTGACCACAGAGGGCATGTGCCGGGTAATCGCCCACCTCAAGCTCAGTCCGATCACAGCCAAAAAGAAGGCCTGCTTTGTGGAGTCGGTGGTGGTGGACAAGAGCTACCGGGGTCAAGGCTTCGGCAAGCTGATTATGAAGTTCGCCGAGGACTATTGCCGCGTGGTGCTCGACCTGAAAACCATCTATTTGTCGACCATCGACCAGGACGGTTTCTACGAGCGCATCGGGTACGAGTACTGTGCACCGATAACCATGTACGGGCCGCGTCACTGCGAACTGCCGAGCCTGCAAAATGCCAAAAAGAAATACATGAAGAAGGTCTTATAGACGTCAACGCCAGTAACTGTAGTGAGATTAGCCCAATTGGGTCATGCCGAGCCCGATCAGCGTGTGGCGGTTAACTAGTCAAATTGGCAAACGCTTGAATTCTTCACGGGCTTACCTGCCAACAGCTGCACCGGGGCCGCAACCCGTGGGCACCACGGCACCCTGCCAATTGTCAGTTGTCAATGGGGTGGAGTGCTTCCACGTTCATTGGGGTCTCGGTGTGCAGCCGGAGCTTTTGATTCCATTACACCGATAAGCAAACACTGTGTTGATTTTTGGATATTACTTTCCACGTGTATTTTTTAATCTTTTTGGTTCTTTTTGTATGACAAAGGTGACCATAACCCCGTCCCCTTTTGCCTGTTCGGTACATGTATAGGGACTATATGTTAACTTAAAGCCAACTGTTTATAGCCGTTATGATTTGTTATATTGTATTTGCTCAAGCGTGTGCCTAGGCATAGTTGCTCCTAGACGAAAATCTACGTGCCTGCGATGATAATAAGTAGGAAAGAAGCTCAAGTAACTTCCAACGAAACATAGCATATACATAGACATATCGAGCCTTAGCATTAAGCACTCAACGAAGGCAATAACTTCCAATAATAAATCGTGTAGAAATCATAATTGAAATGCCAAAGAAGCCATTTATGTTTTAGTTTCTGGGCGGAAATGGCGAGGCGTCGCGACGGAAGCAGCTGTCTGCAGCATGAGCGATGCATCCCCATCTCGCCGAGATGACAAGTCCAAGTTCACGGCTGCGGCTATCTATAAATTTATGTTATTTTTGCGCAACCAAATTTGACGGGGGCTCGGACGGGCCCAAATGGTTAATGCCCGCCGCCGCCCAGCGAGTGGCGTCATGCGAATTGCTTCTGTTACAGAAATAACCATACAGTGATGTAAGGCGCGCAGAGATCTCTGCGTCTGCCAAAAAATGTCTCTCTTGTGTCCCGGGTGGGGTGTGCGTCTCTGTTCTGATAGCGGAAGCTGTTGATCTGATCTCTGCTGCTGATCTGCTGGCTTGGCTGGCCCACACGATGATTTTTTATGGTTACACATTGTTCGAATACCTGAATGGCGTTTGGTGCGACAGGTGCTAATGTGCCGACATTTCGGGGTGTCCGTGTGTCCGGTGCCAAAGCGAATCCGCACGTAATTGCAATTAAATATGTACGTTATCTTCTAAAATGGAAAGTTTATTGTGCGCGCGCTCACATTACATACGTACGGGTTACGTATCATTTGGGGAATCAGGGGTACTGGGACTACTATAGGAATATCAATTTAAATGTATTTGTACGACTCGAATGATCATCAGCTGCAAATGGATATGTGTGGTCCAAAGTGGACAACGAAGGTTAGCTCTAGGCAGTGTTCGGAGTCTTGCCTATGCCGCACACCTTGCCGTAGTGCTCCGGCTGGTCCAGGCTGTCGATGATGAACTTGCCCAGATCGTATTTGGACACCAGGCGGTAGGGGGCCTCATCGTGCACCACGGTGTAGGCGGTGGACGGCTCATGGGCGATATGCGGCGGTAGGATAGCAATGTAGTCCAACCCGGAAGCCTTGGTCAAGTCCAGCATGCGCTGGTGTTCCTCATTCAGTTTGTGGAACACAGCTGGAACCTCCTTGAGGGTTCGCAGCAGGAACGAGGACATGACAATGGAGAACTTGGTGATCTTCTCTTCCTTCATCGCCTTGATCAAGTTTGCAGTGCCTTGGGACAGCTCAGTGGTAGCCTCGAGCTTGTTGCGGGTGCCCAGGATCACGGCCACTCCGTCTACGCCCTCGATGAGGCGCCTCACATCCTCGTAGTTTGTGGCATCGCCCTTCACTAGATCAACTTTGGACTTGAAACGCTCCGGAACGGTGGCCTCAGTGCGATAAAGCAGACGGACCTTCAGACCTGGAAGATGCAAGAATTAGCATGACTCCATGACCCCGCTGGAGCACCTACCTTTCTGTAGGGCGTGATCCACGGCACACTCGCCGGTCATGCCGGTGCCACCGATGATTGCAATGCGTTGCATAATGTCTGCTCCTGAATCCAGACGGGAATGTAAAGCCTAATGTCCACTCTTGGTCGCGCGAAAGTGCAGTCTCACCTGTGATCCAGCAGGTGGTGGTGGTTATCTAGCAAATTCCAAATCGTAAGTGCCTCCAGCGGACTGCCTTCGCTGCGTTCTCACCTCGCCGGCTGATTCTATATCTCTCTCTCTCACGCACACCAGCAAGCAGGTGTGTCCGTGTGAGTCTTGGAGCAGCACAAGAAGCGATACTGACGATCAGATATGCGTGCATACATATGTATATAGATAGCAATATCTCTAGTAAAAACAATATTTTTATTTACAAACGCTTGGGTGCTCATTTGTCATGGTGATTAATGTTAAAAATTAATAAGAATTTGAATTGGCGAATCGCGGAATTGCTCAGTCTCCAGCACTGGTAGCGGCGGCCAGTGTTGTAAAGTGCTCCGCCGTGAAAAGTTTAGCCGCCAAAATTTGTTTACGCCTGCGACTCGTCGGAATAGGGATTATCTGCCGGATTCTTCACCCGCCGCAGCGTGATACCCAGCTTAAGTTCGCTCAGGAAGTCGGTGGTCGCTGGTTTTCGTTCGGGTCGCGGCTTGATACCGCTTATTGTGGCCGCCTTCTGGTCCACTTTCTGCAAGGATCGGAGGAGAATAAGAAATCCGTGCATATTTGTTATTGCTCTGGAATATGGACATACCTTCAATGCTACTCCCTGGCGAATACTGGCGAGGAGCGCGCCCCGATCATCTCCGCCGGCAGAGGCTACAGGAGCAGCCGTTGGCTGAGACTTTTGCATAGGCGGTGGTGGCGGAACACCGGCCATACCAGCTGGTGGAGGCGGCGGGGGTGGAGGCGCTCCACCTGCAGCGGCAATCGGCATTGGAGGCGGCGGTGGAGGAACGGCTGCAGATGGTGCTGGAGGCGGTGGTGGAGAAGGTACGTGACCACTTGCAAGTTTATTGTTTTGCATTTGGATCGGTGGCGGTGCAGCTGGGACATGATTGTACACTTGCTTCGGTACCACAGCCGGCGGTATATAAGCAGATGGTGTTCTAGCTCCAGTCGGTTTGACCGGAGGAGTAGGTGGCGGTGGCTTAGCAGCTGGCGCGTACTGCACCTGTGACATCGAAGCCGTCGAGTTGGTGTTTGGAACTATCGTTGGCTTTGGCGGCGCAGGTGGAGGAATGCGCATGGTGCCCGCTTTGCGCTGAGGCGATATTGTGGCGTATGTCGCAGTCGGTGCCTTCTGAGTAGGAGAGGGCCTCACCTGGCGGATGTCGATGGCCGCAGGGTACCCATGTGCGTGCGAGTTGTTCGCTGTGACCGCCGAGGGAGGCGGAGGCACTTTTGGTCTGTTAACCTGCTGCTGCTGCTGTGGCTGGACGTAAACGGGAATCACGGATCCCACCTCTTGCTGTCTGACGGAATCTGGAGGAACTGATCCTGGAGCAGGCAGATCCATGTCCGAGATATCAACGAAGCGTGAGGTGAGCGAGGCATAGTTGGAGAAGTTCGGAACCGGCGCCGGCTTTGCAACGGTTGCCATTGGTACCGGCGGAGGCGAGGGCGGAGGAGTAATCTGATTGTTGGTGGAAATGGTGGCGTAGAGTAGCGGCCGGACCGGTTCCTGGACATGAGGCTTGGCCTGAAGATCACTCTTGGTGGGCTGTGGGAGCGAAAATCGGTTTACTTACTGGCTCTAACGCTTCAAGGACTTACCATCCACGTGAAGTTTGAGTGCACAATCTTCTTGATAACGTCCTGGCGCCGCATGTCACTAATATCCGCCTCCGTAATGCCCCGCTCCATCATGTACTTCCGCAACACATTGTCGTTGGACTCGGCGTTCAGATCGAAGGCGTTCCTTGTGCGATCCCGTGTCACATCACCGGATACATGCTGGAAGTTGACGGGGCCGCTAATCTCGTACTTGGAGCCCTTGCTGCTGACCAAAACACTGGTGGCGAAGCTGGGACCCGCCAGGGCAACGGCAGGCGGGGCACCGGCATACCTGTCCAGGCTGTTTGACGAGGACGAGCTCTTCATGCCGTCAAGACTTCCGTTGATGCTGGCGTTGTCGGCGTAGTATGGCGGAGGGCGGACTGCTGGCGGCGGATGGGCGAACACGTCGCTGCTCACTTGCATAGACGGCGGCTGGAAAGAGAGAAACGGCTGCGTTCAGGACCAGGGAGCGAGCGGTGATGCAAATGTATGACTGATGAGGTAAGGAGGAGGAGCTCCTTGTCGCCGGACATTACCACCCAATAACCGGGCCCCTTATTGCTCCTAATTATGTCATAGACGTAGGCGCGCCGCATGATGGCCGGTAGACGATCGAGGTCGTCGGACAGGTTGGCCTTCCGCAGGTACAACTGGAGCATTTCATCGACGCCCTGGCCCCGCACATCAAAGGTCTTGCGAAAATCAATGGCCCTGCCCTCCAGCTGCCGAAACTCCACGGGCTCGGAAATGTAGGCGTATGAGTAATCATCCATAATGGCACTAGAAAAGCGGATACGTAGTTGGAGCTGCGTTAGTAGGGCTGCTAAGGATCGCACTGGGTGCCGCCCCACTTGGCTTTTGTCTCGGATCTCTCCCCAAAGCCGTACGTCCACAATATGCCCTGCGGTATTATCTAGTTGCCAATTTGCAGATAAGAATTGCTGGCGCAACCTGCGTTTTTATCAATTTCGGATTCGGATCGCGGTGGGCCTTCACCGCCGCTGACTCATCGTCCGGTTAACTCAGAGTCTTTAGCCCTAAGGCATACGTGAGCCGTTAGCGAGGAGCAATTACCGTATGCACCGAGGAGCAGGAAGATCCAGGCTGGTACAGCAGATCCCGGAGAGAAGACGGAGTTAGATCAAATCGAAAATGGAATCGGATCGGCAGCCGGAGAAGCAGTTTGAACGGCACAAAGCAGTTTGGCGGACTGATTAACCGCGGTGGTATGCCTTGTTAGGCACTGCGTTTACTCATTTCGCGAACCGCCTTATCTGGAGCCGAGGCACTGATAACTGATAACCGGGGGCCAGTAATCACCTGGGGCCGCGACAACCAAGTCTCCGACTCCGGCAGCGACAGCCTGAGCCAAAAGAAAACATAAACAATCGGCGTAAACTATATTTTGGTAGTGGCTCCCAGATAAACGCGTCACCTGTCAACTCGCTGGCTAGGTTGGGTAAGTCCAAGAAAATTGAAAGAAATAACGATAATGAGTAATATCTTCACAGAAACCGGAAACGGTCGTCATTCGAGTGAAATAACCGGCTATAAAATAGTAGTATATTCCTTACTGGAACATCATAATCTCATATTATGGCCAAGATTTCAAGAATCTATGTACATATTTGTATATATCAGCAAGGAATATCACCAACGTATGTGGAGAGGAAGGTATTGGTATTGGTTAAGTTAATTTTATTGTTTTTAAACTCATCTTTTATTTTATGATTCATAGACATAAAATTGACTTTAAGTCATCTAATGATGCGGATAATGCTCTCCATCTTATAGGGTTGTCATTAAGATTTGCAAGTTTGTGTGGCATTAGATAGCTGTCAACTCATCCCATAAGGACATATGGACATATCCAATTTAAAGACAACCCTATAGAGTTGTTTGGGTTCCTATGAGTTAGCTGTCAGATCTGATGACTTGCTATACGGCACATGAAAGGCATACCTCAGTTACCAAATCTCCAGCAGCCGAAACGTTTCGAGAAGTTTTCTTTGGTTTGTTGTCTTTCTGAAAAACCGTAACTTTTCGATCTGTTTAAAAAAGTTGGCCGACTTAGTTGGCAAAACGATAAAGAAAATCATAATATTTGGTTTTGTCCTGAAGTGTTAAACCTAATCCCGTAATGGACCCAGAAAATTTGGGGAACCTTCAGGAAGTTGAGCAGCAGGCGGGGGAATATACACTGGCCGAGATCGAGGTTGATATGGAGTCGCAGCTGACGCCCAATGACCTCGATCCAGGTGCTACGGTGTTGCTCTCCATTGAGGGGGAGGGAGATGGTGAGCGCATTATGAGCCACGAGGAGCTATCCAGATGGTTTTTGGTAGAGCCGTCAAGTCCGGCACCAATGCCAACAGATGTGGTGGTGCAACGCACCCTGGAAGACCCCGCTCTCAAGCAGATCCTCCAGGAGGCCGACGGCAAGCCGGACTTTGATCCCGAGGCAGAGCAAATGAAGATTCGCAGCTTTCTGGCAGGCTTTACACACAACAGGCTGACCACGGAGCAGTCGGTATTTCAAGGTACTGTCGTCCAGAAGTTTAAAGTCGCCTCATATTGCTGGATGATTTTCTTTGTCCCTCTTTTAGGATGCCGCGCGAATGCCAATGCCTTTAGCAGCCGGATTAAGTGCCCGGATTGCCTTGGCAGTTTCGATCCGTCTTCGTACCACAATCACCCCTGTGCCGTTGAGGTCGAAGGCAAGTCGAATACCAATCAGAAGTCTGTCGACGAAGCTGGGAAACGGGCAGCAACAGCAGGAGTAGCCAGTGCTGTACCTGAGCCTCCTGCTCCTCCTTCCCCATGCAAACCGAACAGCTTGCGTTTGATCGCGGAGAACCAGATTCGCTTGCGTCGCTTCATGAATGATGAGTTGAAGTACGACGTAAACAGTGGCGTGGAGCAGCCGCGCAGCCGTAAGTCCGGCAAGGGGCTCAACGAGTGCAGCAAATGTGATCGCAAGTTCGTTCACGCCTCCGGATTGGTGCGCCACATGGAGAAACACGCTCTGGATCTAATACCCTCGCAGAGTAACCCACAACCGGCCGCATCGCTGGCGCCTGGATTCACTGCCGCTGTGAAGTGCAACGTCTGTGGGCGCATCTTTTACGATCCACAGGTGGCGTTGAAGCATGGCCACATTCACTTCAATGTTCAGAAAGGTAGTCAATCGGAAACTGCGGACAAGTATGCCACCAATATAGATTTCAAACAGTTTCTGAAGGATAGCGAGTCGCTGCTGGGTGAAAATGGCTTGGAAACGGAGAAGCCAAATAGTCTGGAGAACGATTTGTTCAGCACTGTCGTTCTGGGCAGCGTCCTGCAATGCGAATTCTGCGATTACCTGTTCTCTGACATTACGGAGCTGCTCGCCCATTCGGCCACTCACCCGGTAAAGCGGCGTTTTGAGTGCACCGCCTGTGACATTAAGATGGATACTGCCAAGGAGGCCAGACTCCATTTCGAGGCGGACTGCATCTTTATGCGCGAGGCGGTGAAGTCGCTGAGTGTTTCGGTCAGCCGCTTCTTTGTGTGCAATGTATGCGAGCTGAAATTTGCCAACTCGGAGCTGCTGCAGGACCATCGGTAAGGAGGATATTGGTGTCACAGCAAGGATAATATTTCTGTTTTCTAGCTGCACCTACCATCACTATTTTCCGCGGCTGAGTCTGCATGGGACGCGCCTGCTGCTTCCCTGCGATTTTTGCGAGGTAATGTTCGAATGCGCCAGTGAGGTCCAGCCGCACAACGAAGAGAAACACTCCAGCAAGAAGAAGCGAGAAAAGGATTCGCGTGGCAGCGCGGCCAGCGGCCGCCAGCGTCAGTATCTGTGCGACATCTGCGGCAAATCCTACACCCAGTCGAGTCACCTGTGGCAGCACCTTCGTTTCCATCAGGGTGAGTATGAATCCGAGTTCCAGCCATTGATCTTACACTTCATCTGGTGCCAGGCGTGAAGCCGTTCGTCTGCCCGGAGGAGAAATGCGACCGCAAGTTTACCATCCGACCGGACCTCAACGACCACATCCGTAAGTGCCACACGGGGGAGCGGCCGTTTCACTGTCTGGTGTGCGGCAAACGTTTCCTCACTGGCTCCGTGTTTTATCAGCATCGCCTGATTCATCGTGGCGAGAGGCGCTACGAGTGCGAGGAGTGCGGTAAGCGATTTTATCGCGCCGATGCTCTTAAGAACCATCAGCGCATTCACACTGGGGAGAAGCCGTTTAGCTGTCTCTTCTGCACCAAGACATTCCGCCAGCGTGGCGATCGCGACAAGCACATGAGGGCCCGTCACTCGCACCTTGATGCCAACTCGCGCCTTATGATGCAGATGCAGAAATTCCAGCTGGAGTCGGCCGCAGCCGCCAAGGCCAAGGGCAAGAAGGCTACGACCGGAGTGGCTCTGTCTGCTTGTGATAGTCCCCCCACTGCGGAGGGTTTGGAACCTGGAGAAGTCGATTTAGAAGATCACATTCACAATGCAGAACAGGACGAGGACGTGCCAAACTATTTTATAGTGAAACAATACGTGCAGCCTAGGGAAAATGACCAGGATGGTTTCAATATGCGGGAGGGGACCTGCGCCATGGAGGACGGTTGCACCATGGACGAGGACGACCAGCAGATAATTCTCTACGAGGCACAGCCGGCTCAGGGTATTATGGAAATGGGAGACGATCAGCGATCGAGTCAGAATTTGATAACTTTTGACTATAAGGAGCCGAATGAGCAACCAATGCGGGATGAGGACTACGTTCAACTGCTTCAGAGCGACGAGAACGCCAGAGTTGTGGTTGTTCAAAACAATCCAGCACAGCCTATGTTTTCCAATTCGTACATGTAATCGGATTAGAAATTTAAATTCAAGCAATGCGCCAAAAGAATTTGATTTCCAGTGTTCAGAAGTAAGCGCATACATCACAAGTTAGGATATCGTTATTTTGTTTTCTATGTATATCGATAATTTAAATGTTGAATTACAAATAATACAATACTGAAATAAATTTAAATTTAATAATTAATGATATCAGACACTTGAATTTTAAGAAAATCATCGAGAAAATGTCCTGCCATGAAAAATGAGTAGTCTATCAATACGGCTATCTACTATCCATATTATATATACTTTAAATTTGAAATAAACCCGACCAAAGAATTGGTATAATTGTTTTTAATTTACACAGAGAGACATACATACGTGGCATTACTTACCGAATACAACTTTAAAAAACATCCACAGAAGACACAAAACAAAAGGCAGTTTTGGGTGATTATAATTTATTAGAATTTTTATTGACTTAAGGTATATATAAATAAAATATTATTCAAGTACAAAGTTATATATACTCATTAATATTATTTGATTCAAGTAAATATATATTTCAAAGTGGCGGTGTTTTATTATATCATTTTTTGTTGTCAATTAAGTACAATTTACTGTTCCTGCTCTATTTCTAAGGGTTCGCGCGTGGCACAGCACAGACGGATAGTGCGTCCGAGCCCCGAGATCCCAAGAGATATATCATATATGTATGTAGTATTGTGTATTATGCGGGCAAGCCCCTTCTGATTCAGGTTTGGAACCTTAGCTCACGTTTTCGTCTCGGGGACTCGGGGATCGCGAATGCTGAACGAACCCTGACTTTGCTTCAAACCTTGCCCATGCAACATTGTTTTTTTTGTTTTTTTATTTTTGTATCTTTGTGTGTAATTTACGTTTAATCAATGAATTTTGGATCACAAACAGTAAATACGTCTTTAACGATAATTGCAGTTGAATTAAACATATATTAAGATCAGGGAGATTGTTGGGTATTTGGGTTTTTTTCGAGGTTGGGGTGGGGACGTTGTTTTAATTATAAAAATATGGTATCTGCATTTTACATGTTTTTTGTTTTTGTTTTGCTACTATCGTTTTTTGCGTCAAAATTACCATAAGTCCATCCAGCCTTAAACAAGTAATTTTTCGTCACCGACCGCACACTCGCGCGCACGCTCCATTATCCATAACACTCGGTTTTTGTTTCTCTTCATTCAATTTTCAATTCAATTTTGCATTTAAACGCTACGTTGCCTTAACTTCAGTCCTTTCGCAGAAAACCTAACCCTAAAATGTATTTAGCTCTTCGCCCGTCTCCTCATCATCATCTTCGATCTTCTGTTCCTCACATCCCCCGCATGCTGCAGACACTAAACATAAATTCAATACGTACAGTTGACAGTTTAAAGTTTACAGTTTACAGTTTCAAATATTGGTTGTGTGTTTTTTGTATGTTGAGTTTTGTGTGGCAATTGGCTTGTTAAAACGTAAATGGATCCATCCTTGCGCTAAATGCCATCATGTTCCCTCCGATCCGCCTCTAACTTCGTCTTTGGCCACGGATCCCTGCTCTAGCTATCGTTCTACGCGCCTGTAAATATTCTTTCCTATATTTTGTTTGAGTTTTCAGTTTCAAGTTTATTTAAATGCACTAAAAGTTGCACGGACCTTTCGCTCGTTTGCCTATGTAATTCGGTTGTTGTCCTTTTTCTATCCTGTAATTGCTATTTTCTTTCTTGATTTTATACCTTCGCTAAGCCAATGAAATGTGTGTGAAAATATGTTTCTATTTTGTTAGTTCGATTTAATGCATTTATTTGTTTGGTTGATGGTTCGTTTTTTGCGTTTATAAAATGCCAAAAATTTGTGCAAATTTCTAAAACTTTTCCATTTTTTTGTTTTTGTTTTTTGTCCTTCTTGTTATTATACTAAAATATTTGTTTTTCTTTTTCTTTTAACTTTAAAATTTACTTTCTTTTTAGATTAAATTTTTGTTTTCTTTCCATTTTGTTTTCGTTTTGTTTTCATTTCGTTTCTTTTAAAATATTGCATTTTTATTTTATGTTTTTGTTTTTCTTTTGGAGGCTTTATCCCTGAGTGATTTAATTTCATTTGTTTGTCATTTATTGCAACTTTTACTTTATAAACTTATTGTTTTATATTCTCTTATTCGATTTAAGTGTGTGTGTGTTGTCAAGAGAGAGAGAGAGACATTGAGTGGGTGAAAGAGAGAGACCAAGAAAATCAATGGCAAATAATAACTCCTTGTTTACGCTGAAGGTAGCTTAATTATTTATAAGTTTGTCACGTTATTTTTACAATTTGTATCCTGGGCCCCCGCCTTTGGGGCCAACAACGAAACGCGTTAATAATATATTCTGCTGCCCTCTAGTGTAGTAACTGTATTTAGATCTGTTTTGCATTATTTTTTGGCTAATATGTGCAACTACCTATGTAGCTGCTGTATTGTGTCGTGGCTCCCTTCTCATCGTCTGCATCTGCTGCTGTCGTTAAAATATTTGTACTTCACTGCAAGTGTTTCAATTACAAACTGCACTGTAAGCTACTATAGTAGATCTGGCATCGAATAGATACACCAGCTCTCGATGTCAGCTTAAGAAATGATTAAGCATCTTTTTCTGTGTGTGTGTGAGATGTGCCCAAAAAAAGATTGATTTGGAGTGTGAAAATGTCGCTCTGGCTCGAACTTTTGATTTCTTGATTTCACAAAATTAGGAATAGATACAATTTCACAGATACAAGAATAAAATAATTTAATATCTTAAGAATGTACATGAAATTGTAGCAATCCCCCCATTCAGAAACAGAGTCAAAAGTTCGAGCTCAGTGGGTCATTAGCAAAATTTGCAGATTGATCGAGACAAACAAGGAAGAAGTGTTCGCTTTACAGTATCCGTATTTGTATCTGTATCTATATCTCTATGTGTATCTGTTGGCTAGCGTATTTAGTTGAAGCTGCGTATATAACTATACAAGTGTATGCTGCATCGCTATATGTCTGCATATGGATCTCTGTTAATCGTTAATCTCAAAAAATGCTTTGTATTTGAACAGTAAATTACGTTGTCACTTGCTCGAAGTGTTTGCACTTTATTTCGGTTATTGTTTTATGCCTTTATATTCCTATTCGGTTTTCATATGCTCTCTCTTTTCATTTGTATTTATATATATAAAAATATCGATTTATACAGTTGTGTTTCGGTTATTGCATTGCATTTGCTTTTGTAATCTGCTGCGATCCTATGGCTATTGCTGCTGCTGCGGCTGCTGCTGCTGTATGTTGTATATATTTTGTGGCTCTTAACGCTATTTGTGGTTATCAGTTATCGGTATTGGATTGGTAAGCTTGGTTATATGTGGTTCTGTACTGTACTGTGGTAGATATTGCAGTTTGCTGGCAAACAATGACGATGGCTGGAAGTTGGGCATGAATGCTGCACGCATGCAAGTCGTGTCTGCTGTCTAGTGTTTGTTGCTGTGACTCGCGTCCAAGTCGAAGGTTTCCTTTTGAACATTCAAGTTTAAAAGCTTAAGATTACGTGACCTCGATTCGGGGTTTCCCTCTCTATGCCTACTATTGGTAAAATAAAATACAAGACTAGAAGTATAAATTTTGCTTTTAGAGCAGCTCTTACTTCGTTAAAATGTGCATAATTCTAGACGAATCTCTCCAAGGGAGCACAGCACACGTGTACCGTGTGTGTTGTAGTGAACAAAAGCGCCACAAGGGCAACCAAAACAAAAGGCAAATTAAGAGGTTCATAAATTGCACATACAATATATAGTAAATCGGTTGCAGACACATATTAACTTATTCTTAGAGCAGCGTTCGATCGATCATCTCTCGTTTTTCCTTCTTGTTTATGCAGCGACTACAGATCACAGATCCCCGAAAAAATGAGAAACGAAAGCTACGCGACGGCGTTATCTTCCCCTAACATATGCGCATACTAAACTCGAATTTAAATCTGTCATTCTGCTGATTTGTACATTTCGATTGCTATACTTTTTTTTTGCTCGACTCTGCTAGTGTGTTTTGTGCGAAAATCTCAACTGAAAGAACTAAAGCTAAAGAACTGAAAGTGTCGTGAACAAAATCGTACTAATACTTGCATCCAGTAAGTATAACTCGTGTTTATTCTTGAGGGTTATTGTATTGGAGTTGGGTGACGCTCAGCAGGACCCCCGGTAAGCCCCCAGCGAATTTCAAAGGCAGCTCGACTGCTAACGGCCACAGGCGATACGATCTGGATCTACGCCCCCCGCCGCCAGCAGCCCGGCCGCCCATTATGGCTTGAAATTCGTCTGGGAGTTTACCAGAAGTCCTTGTACGATCCTCAGGAGCCGTGCAGCGCGTTGTTCTGCGCACTGTTGCCGCCTCCACCGCCACCGCCGCCTCCTCCTCCTCCACCGCCACCGGATCCGTTCACGTTCTGCGCCGACACCTCCGACTTGACGCGTCGGGCGATGTGGGAGCGCGTGTGTTTACGCAAGTGGTCCTTGCGATAGAAACCTAAGGTAACAAATTGATAAGTAACCACATAAAAGCTTCGATTCCAGCAACACTCACCTTTTCCACACTCAATGCATACATGCTTCTTCTCACCGGAATGGATGACAATGTGCAGAGTTAGCTGCTCCTTGCGCTTGAAGGACTTCATGCAGATCTGTTGAAAAGACGGCAGAAAGTTAGTATTTGAATTGTCTTGAATTTTCCCAACTCGTTTTTTTATTATTTTCCGTGATGGTTGTCTCGACTCACATTGCACACATGCGGCCTGTCCGGTATGTGGGAGAGCTTGTGCCTGGTCAGGTGGTCCTTGCGCTTCAGCGCCGCATTGCAGATGTCGCAGACAAAGCGCCGCTCTACGGCGTGCGAGATGACGTGCTGCTCGATGAGGCTGCGGTCCGGATAGGCCATCTGGCACTCTGGGCAGCAGTAGAGCGTCGAGCCGTCCAGTGCTTTTGTTTCGCGGATCTCGCCAGGCTTGGGGCGCGGCTTCTTCTCCTTTGGTGGTTTCTTCTTTTTGGTCTTCTTGCCGGTTGCCGTGCCGGTGGTGCCGGTAGCGTTCGTAGTGCCTACGGATCCGGTACTCGATACCGCCCCGGCGCCGCCATTGCTCACCGCACCATTGGCATTGCCATTCACCCCATTGCTGGCTCCTCCTCCATTCGTCAGCGCCGCACCGTTGGCATCCGTCATGTTGGTCATATGACCGCCGTGCTCCATGCCCACCAGTCCGTTGTGGTGGCCCCCATTGGCCCCATTATTGCTGGGCGTCAGGGCGACACCGCCCAGCGCCAGGCTGGCCAGATTGGTGCCGTTCTTGAGGACATCGCCGGTGGACTCCTTCTTGATGGTCTCCGAGTACTTGAGGAAGTGCTGTATGGAGATGGGCAGTGTGGCGGAGAGCAGGTGAGACGAGTAGTCCACCGTGTTGGCCGTGTTGGCCAGCGTTTGCCAGGATTGGTTCACATTTTGCAGGATCTGCTGATTGAGGACTATGGAAATGGGAGAGGAAGAATTTATTTTAGTGCGAACTAAGGAGGCACATTCTAGAGAATTGAAAATGTTTGATTTCAGCCAAAATAGCATTTTTAAATCTCTAGCATTTAATTTTGTCCCATAGAGTATTATTTAATAAGCCTGTATTCATTTTTAATGTACTATTTATTGAACAATTGCATTTGCAAAATATTATTGCATACTTTTCAAGCCCCAAATTCTATATATTTTAATCAATATGACATCTCATTATTATCTAATCAACTCCTGCATAATTTTCTTTGAAGCAGAAAAAAGGAGGCCTACCCCAACAGCATTTTCCCAACACCCTTTACCTTTTTGGGGGGCGTGTCAGCTGCTTTCTAGTATATGTGTCTGGGTAGCAACCAAGTTTTCGTCCTTTTCCTGTTTTCTTTTACAGCTGGACACGGTCAATAAAAATGAAACAATCTTGGCTACTTAATAAAAAGTGGTTTCATTGTTAACTTTATAGTAGGTAAGAAAGTTATATTATAATTTCATAATTATAATTTACAAGTTAACTTGATCGAAAATATACTACTGAGTAAACAAATATGCACATATATTTATAACTTTAAAAAAACTCAGGATAAACAACGAATTTAGGTTTTGAAGGGTTGGTAAAAATCCGGAACGGGCTGTCTATCCTGAAGAATCCCCGGATAGTAACCATTATTTACTGCCAAGGACACACCCACCCCTCCTCACATGCGAGCGTTGCAAACTTTTCACCTTTGCAGCGTGCGTAATCATTGGGAATGAGAGGAGCAACATTCACATCCACTTGTTTAAGGTGGCTCAGCGTAAAACTGGATGAAAAAGTGTGCTATACCCAACCCACCTGCCCCTTTCACTGCCCCTCGACCCGGGGGATGGCAGACAGGCCCAAAAACATTTATAAATAACGAAGCCGAAGGGAGACGCACGACGAGTGATGACTGCGTCCTTGAAATACACATATACCGACCCGAAAGCGCTGTACATACACCAGCCAGCTCAGCTTCCCCCAGACCCAGCAGCACGAGCCGGAGCCGGAGCCAGAGCCAGAGCCAGTCCCGGAGCCACCCACCCGCGTAGTTCCGCCCACTCAATCCCCAACTGGCGGCTCGCCGACGACTCACCTTCTTCCCGGTCACGTTCGATTTTTGGATGGATTTTACCCTTATGATCGGCCGCAGCGGCTGCATTGAGAAAGTTCAGATCACCCTGCGGCTGTGAGTACGGTATGGATATATTCTGGCCATATTGCATGTTGTTGGCAGCCGAAACTGAAAAGATATCAAATTTTCACAATTAATATTGGCTTTTTGGTTAAACTCGGTTGTGTGGTGCAGGAAATAAGAAAGGGGCAAAGGATATTTACACATGGTGAACACCCTTTAATGGAATTATGGTGTGTGGTTGCTTTTTTTTCTTCTTTTTTTCCTTGTGTGTGTTTTGTCAGGGATTTAGCACTATTAATGATTAAAACACTGGAACACCACTCAATTCGGCCCGCCGCTCTCGCACAACGCACTCTGGCCGACTAACTACAACCGACTGGGCCTGACTGGAGTTGCTCCTGGTTCCGGCAAATGCTTCCCTTTGCCGACGGTCTCCTCGTCCGTCTCCGGCCGGCTCCGAATCGAATCCCGTGGCTCAGCTGGCGAGCCGAATAAAGATCGGGTGCCGGCACAAAAACAACGTACGGCCGACAAAGTAACGACGATATGGCACGACACACGTACGCCTATATACGGATATATATATATATATATATATATATATATATATATATATATATATATATATATATATATATATATATATATATATATATATATATATATATATATATGTATGCATGTATCTAGGGCCAGTAACTCGGTGCCTGTGCCTGTGTGTAGGCAGCAACATTTTCTGCATACAAAAATATTGGAGTGGACTTTGGTTCGGATTGGTAACAAAAAACTTGGCCCAAAACTATACCCTTACAGGGTATTAGACCTCTAGTCAGAAGCATGGAATGCAGTGAAGGAGTCATGTCCGACCCTGTAAATCATATACATATATTCTTGATCAGCATCGACAGCACAGTCGATCTAGCCATCTCAAGCAGAAAAAATCTAATAAAAACTAGCACAGAAAATCTTTCCTTTTTCTGTGCAAGATTATATAAATTTCGGACTCCCAAAGTTATCTTTGTTTTTTGGATTAATATAAAATAGTTCACATTATAATATCATCATCATATCATAAATTAAAAAAAAAAAAGCTCTTGATCAAATATAGTTCCTAATTATTTCGTCTAAATATTACACTAGCTGGCGTTAGTCCTCGATCGCCGACTCACGTTCCCACATCAAGAGAACCATAATTTTGAGTCCAATTCTTCTCCCTGAAGCAAAAATCAGCTGAAAGTCCTTTTAAAATTCAAATAAGGAAATACTGATTGATAGTAGGCCTAGTTTTCAACCTTAAAAGGTCCACCCTAACGACCATAAATATGTATTGGTGTAGTATAGTTAACGGCGCTTGTTCCTACTCGCCGAACGTGCGTGTGCCTACAAATTGTTGTTGTCTGCTGCCTGTCGTCGTCCTCTCCCCCAAACCACCCGCTGAGGCCTCCCTCTTTTGGGCCACACGCTGCCGTCTGCCAAGGCCAAATTTTCACACACACACACTCACACAGAGAGAGACGCACACACGTGTTGTCGGGGCCCCCGACAACGCATACACATAGGAAAAAGGAAATTAAAACTGAAACTGAAAATGCCGGCCGCGCACACGCCCGAATGTATGCCATAGGAAAAGCGCTCGTCGCTTTTTTCTTCGCTTTTTCGGTGGTTCTGTGTGTGTGTGTGTGTGTGTGCATCTTCCCTGCTTTCCCCCGGATCCGCGGTGCCTGCTTCTTGGCTTTTTCTTAGCCGGGTGCTCGGTTTTATAAATAACATTCTCGGGTTGTTGCCAATTGCCTGGCTTTTCTATATGTACGCCTGCCTTAAATTGTTCCTGTGTACCTTCATAGAGCCGATGATTCTGGATGGAAGGATTCGGATTCGGAAAACTGTTCTCTCTACATTTTATAATGATATTCACAATTAGGCAAATAAAAAAAGAACAACGCCTGCTGTCTGAGGAAAAGCATTTCCCTCTCGCTGACGTGGTGAAATTTATGTGTCCCTGTGCGTGTGGCCCGTGCTGGTCTTAGTCTCCATATAAATTACCATTCGACCTTGGGCCATAACTTAACATATTTCCGAATGCTTTAATTCTTTTCGTCTCTTTTTTTGGGTACAAAACATGCTGCTAGCTTTCCCTAAAGCGTTACTTTAATAAACTCGTCCAAGTGGCAGTAATTTAAATTGAAACCATATGGTTATGCAAATGATTATGCTTTAACGTCACGAGAAATCAGAGCAATAAAGCACGTTACTTGTTTATGCAAAACCTATAAGAGACATGTAAATCCAATGATTGTAGAATTATGTAGGTTTTTGTGAGCTATAGACATTACAAAGTTATTTTAAATTAAAAAAATATATATGTAAAAACAAAACAATGTTTAAAAAATTGCCATCGAAAATAAAACATATTTAGACTGACCTATCTTTAAGGGTTTTCAAAACTAGTAATTTCTTAAGCACCCTAGATAATCACCAATTAAAAATAAAATCTAATAATGGAATCTACTTTTAATAAATCAAAAAATTATTGCCAATAAAATATATTGGAAAAGGGGCAACATATTAAAGCATACTTTTAGAGAGATTTTTAAAGGATATCGGTAAGTGCCTTTTTATAGAATCGAAAGAGCATACTGATTTAATGTAATCTTCGTATTTGATTTCCTTCTTAAAATATCACAGGGCTTTAAAAGAAAACATTCATAAATGGAAGTATAATATAGATAAATTGTCATTTTAGAACACTTAAAATGTGTTTAATGTAAATGAGCAACTTATCCTTGTCAACATATTACCAAATGGTATTATCAACAAGGTAACATATAGTTTACTTCCTTAACATAATCCATAGCTTTTAATGCGGTACTTAGTAGTAATGAATTACTAATGCAATTGACTAAGTGTCAATTGGTTAAGGCATCATCATCATCATCCGGAAAACGGCTTTGAGAACAAATGCAACAAAAAAGAAATGAAAATTGAAAGGTAGTCATAAAAAGGGTTCAAAGGCATCCGGAAAATACGGACTGGAGTGGCCAAAAACACGGGCGACAACAACAGAGATGGAGACGGAGACATGGTAACAACAAAAAGCGGGATGTGGATGTGGATGGCAACCGGCATTCGTCGTTTTCGACGGTTCGGCCGTGGCATTTCACTTTTCACTTCACTTTCCCATGAATAGGATGACGACAACGACAACGTGGAGGAGGCGAATATATTGCCGGATTCGGACTCGTATTCGGAGCTGGAGCCGGAGTAACGAGTCAAAGTCGGTGAAGTCGGAAACACGGCCAAGCGAGAGTGAGAGAGCGGCGAGAGTGGAACAAAATGGAAAGGAATGCGCCGGGCAGCGATTTTGAAAACATGGCGTTTATCTCGTCCTGTCCGTGTCTATGTGTGTCGCTTGCCTCTGTCTGCGTGTGTGAGAGGCAGTGAAAGCGGTGAGAGCGCCCGCGCGGTAGAGGGAGCAGATGTCACTTCCGCTTTTTTCCCGTCAAAATTGTCTTTTTTTTAAGCAGAAATTCTAGTTTTTTGTTTTTAGAAAATAAAAGCAGCTTTTTTGAAAAAGTTATGTTCTGAAATAAACTTAGAACTACCGCAATTCTGGAGGAAACTGTCATTTCTGTGAGATGACTTTAGTTTCATTGCTAATGTTTGATTGAATATATCTTTACTATAGATGGGCTTTCAAACTATAAAAATCCGTTATTTTCTTCCTGTTTCAGGAATTCGGTTTTCTAGCTTTTTCATTTCGTTAATCCAGCTTTTTTTTGGGAAATATCACTGTGAGGAAAAGCTGCAACCCCTAACGGAGTTGGGCGAAACTTGACCCGAAGTGTGCTGCCAGCAGAGAGCGAGAGAGTGAGAGCGTATGTCAGTGGGGTGGTGTAGCGGGGGTGGTTGAGTAGAAGGGGTACAAGCATAGTACACTTCAAAAATTATTTTAAAAAAATATTAGACAATTAATCAATTAAAAAGGAATAGTATAAAGTATCTTCACGTGTGTATGTATTTTTGTTCTAAAAGAAAAACTAACAGTAAAGAATTACTATATAATTTGTATTTAAACTATTTAAAACCAGTAAAAACAGTTATTTTTCTTTACTAAAACAATGTGGCAAAAGTCATACAATTATTTAAAATTTAAAAATAAAAATAAGTCAAGGTATGGCCTGAAAAAACAATTTTCTCATTCTTAAATATCGAAATAACCCATACATAATATATATAAAATTATAAAATTATTATAAAATGTTACAAAAATAAAGCAATTTTGAATTTAAATGATTTTAATATTTAGCATAAGGAGCTCTTCTGAGTGTACAGTAACACGAACGAGATTGAGAGGGGTAGAAAGCAAACGGCGCCATCGCCAGAGCTTAAGTCATCAGCGCTAGCAGGACCAAAAACAAAACAAAAAAAGTCGAAAGCTCTACGGCCACTTTAAGCCTTAAAGTCAATGGTGAAGCAACAAAGAAATAAATAATCAATGCTTGCTAATATTTATTTATCTATATCCATTGAGAGGAAAGGGCTTTGGGGGTTTGGGTCTGTGTGCCCCATCGTAATTGCTTTATCATGCGCACTTTTTTAGTGTTGCATACATCCAGGCAACGATTTGGGGGTGTAACCAGTCATTCACACCCACGAAGCACATACCTCTATGTACAGTGCACATAGGTACATAACTTTGTACATAGAAATGTATGTATTTATGTATATAAAAAATGCAAATGTTTTATGGCTGGGGTGTCTGCTGTACATTAGGGGGACGTTAATAAAAGGGAGCGCGGAGCGTGTCCTCGACAACAAGATACCCGGTGTCCACTGACTTTTCAAATATTCCTAATAAAGGCTTACATCCCATTCTCCTAATGTTTTCAACCAAGTCAGAAAACAGAAATCTTGAAATAATGTTAAACAGAATTTACATTTATTGTATTTCTGCAACGTTTAGGCATAGGATAATTGTAACACATAATAGAAACTAAAGAAAAATATTAAGTAATTTATAACAATTAATTATTTAAAGCTATTACTTGTGTTTTTTTTTTTTTCCTTTACGATAATTGTCATGTATTAAAACCTCATTTGAAAAAAATTAAAGGAATAGGAAAATACAACTTCAGGACCATAAAGTATAAGTTTATACGATAATTAAAAGGCGAAATGCTTTCTTTTCTTATGATTATAATAACATTATCATAATAAAGGAAATTGTGTATACTAACATAAGAACCCTAAACCAGTTGCATTATCTGTTATATTTTCATATAAGTGATTACATCTCCATTTCTATATTGTAAATGCGTTTCATCTCTATCTTAATTATTCTTCAGTTTTGGGTTTTCCAACAGCTGAAGTCCAAGCAACATTCTCCCAATCTCCGTCAGGTATTTTATCTGTTTACATTTTCAGATACATGTCTGCTGCCATGCATTTCCCGGTAACCCAATAATGATTTATACAAGCAACCCGGCCAAATTATCGGGTAGGTATCGAGAGATAAACCTCGAGCAGGTCAGAAAGTCGCAGGGCAGCGATAATGCAGCTAATAAGCGAGAAAAGCAGGAAAATGCAGTGGCTCGAGTGAGTACGTGGGACACCATACCTGCCTGGGATCAGCTTGGGCACTCGAATACCACCGAATACTGAATACCGCCGACCCGTGGATTACACACACTCTCGGTGTGTGTACAGAGGCAGATAAAAGAGCAACCCACAAATACAGGAACGACACACACACACTGGCAAACGCATTTTCCTGTTATGGCAGCAGGTAAAAAATATATAAAACGCTAAACTGGAAATATAATGCGTAGCTCAAAAGGCGGGATCAATGAACCTAAGCGATGCAGAGGAGTTTGGGTCTGGGTTCGGGCTTGGTTCTCCACTTTCCAATAAATGCAAGTGGAATATAATATCTGTGCAGTTGCCAGGGCAAAAATAAATTATGAAATGCTGCAATGGTTGCGGTGGGGTATGTAGGTTGTCCTGGGAATCTAATTATGCAAGGAAATGCAACTAATTAGAATTGATAAGAAGAAGGAGCCGATGGTTAGGGGATGAACCTGGAGCATGAGGGTTTTATGCACTCAATATATAAGGGGTGGGCCTGGTCACACCCTGCAACTACAACAACAACGAAAAAAGTTGCAACTTGGCAGGAAGTCAGTGCAATTAAAAAAGCAATGGCAGGCTCTTTGGGGGTTGGGGGTTGTAAACTCGCACACTCACACTCGCACACACCCAACCCAACACACTTACATACATATATGTATTTAATTGTATTTCTATGTGTGTGCTTAAGTAGCTGGAGAGAACGAAACCCACCCCTACGACAAAAAACAAAGTGAAATGCAGCAAATTCAAAAGTTATTTGAGTTCATTGCATTTTCTAGCCACGCAAAACAACAACAAGAGCAGCAGGAATGGTTCGCACACACACTCACCAATACACCCCCACTCGGGGGTGGGTGGTAATGACTCAAAACATAGAGCGTCGGATACTCGTATAAAAAAAGAGCGCAGAACAACAAAAACAACGACGAAAAAATCGTTATATTCAGCTTTGATGACAGGGTATACTCGTACTCGTACTAAGTCGTCGCTCCACCCCACGACCAACCCCCAAAAAATTGTAGTGCGGTTTACAAATTGGACTAGCTGCTGCTGCTGCTCCTCGCCCGAGGAAGACATCTTCTTCGCTGGCCAGAGTGCCAGCGTTCTACATCAGGGTTGGGGTGGAAAACCCGGTTGATGCCAGTTTCACTTACACTCACACATGTCTACACGCGAATGTCAGTAAGTAGATCCAGATGGAAAGCAGCCTTTTGCTGGCGATTTACGAAAAGTAATCTTTGAGGCACTCAGGGGGGGTTGTCGTTGTTTTCCATAAAGTTGTGAAATGCATCTTAAAATGCAAGATACTAACATTCATTTGAATATTACTAACTAAATCAGTTATATTAATTAAATATATTCAATTATATTTAACCACATTGCATAAGAATTATATTAAACCATCGTAAAATCCTGAACTGTGGTTGAAAAAAAATTTTTTAAATATATATATTTATGTGAAAATCATTGTTTGACTTTTGCACTGTCTATTCTATTTTTAATGGTTTTCTTGGACGCGTAAAATGGTCAACGGAAGTATCAAACTTTCCTATTCAGTTGAATTCTTCTGTTATTTATATCCCAAAAGTTATTCTCAAACATATATGAACATATTATGTGAACTAGAGACTGATGTATATTTAAATAATAATAAAAACAATTTTATGTTGGTGTCTTTAACTTTTATAATACGTGTTTGAGAATTGATCGGAACTATTCAAAATATTGAAGAATACATTCATTTTATGGTATCCTAAATCACCAAGTCCTTTAAAAGCTGAACGGGATTTAGTTTTGAAGTAAACTTTCCCAAATCACGATTTATGAGTCAAATTAGTTTTATTGGCCATAAAAATACAAGACTACACCTAATATTATCACCATAACTCGAACCTACTTTGTTGGGAAGTGAAGGAAGGTTGAAATTGTAAAAGTTTTATCATTCTTTTATGCTAGTTTTGTTGTTCTTTTAGTTATTCAAGTTATAGGAGTCTGACCATAAAAAGTTAAAATGTACCTATTGCAGCACTTGCTTTTATAAAATAAAACTTCTTTTCAATCATATCCTTACTCAAACTAAAAAGAATCAAATAACTTTTATTGACAGAGCGGTTTAGAAACTCAAGTAAAAGTAATCCAAGTTCTTATGGCAACGTTTTCGCGGTCTGAATCATGTTTATTGCTACCCCCACAAGGCCCCCAATAGCGAAAACCAGTGTGTAGGGCATTAGGCGAGCCCATAGCCCGACCCTCTCTGCCGCGGTCGCTGCCGCTGCCCGAGTGAGAGTGTATTCGTTATACCCCCCTGAACGCTATGACGCCGGCGTCGCAGCCCGCAGCGGGCGAAAATAAATCGATAAAAATAAAATAAATTTTTAGTGATTATGTTATACAGACACATGTGCATGTGCATGTGCATGCGCTTGAGCAGGGGGCAATGTATGTATGGCTTATGTGTGTAATGTGTTTGTGGCAGATGCACTTACCGTTGGGCACATTCTGATTAAAGTGATTGCCATTGGTCTGATAGCGCTGCACATGGTTATCGGTGCCGGCGGCAGCCGCAGCGGCTGCTGCATTCACGGCGGCGGCGGGGGGCGTACCGAAGGCGCCGGGCGTCTGAGCATCAAATTTAGCGGCAAACTGATGGATGCCGGAGAAGGGGCCGCCGAACGCGGAGAAGTTCATCATGTCAGGATCGGCGGGGCGGCTGTAGCAATGCGGATGTCGACGCGGCCACGCGGGGCCCTCTTCGGAATAGTAATAATCCTTTAAATCGCTTTGGTCGCACTCTCTTCGCTCTCTCGATCGGTTTCTACACGAGTCCCGTTTTCGCGATGACGAAGAGTGGGTGGTGGAAAGTGGAAATCGTAATGGTAGTGGTAGTGGTGTGCCTTCTGTTGTTGTTTTCTTCCTCTTTTCCGCCGCCGCTGGTGGGGGTTGGTTTTCTTTTCTTTCTTCTTCTCCTTCTTCTTCTTCTCTCCTCCTTGCCTCTTTCCTCACACACTCACACACTGGCGCGCGTACGAGCGCACAGTTTTATGCTGTGCTTTGCTTTTTCGGGGGTAGAAAAGCAGGCACCAACACACCAAGCACTCACTCACTCACACTCGCACACGCACACACGCGGAGAACCACTTTCGGTTTCGATTCTCGACTGCGACTCTGGCTTGGTGCTCTGCTCTGGCTCTGCTCGAACTAAACACAACACGCACATAGACACACACCCCGGCGGAACGGAGCGGAATCGCACTAAAGTCTCGCTTACGATTACGCTTACAACCGGCTCGGCGAGGCTCTGACATCAAACTAAAAGTAACATTACAACGAGGCGAAAGAAAGCGGAAACACTGGGCCAGGCAGAAGCAGAGGCAGAGGCAGAGCGACGCGGACGCGGACGACGGCAGCGCTGCGACGCAAATGACAGTGACAGTGTGCCCAGGGGCACAGCGGGTATATTAGTTCGAACGGAGATATAGTTGGATATAACTGTGGGCTCGCTTGTCTGATCCTTTCCTCTTATCCAATGTGCTTTCTGCTAATCCTTTTCTTTAATTGAACCTGCAGTTAAAATCCACGATTAGAATATGCTAAACAGTCGAACTTCCATCGAGAAATAATTTACAAAGTAATTTCTAAAACTGTTTGGGCACATTTGAGTTGCAGTTGGTACAATGCTTGAAAAAAAAAATATAATTAAAAAGAGGCAACTTTTAAAGTTGGGAAAACAATTTGCTAACTTTACATATTGTATTCCCTTTTTCATTAAAGACAAATTTATGCTCCATGAACCGTTGAGTCGCCTGTTCTCGATTATCTCGTTAATGAGTACCAACTGGGTCGCATAGCCTGTGCCTGCACGACTGCAGCATTCTTACATGTTTGTATTAGTTCGCTGTGTGTGTTTGTTCGAATGTCTGTATGTGTGAGCCGCTTCGAGGGTGGAAGTTTTTCTACTTCTCTGGAAAATGCGCGTTTATTTGTACGTTCCGTTCCTTACATTTCGCTGCACCGAGCGCCGGGCATATGACACTGGCCCCAGGCCCCTGCTCTCGCTCCTGCTGCCTAGCCGAGATTAGCCCTTGCTCCTGGTCACTTGCCAGAGATTGCTGGGCGGCAGAAGATATTCCATGCGCGATCCGTGCAGGCGAAGTGCAATTTATGCTGGAACTGAGACGCCAAAAGCAGACAGACACGCAGCGAGACACGACACGAAGTTCGCTGTAAGTTATCAGGATGAAAACCGGTTGCGAGCGTAGCATAAAAACTGGTTTCCACCAAGAGATGAGCTACTTTTTGTGGCCGCCAACAACAACTGAATTGACAACGCGAAGCAGGATGACTTTTCGAATATGTGTGTGGATTTGGATATTGAGTGCGATCCAGAAGAGGCCATAAAGATTGCATTTTTTTATGGCAACGGAATTAAATTATATGTATGAAACATTGTATTTTTTATACGATTTTATATCTGGTAAAGGGTAAGTTCTTAGTTTAATTATAGAACTTTATAACGATAGTTGCATTACTTTTTATAGTATTTAGGGGAATATTTTTAAAGTTCAATTTGAATTTCTTGTGTTATCTTGACAATATCAAAATATTCTCAACAACGATACTTACATTTCAGTTCAATAACAACATGGAACTTTATTTTATTAAGTTCGCCACATAACAGATATTAATATGTACATCAACATTATCCCTAATTTATATGTAAACTTCCATAAAAAATCCCCGTAGGGTATTTACCCGTCGGCGATGGCTGTCTGTAAGAAAAACGCACACACAATGCGCCTTGTATTTTTATTTGGTTTTCCAACTTTTTGGGGTTGTGTGTGGTATTGCTGTGCACTTATACGTTTACATGTGAATGTTTGTATGTAGCGGCGTATATACGCCGTGTGTTTTAAGTATCTATGTATGTTTGGTTATATGCTTGTGTGCATGTATCTGGATCTGTTTGCCCACGGCGACAGAGAGACGGACGGACAGAGAGAGGAAGAGCAAAGCGAAAGAGCGGTGAGCGGAGAGCGCAGCGTTCTCGAGCGCATTGCTCTCGTTGCATTTAATTCTGCTGCGCTGTATGTTGTCTTTAATGAAAGTGAGTCCAGCGGCAAAAGAAAGCAGGCCGTGTGGCTCAGCTGCACTACGGCGACAAGTTCTGCACTGTTCTTGATTATTATTCTGATTGTATTTTAAAATCTTTTCTTTAGCCTTTGACTTGAAAGTGTTTCCAGGATCCTTACTAAGGTTTCTAATCATTTAAAAACAGTCATCAATTCTATGTACTTCTACACTTTTAAATTAAATACTTATTTTCTATTTAAAATTCTTAAAATAAAGGTTCGAATAAGTTTTAAAAGTTAAAGTTACAATATAATTAATTCAAATTCCCAAATGTACATAATTATTTCGTAATTCATTGAACATTAATTTCACATTTTATTATTAATGTATAAACTCGTAACAATCGTTGAACTCTTTTCTTCGAAAAATATTCTTTAATTAACAAAGCAGCGCACTTCCAAGTCGTTTCGATAGGAGCCTAATTTTTATGTGTTAATGCCATACACACACACACACACGTGCACTTGCATAAATGGCAGTGTATGCACGTCTGTATGTCTTTGCTCATTCTTGTTTTTTCCTGTTGCAGTCTTGTCTTCTACTCGTTTAAATTTAAGAGGGTTGGAGTTTTTCGTTCTCTCGCATTCTCCTCGCTTCGCCTCTCAGACTCTCTCGCCCCATCCCGCTCGCTCGCTCGCTCGTTCGCTGCCTCTTGCTCTGGCGCGCTTGAACCTTTGAATGCAATGCTTTGTTTAGCTTGATTTTTGAGCGAGGCGGCTGCAACTGTTACATGTGTTTATCTAGAATTTATATGAACATTTTCCAATTATGAATTTACGCGCAGACGGGGCGAAATGTGCCGAATATCGGGCAGTTTCCTTAAAACTCGATCACCGGCACTGGAATGTACAGACACGCACACACGGGCGTGTACCGCCGAATGTACCTGCAGATACATACACACATACGAAGCATGTGCACAAACACAACCTGCATGCATGTTTGTGTATGTTATTATGTTGGTCCCTGTGTACGGGGCAACTCGTTCCCTATTCCAGTATCCTCCGCCTCTGAAGACATCTCTCTCTCTCGCTCTCGTGCAGTTGTCCCACACTTGGATTTACGAAAACCCAGTCTTCCAGGACCAAACCCCATCGCCAGAGGACAATAATTGGAAATGTCAAGGCCCATCAGCACTCAATGGGCTTAGGATAACAAAAAAAATCCGATTCTTAATGGCGTTTATATTCACTTTATTAATTATGAGCTTTTAGTGGGACTGGAGAGAAAAGGCTTATAAGAAAAAGAAGGGGGCGTCAGGATGGGATATTAATCTATGCTAATTGAAAAGGACAGGCACAGCATTGCAAAAAAAATTATATTAAATCCGCCTTTTACACCTTTCCTAAGAAGCTTTTACAAATATTTGTATGTATTTTATAAATAGCCACATATCGTTATTTGGATATGATCCTTGGACCAGTCGAGCTCCCCCAAAAACATAACATTTCGGATTACAAGTTCAATATTTATGTATATAAGTTTACGTATAATATATCTTAGTTTTCTGTGCAGTATTTGTACACATGTATGCATATATTTATGTATGGATTTATAAAAAGTCCGAATAATCAATGTATAAATCAAATATATGTAACTTAAACAGACTAGAAAACAAACGTATACCAAAGATCAGCGATTTTTAAGGTTAATATCACAAAATTATTCAAATGTATAACAGCGCAAATGAATGGGTTGAGTCAAGCGGAGGCAGGCATTACAAAATCATAATACATTACACCGACATATGTATACGTTTATGTATATATGTAAATATCAATACTTTCTGTTCATTATCTATTTGAGTATTCAGTATAGAATATTTAACGCTTGAGTTATATGGAAATATAATTGTCTATTTTGTAAATGGAGTATATATTGCCAAAACCACGGATTAACCCAGAGCAGCCGTTAGCAGGGGCTCCCAGGCCCTGTTTGTGTCCACATAGAGTTGGGTACATTGCTCGGCTAGGGTGTCCCCGTCGTCCAGTATGGTTATGGGAAAGAGATCATTCTGTAAAGCCCATAAAAAGCATTGTTATTATATTGCATCTAAAGTTTAGAAATCCAGTGGGGCAACATACGTTCTTAGACTGCCAAAGTTGCTCTAGCAAGCGCAGGAAACGCTGCATCTCCATGCTACTGGCAAAAAAGATCACCAGATCATCCAGACTCTCCAACGGCGCCTCCTGGCAGGAGAACTCTAGTATGCACCACCAGGTTTCGGCTCGCGAGGTTATCTTAATGCCAGTCATAGCCTTGATGTCTGCACAGGTGAGTATGGCTAGACCGGAATCCTTTCCATAGACACTAGTCATCCGTTGCGACTTTCCTGGTGAAGTTGTGTCTTCCTTCGATATCTCCGCGTCATTTGTGTGCTTTGTTGGCGTAGAACTTAACGAGGAGAAGGATTGCTGTGTGCCACGCGTTGGCGTGCTCATGGTGGAGCCCATCTGAAAGGGAGTTTGGATTATTATTATCCCATATTGTTGAGGTAAAGAGCACACGCTTACCAAGCTACTGGTTTCAAAAACACTGAGTAGATCCTCCTCTAGCAATATCTCCTTGTTCTCCGGTGCTCTTGAATTGTTATCAGCCTGCTGTTGGCTTATTTGACGCAATGGAGCCGAAAAGTCTTCGCGCAAGGTTATCAAATGGTTTTGTGTTACTATCAAAGTGCATCCCAAGGTTTTGTGCTTCTCCTGTGGCACAGCAAGCTAATGTAAGAAAATAGATAAAGGAGTTCCAAGTACAAAAGCAATTCTTTCACTTACACCACTGGCTGACTGCAGTAGAGCCTGCAGCCACTCGGAGGCTACGTACTCATCGGGCGCTGCCAGTTGCAGTAGCTCGCCCTTCAGCACTATCTCGAAGCAGTGTGGCCGCTCCGATTTAACAGTCCGCCGGGCACCTTGGCACTCGGCCAGGGCCATGGCCCAGCTGGGAAGCCTCTGTGTGGAGTCGTTGAACATGTAGAAGACGCCGGCCCTTTAGAGAAATTTCCTTATTAAGTCCTAAGCCCTAAAAATACCTCAAGGTACTTACTTCAGTAGGAAATATCCTGGTTGCCAATATATCCTTGAGGCGGCTGATGTGCTTGTGCTCTGCCTAAGCCGTCGGTGCATAAGGAATCCCTTGATGGAGGGACCTAGTGGTTCGCTAGGCGACTCCACTCGCAGGGCCCCGCCAGCTGGTACGTTAACCACTGCATAGAAAAGCCAGTGCTCATCCCTGCCCACGCAACTGTTGGCGCGCACAAATGCCTGCAGGGGAGCCAAATGCTCGAGGGTTAGTTGACCCACTGCTGGCAGGGTGGAGCCACTGCGCCGGGCGCACAGCTCCAGATTGGCGACCAATGATCCGGCCGGATAGGGTCC